ATGCTAGGGAGGTACCAAAGTCTAAGCTTGTAAGATTATTTCTTCGGGCTTCATTGTACCCGATTACTATCTCTTTCACTCTCTCAATGAGCGACTTCGTTGGCCGCTTAGTCGGTGCCTCCTACTTTTGGTCCCTTCGTGTTCGTGGCCTACTGCCGAGTTTTATTGTAGCAACTAAGAAACCACCAGGACCTACGGCCAGGATCGGTAGCTTAATTGTCCTCCTTCTTCGTTGCATCGTTGCCCACGTCCTTTTCAAGCCGATCCACATTGGTTTCGAACGTGAGAAACCTAAGGCTCACCACCTGTCTTGCTTGTTAGTTGTGTCTGTTTGATAGGCTAGGCCAGCAAGCCCAACGCTCTTCAGGATCGCGGGTCTCTCGCTTTTACTGGTGTCCCTGTTTCCCTCTAGAACGAAAGCGCTGAAGATAGGCCGGTACGCCGCCAAGAATGCGCTCAGAATGCAGGAACCCGAGGAGGTGCTGACCGCTGAAGGGAAGAGCCTACCTCGCCTCTCCTTTCTTTGATTAAGTAGTTGTAATGGAGACGAAGTGTGTAGCTTGTGCCGACGTCCAGTGCCGAACCACACGCTGGAGCGCCAATCGCCCCTTGTGGCCTACAAAGCTTTGCACGCCTCTATGTAACGAACACATCTAGAATGGTCGAAGAAGTGTAAACAACAAGTGCCAAAAAAGCTGCCGCCATACCGACTGACGCAGTTGGTAATAATATCGGGTGACGATTGCCCAGCAAAATTCGACTCCTCTTCCTGCCATCGTGCTTTCGTGGTAGCACTGTTAAGGTGCGATAACACCGTTGCAGTGTTTTATTGTCCGAATGGCTTAGTGTCTGCCCCTATTCTCAAGCAACATTAGAAAGATGACTTTTTTCTGCATCTTTTATTCCTAGACATGGGCACATAAGAAGAGGGTGGAAGGCGGAAGCGTGACCATCACGCAGTGCTGAGTCAGTTGGCTAATGACAATAAAAATCAGGCTTGTGCCAGACCGAGTTGAGATATACAACAACTAAGAAGTTACAAAGCCCGATAATCAAGTCTATCTTCCACGATCCAGGCGTGTCATGTAAATTAGAACGGGCTAATTATCACCATGAAACCTGTAATGACGAAGTTTGAGATGTACATACACTTTGTTGCCTCCACAGTTAGAGAATGCCTTAGATATCTGAAGCTCTTGCATTTAATCGAAATGTACTTGTACCTACAGTACGGACTAGGCTAGAAATGTGCCTAGAGATGTCCAGCAAAATGTGATCCATACACATTAACCATCGACACTGCCATACACAGGATACGTTTGGATTTCGAGCACGGACTCTGCCTGAGCAATATAGGCTGCTTTGATTTCTTGGTAGATACATACCTAAGTCACGCCTATAAATCATGCGTATAACATAATCATACTATACGATATATTATAAGGAAAGCCCTTGCTGGGATGAATTGTGCTGCAAACAAGAGACGGTCAAACCGTATCTGTTCCTACATATCATACATATTATATAAACGAAAGGCCTTTTCCCATCTATATCCAAGGCCTGACTGCTGCAAACCTGTCTTGTGCACAGCAAAAATATATGAACTCCATGAGGTGCACAGGTGGTTCGTTAGGGCGCCGCTTGATAGCCGGATACCTAACAGGGCAACTATCGTCATAGGGGACTTCGGTATAGGTGGAAATAGAGCAGACCCCCTGCTGTTACCTCCGTCAGTTGTAATGCTTTTCGTTCGCTCTATCCCGATATCGTTCTGTTCCGCCCTACCTAGGTGCACAAACAAAGGAAAGGAAATCTGTCACCGGCACAGGACGCTCTTGGCCAAGGCGGCGACGCCAGCCGCATCGAACCCTACGGATGTCTACCCTTTACAGCGGAAAAGTAAGAAGACACGACAGGTGCTGATCCCGCAATTAGTAATTGGAAGACCAAGTAGCTCTTGGCCAAACCGCGAATAGATGCGGCTTCTTCCTGACCAAAGCCCCTTCTGTCGTTTCATCCCTTCCGCCGATGGGCAATCATATTGTACAATAAGACTAAAAAAGCCAGGCATCAAAGTGGTTAGACCGACTGACCGCAAGAAGATATTTTTCCTTTTGTCTGTGGCAAGTTTTAGGAACCTCGTTCAAGCGTAATATATAGCGTAACATACTAGCAGGTGTAGACACCTCTATACAGCATCGGTCGACGGTTACCTAAATACACTACGAGTAATTAAGAATCTGGCTTATTCAGCCATCTCTAGCTGGATACCTTGATTTGGTTCGCTTCATTTAGAGACAGACTGGAACACTATCCGTATAATTTTTAATACGAAAATGGATTTTATTTCGGAAATCACGAAGAAACTGTGAAATTGTTTGATCCTAAACGAACAAAAGGCTCATTACCGACGTCCTGTTTCGGTCCTAATTTTCTAATCGACTCGTTTCGATACATTTAAGCAACAAACAAATCTGCTTTAACCTATAGTTTGTTTTAAGGTGAACATGAGCAGTCATATTTACAGAACCGTTCGCTGTGTATATCTCTAAGGCGATATTGATCAATAAATACTGGGCGGCACTTTTGGGAGTCGAGAGGAACCGAACGTGCGGGTCATTACGATACAATCACGTAACGACAGGAAAAATGCTTTTAATACCCCTTCAGCTTTTTGAGCGGGTATACATAGGTTTCGACAGATCTCTGCGGCAGTGGTGAAGCAGGTCGAGCTCCGGAAGCGTGCGGAAGCCCACGCTAATACAAGTATTTGACAGCTTGTGTTCTAAGCGCGACGTGCCCAAAGCTACCTGAGGGAGCTAACTAGAGACTGGTAGAAATACTTGGCACAAGAAGTGATGACTTCATAGATTGCTCTATCAGATCGCCTAGTGGGGCGGCTGTCAACAATGCGTGGGGCGTCGTTGCCGTCTGCCGAGCCAGTCTGCCTAAACAGGATAAAAATAAGAACCAAAACTGTCGTCGTATCCACTTACGGGAACATAAGGATTATCGCAAACAACTTTACCACTATAGATACTACACATCGGCGCGTTTTGATTAGCTTATGTTGTATCCGTTCTGTGGCGATAGGACAAGATTCTAAGGGATAACGGACCAACCATGAAATTCGCCGAATTTATGCCGTGAAGGCCTAAAAAAGACATCCCAATGTTACTTAAATTATAATAACTTAAAAAAACCCAGTATCGGATAGATAACGTAAACTGGATTAAAACTTGTTTATTACTGACTAAATGCAATTAGTAATTGATGCGATAATCTCCCTAGAAACGTCTAATACCTTATAAAGTTTTCACGTCAAGCTGTTTCGCAAACTAAGTAAGCTAAAAAGCATATCTTTTTTCATTTGTAACTTATTACAGCCACCGGCTTCTTGCTGTATACCTATTAGTTTTCACTAAAGTAAAATTGTAGTAATCGATTTCCGCTTGACAAGTTGCTAGTTCTCTAAATAAATGAACATAAAAATAAAATTGTCGAAAGGACACGCCTTAAGACAATAGCGCCATGTCTCGATTATTGTCTTCGTTACACATGGTAAATCTGCTACCAGTGGTAAGCGGCAGTATGGACCATGCGCGATATTCAATAACTGTGAAACGTTTTGCCGCGTTCGAGGGTGGCCTTCGATATAAGCCTCTTAGGTGAAAATGCGTAAGGCCGGCTAAGCGCTATCTCCGATCTGCAGAACTGTAATAGGCACCCCGACGCATCTGAGCGGGGGGAGTGAAACGCAGACGAGTTTTTGCTCGAGCTTTTTTGGGGTATTTTCTTTGCCATGGGGCAAAGAATTATTCCATAAAGAAGCCTTCGTGGAGAGGCGGGAGGGAGGTGTAGGCAGGGGAGAAGCCGGGCAATAAAACAGCTTGTTTCGTTAACTTGTGGAAGACCCTCACGAAAAAACGTTGTTCTGCAGTCGCTCCATGGTGAATTTACTTTGACCGTACGCAGAAGACGTCTGAATTCAAATGCTCTCATATGCATCCTACATATCAATACATATACCGATACATACAATACAATTCCACGAAAAATTACCGAGACATATGTATATTTGGTAAAATTCACGTAGCCAAAGAATATTGTCAAATGCCGCGACACGTTTCAAGCGCAGAAGAAACTGTTGGCAGCAACGCATTTTTCTGTTTACGTCAAAATATCTACACATGCGTAAAAATCTTGATAATCACTTTTTTTAATTAAAAAATGCACCTTTTCAACTGCAACAAGAAAAAAACATATTATTTATGTAACTTATATCCCTTCTATGGTTTATCGGGGCCCCTGCGCACTTAATTTTTTGAAGCGTTCCTTCACTATAGGTTTACATAGACACCTTTCGGCTACGGTTGTACCAGGTATTAAGATGGTAAAAATATTTCCGTTTTGTGGGATTCGTCAGCGTTCTATAGGTGTTTCATCTCACAACACAGAGCGCCCCGATTTTAAGATTTACTGAAATAATAGATAAAAATTATTATCCATATGTAGCAGCGAGTATTTAAATAAAACGCTTTTCAACGATCGAAACGAATCAAGCGGGATAATTTAAAATGAATAGCAACACTTCAAGAAATCGAGTACGAAACTCACAGGCCCGCTACTATTTATAGATGGCCGTGAGACGGATGTGACAAATTGGATAATATTTACTTACCAGCAGACTATATTAAGCAAGTTTACTTAATGATATCTGAACTCGACGAAAAATCGATTTGTATAAGAAAAAGACTATTTACAAATGTTACTACTTCATCACGACAACACCCAGACCTAGTAACTAATCCTATGTTGTATAGTGACGTTATTAATTTAAAAATGATATTGCACGCTATAATCAGTCTAAGTAAATTACTTTATTTGGATTACTTAGAAAGCCCTGCACGTATTTATTGTCAGTTTTACGTGCGCCCGTCTATACGGTAAAAGCGTACTTCTAGTCAATGGCAGACTCAGTTGTTCGCTCACCTAACTGCTGTGATATATTTATTATGTGACGAGCTATAATCCAAACGTGGCGTTTTGATTATACTATTGTTTTAAACTTACATATAATAACAGTAAAATCAGCCCTATAATTACCACTATCACGAGTTTATTCCAATGGCATAACCAGATCGAAAGAGCACAGATGGTCATAAATAAATCTAGCTGTGATCTAGCAATGAGTCACCATCATACAATAGCTGTGTTCCTCTGGGGTCTTCACCCATGGCCTCTTGGTGTTGTTGACCGAAGTACACAGAGCTGTCCGTTTGAAACTCGGTAAATGCTTGATTAGCGTCGCTATAATCGTGCAAGGTTAGGCAACCTTCTTGGATCGGGTGATATCCAGACAATATGCCCGGGTCATCCAAGTCGCTTATACCAAGTTCACTGGCACCTTGTACCTGAGGATTCGCTACGAATGAAGAAGCGTCAAGTTCTAAAACAGCTGTTACTTTATAATCTACCATCATGCCTGAACTACTTTCCTGTGGCTGCTTTTGTGTAGAAACTGATTGTAGTTCACACTGTGGCGACGTTACCAAGAAATAAACTTTTCCAGCCTCTTTATTAACGACAGACGTTTGCGCATTGATCGAGCCGAGCGAATCGTCTGCGGGCGTTGAAGCAAAAAATCCGTGTATCTCCAGTAATCGAGAGTTCATTTGTTCAGACCCTTGGGGGGACCTGCTATTTGTTTGGGGTGTCGTCGCTTCGCGTTTTCCAAGGCAACTCTCGTTTGGAGGTGGACACCAAGCACGTCCTCTTCGACCGTTCTTCGGATTCCTCATGTTTCCGATTTCTAATGGAAAATAATCTTTCCGTCCGTTTGTGGAAGACGAAACACATGATTCGTGCGTCTCATTTGTAGCAAAACTGATTTCTTCTGTGTCTAAAGGTTCTTCTTGAGGCAATTGAAGGACATTTTTAATATACTCATCTAATTTAGATGCTAAACTGCTAGCTTCTTTTGTGCACCTCGTTCTCATTGTATGAGAGTAGTTGTTGCTCAAAGTAGTAGATCTCGATCGCCAGAAACGAGAATTGAATCGAGACAAGATTATCGGCGCAACAGGCAGCTTCCGGCGAGCCCTGAAACATGTGACGATGCAGATGAGTTGCCGTTTTATTATTTTACCAAAACTGCATGTCCTAAAAATACGTTTAATGCAACCCAGCTTGCCAGCCATTTGTCACTTCTCAGTGTATTTTCGAAATGATCTTTATGTGTTACGGTATTCAATTACTATCGGCAAACTCGCATACACGCAGGTTGATTCATCACTCACTTCTCCGGTCCTCAATAGTCCGACAATTACCTTCTCGTCAACAGAAAGACTGAATGAAACGGATCAAAATCTAAATCTACCCTTACGCACGAACGAAAATTTCTCTCATAAGAAAAAAAGGCCCAAAAAAAGTATCTCTTTGGATAGACTGGTTACAATTTTTGCTGCTACTTTATATAATAAAAGCCGATTAAAATGATAGTACATCTTAAAGCACAGCCGTGATCTTGACCACAGCCATCGTTCTTCCAGTAACTTCGGTGTGAGAGGGACTGTTCTTATTTAGTGGGGTCTTGCAACGTCGGACGGTTGCCGCTAAACGGCCAGAGCTAATCTTTAACAGATGTTTCGGCTGAGTTGTATCAGTATGATAATTCTATTATTTTTAGGTGTTACTATTGTCGAGGCATGAGGTCGTCAATTCAATGAAATGACGGATATTTGGATGATAGGGGTGGCGCCTAAAAGTATTCGCAGATGCATCGTAAAAAGATTCGCAGTCGCAGAAACGAATGGCCATGTCCACTAAATCTATGACACCATAGTGATTGCTTCAAGCAGGCGAGATGAAAACATATGCAGGCTTAACGGAGAAAGAAAACAATACAGAAACGACTAAAGTGACATACATTTAGAAGTTGTATCCAATAATATTTGAACGGGTGGCCAGACAATTATTTGTTGACAGGCGCTGCGGAGATGTTCATGGCGGTATGCGACATCCAAGACTGTCAATCGTATCTGTCCACGGACCGTAAACGGCAACGAAGCGGCTTGCGAAGGGTTCGATGCATGGCGCAATATGTGCAATTGTATTGGATAAACGCAGACCTTGCTTGAAACTCGATTCTTAAAATTTGTGCAAGTGTCACGATCCGAAACGGAACCGAAACTATTTTGCCGGTCGACACTGACCAGACACGCCCAACCCAGCATCTCTCTGCACAAACAAGTGCAGTTTCAGCCATCGAGATTTTGTATCCTACTTCATTTCCACATTAGTCCAGCAAATATCTAGATCTGCCTTGCGATGCAATAGAACATTGTTCAACTGATCATAAACAGAGGAACTAATTGATGTACGGATTCTTAGCAAAAGGTCACCGATCAGTACGCTGAAAAGCCTGGTGTAATCTTGATAATCGTAATAATTCAGAGGCAATCGCGTCCACTCCTTATTTTCTGTATATACAAACTCGTATTTTCATTGCTTTTCGTGCCGTCGTGGCGACATGAGCGGTGCACACTGCATATACAAACGTGAACTCGGGCCTTCATTTTTTTTTTCTTCATTTCGCATAACAACACAATGGTTAAAAAAGAAAACGAAAAAAAGACGATCACGTGCTAAATTTTTGCCGCTATTCTAAACTAAATCTTCGAGTGAATTTGGATTTTCTGCCAGAATAGCAACATTTTTTTTGTATAGACGAAGGTAGTGGCATAACTAAGCCTAATTTACCTGTCATTTTCTATATGAAGTTATTGAACCGTAACGCAAAAAAATACCACAATAGCACTTACGGGTAGCATTTGATTTCCCGTTATCATCCCGTTTATCATCGATCCCGTTAATCGAATTTCTAAAATATGAACCGTACCAGAGCTCTCCTGCGTAACCATAACATAGTAACTGATTTTAATTAGCTAAAAATTAACAAGAACAGATTTAATGAAGGCAAATAGAGAAATCTAGTGCTAGATAGTGCGGTTCATCTGTTGTTTGAGAGACTGTTGTCAGAGACTGAATCATGTTTTTCTCAACCTTCGGCTGAACCTCATATCGTTCCGAAGTTAAAAGCAATCGAAATAAATAACGCACAACCATAACGAACAGATGGCAGGCTAGGATGAATAACAGGTAAACACAAGTGGCGTAGGTGGTGTACCGCTCTTCAATATCTAGGCATTTTACTCTTCACCACAGAAACTATGCAGATAGGTAGGTATTTTTTGGCATATAGACATTGTGGCAGGCTACTAACGGCATACGTATTTATCATTATTCAACTTTAAGAGGACGAGCAATCACTGACTTGAAGACGGTCGAACGTTTTACCCATTGAAATGATTTAGGCGGTTAGCATTAGAGTGAATCTCATTGCACTGATACACTTCTGTATTTCTGAATGGAGAAAACCTGGAATTATATATAACTGTAGTTTGCCTCTACGTATATGTGCAGGGAGTAATAAACGATCCCTCGCTCGGTAACATTTTTGGTTACTTATGCTTGTGATTAGTATTTGAACCCATATTGAACGTGTTAAAATCCGTATAGGCAAATTGTCTTATTGTTTGAGCCATATATTTCGTTCGCAGAGGTAGACAATGGTGATTTGATATCACCATTTAGCATCATGCCAGTGTTACGCGTGTGCGGCAGAACACTGTCCTGAGAACTTACATGACGGTGCAATAAGTTTCAGCCAACTTCCACTGGTTTTGCACGAGCTGTTAATTTGTTTATCATGCCGCCATCCTATTGGAGACGAGCCCATCAACGTCAACAGGAGCCAACACTTTCAATGTAGAAACTGTTATCTCTCTTAGTTCGAACTTTTTCAAGATGTTACAGCCCTCTCCAGTTCATGCTCGCAAACGGAGCGCGCCTCTACGTATTCAGCCATACCCACTTTGGAGAATGTATAAGACTTCTATTCATCGTGCTTAAACAATAAGAAAGTCATCGATGAATCTGACACCGACAAACGAATACTCTCAGAACTGCATAAAATTGCGCTGTCTATTGTAGCTTCCTTACTTTTTTTTTTTTTTTGTTTGGCGATATAGAACGGCAAAGGGGTGTCAGATCCTTGTTGCACGATTGTCAAACGTGAAATTTAACCCGAATCAATGTGCTCCCGAAAGGCGACTACGAGGCGACTAACCATGCACATGTTGGTAAAGTAAAACATTTTATGTTAGAGATATTTGGAAATTGGCACAATACTGTAGGGAATACGGAAGAGGCCCAGAAAAATCATTGAAATTCATAGACAATTCTAAAATACTACACGCTTCTATTACGCCCTCAATGGCTGCTGCCGTAAATACATGTGTATATATATATATATACATATATATGAAAAGGTGCCACTATATGGAACACGGGTCGGAGCGAGACAATCAAATATTTTTTCTCCGTGTCAAGAGCCTCTATTGAACGATAGAGAAACAAAATAATCAGTTTGTTTTTCTCCTTCAGTTTCGCCTAGTTCGAAATAGTTCGAACCACATAGTATCAAAGTACGTCGTATTAATTTGGTAAATATACGTATATATATATATATATATATATATATATATATATATATATATATATATATATATATATACAGTACCACATGTTGCTGTTGCCAATGATGTCTCACATATGGTGGATTTTGAGAGAGACTTTGGCGACATATTTTACATATCAGTTCAAAACAGCATTGGCAATATATGTATCTCGCTGCGGACGATGACGATCATCATTTATCCCAAAAATCACTATAATTATATAGGTCCTAGCATAATCCAGCTTTGAAGGACAATGTACACATTACTGCCGCTTTTTTTCACTTATCGAAAACAAAATGCAGCTTATCGATGTACCGCAACGTAGGCCCAACAAAATCTGGCCTTATGCTGGATAGCAAAACGCTATGCAGATTTATGCTAAACGAATTCTAACTTTTGACCTGTCTTACGTAGCAGTAAATTATTACAAAGCATCGTCTCTTCTAGTTGTAATCAGGGCCTTTTCTAAAAAAATCTTTCTTTTTTACTTATTGATTTCTTCACATAAAACAATTAGTGGCCCATATGGTTTTATTGTTGGCCTTTCTAACCCTACTTTATGAGACTTCACAGGCCAACGAGATGCCTTTTACTGATATTTTCTCGACTACCAACAAAGTGCAATAAGCCGATTTAATCTACACAATAGAAGAGTATTTTATGAATCCACGGGTTTTGTTTCTGTTGTTTTCGACGATAGGATTAAATAAATTTTCATCCATACAGCCCTATCCTATATATGGTTATTCAACGAACAAATGTAGAGGGTGATTGAGATCAATTCTATCCGCGGATGAGTTAGTTTCTAAGCCACAAATACCAACATATTGTGTTGCGCCTATGGCGATGCCTACTGCTCGGTCCTCTGTTATCACCTTTTTTTTTTTATTAGAAGAAACCCGATTCGAGCGTCGTCAGTTTTAATCTATAGATATTACTAAGTCGTGATAGCATAATCCTACCGGATCGAAGTAAATGTACGAAACGCAATTGAAATAGTTACTCTAAATGTCTTGATATTTGTGATGTGGATCTTACTATGTTGGTTTACGCTTGATCAGAGGTAAGGATTAGATAAAAATCTTTATTCCAGTAGGACGGAAACGAGTCGTAGTAGACGAATTTACAGTTTACAGTTATAACAAAAATCCTGCTTAATGGCTAGATAATACACTACATGTCAAACGATTTAAACATATTGAATGTGACCCTTCCGAAAATGCATCTGCTTTTTTCTAAATTTTGTCTAATAATCTAATCTAATTTTTCTAAATTTTGAAAAAAAAAAAAAAACAATGTTACATAACATATAATCGTCAGCTCAACGAAATGTGTCAACGAATTTTTTTGTTAACGTCGCCCTCGTAGACAACATATTGCGCCCAGCCCCTTACAGCTACAAATGTAGCGCAAATATAAACATGCAAAACACATAGGTGCTATTTAAATGTATTAAATAGTTCTGGGTAAAACCTTTCACCATCATACAACACAAAGAAGTCCTCAGAAACAGTTTAAAGCCTACCTGTCTTACGTTATCAAATTACCCATTTCTCATATGATAAACAACTTCTAACTAGATAATTATCACCTAATCATATGAGTGTGAGAAACACAAAAATGTTCTAGCTACAAACGAACCCAGTACAATGTTTCTATACAAATACCCTATTTAGATTTGTCTGCCAAGAGCGGCGACACTGTCTGCCCTCTCCTCACTCGCTCCGACCGCCCCGCGAGGTCCGCATGTAAATAAAAATACGTTCACCCATCTAATGTTCCTGCGCTTTGCAGTCGTTGCCACCAGTGCTGCGGCGAGGCCTTCCGTAGAGACAGCTTATTGTCGGCGCGCCACATAGAATACACCGCTGTGGCAGAAAGGCAGCAGCTATTATCTGGCGCCTCGGCGACAGTCTAATCCCTATTAACAATCACTGGGCCGGTGCTTGGCTAACGCTTGCTTATTCAACTGATTGTTGTTGACCTCTGCTAACTTCAGCGGTTATCGCTAGCCACTTAGCCCATTATTTGGTGGGGCGTATCTTCAGTTAACACAGTAGTAGCAGGCGCAAGTTGCAATTACTAAGTTAGTGGTTTGATTCTCGCGCTAAACTAAGCCGCCAGACAGGTAACACGAAAACGAGCTGGGGTAACGGGGGTGTTTCTACCCAGCTATTAAAACGCTCTGTGTGGTGCTGATTGCGGATTTTGCTGGTGGAAAGATCTCTTTTGCACAATGTGTGCTCTATGTTTGCGAGAGAGTTGATCAAGGAGACGACGATAACGAAGACAGTGGCGCTCCGTATCAGACGTGCGTGAATGTGGGCGAGACGGGTTAGATTTATTATAGGTTTACTACCTGTCCTTTCGCTAACAAATGGTACACATAACTGGTCTATGTACATTGCTGGTTTAGAATTTTAATTGTAATCTAGCTAACATCGCCGCCATTAGCTCGAGTACAGCAATTGCGATAGCTGGTCGAGCAACTCGATGCGATTTGAGTGGAGCACAACCTTGCGGAGAAGGCTGTTGTCGTAGTGAGAGTGTTGGTAATCCTCGTTTATGATGAATTTGCTCGTCTGTGGTGTCTCGATATAGAGTTAATAGCGTAATTGTGTCGCCGTTGTTGCTGAGCGGTTCCTGTTGACTGCCGTAAGCGATCTCGTGAATGCCACAACTATTATTATCAACCCCTCTTGGCTCTCCATCAACAACAAACACCAGCAGTGAACAATGAATGGCGGCGAGAAAGATTCGCTGGATGATTCGGGTAAGTTCGTATTTTGCATGTAGTCTATTTCGTTTCTAAGACGACAACTCCTACTGGACCACTGCTTGTAGTATTTGCCTAATAGAATTAAGGTATCGCGCCTTAACTGCTTCTACCTTTGCCTGACCATGCTCGATGAAGCATTGCTCATGGCGCACATGCACTAAATCCGGCGGTACGTCTCTCTCTCTCTCTCTATGTCTTGCCATTTTCTGCTGCTATACGCTAGCCCGTTTCGATCGGGAAGACTAGGAGAGGGGTGACAGTTCTGTTACGGTTGATGATGTGTCGTTGCTATTGTTTATATTGAAAGCATCGTCATAACCGGTTAGTAGGCTGTACCTATCCATATGTATAGAGCATCTACCGAATTTATGTTGTTTCATTGAGGCGTTGCGGCCGTTTTGGCCAGTGTTCCCGCCGTAACGCCATGGGTCGGTAATATTGTAGTGTGACATCGGAAGGTAATAGGCGGGCAGTTCAATTAGCTAACGTAATCGTGCTAACCAATAAGAAAGTGTTCGATGCTTTGTCAGTTACCTGTATAACAGATATTCTATGTGTGGTTAATTAGATTTCTGGTCCGATGGCGTGCGCGAAGAACACCTCTTGATTCGGAGGCATTGTGCGCATGCCCAATGTACGATAGAATGTGTGAACTCTGTGATTTCATGAGAACGATTTTATACCTAAGTATCATCGACATACTCCGCTAACAACACCTACACCGTCTGCCCATCAGAAGCATCAATCTCATTAGGCGAACGTAGAAAAACACCTGCCAATGCGTTATTCATAGGTGCATGCGTGCTTGTCTGGATGTTGACTCCGGACATCAGCTGATCAGTCGGCGCGTGTCATTGCCCATTCATTCATACCCAAGTTTAGATTTGGTATAGCTGCAAAGATCTGCAGCAGCTGAACCGACCTCCTCCTACCCGTTATTTCTGACAGTAAACAGAGGAGATGAGGTATTTGAGAAGCTTCCACGACGATGATGATTGTATCTCTCTAGACGACGATTGTAAGTTTACCGTATTTTCATTGACGTTGTGCTAGTGATGCCTGTGTGGTTTATAGTTTGGGGAGTATGCGAACAAGAAGTGCTATCGGTGAGGTAGTTGTACAGGGGCAGTGATTTGATAGCATTTGTTGTTGTAGCGATTAGCCTGAATGGAAAATAAAAACTGCTATGGCTGCTACTTGAAAAGGTGCTCCGCAAGAAGCGTGCAATACGGTCTTAAATTGAAATATTATTTGGCTTGAGGTTGCACTGACAAAACGATGTTTTTTTTGTGCGTATTCCAGCTCTTAGCATTTGGACGCCATGGTTTACTGTGATGCTAAAGTACCAGATTAACGTTGCTCTAAACATAAAATCTCTTCATTTTACCTCGTGCATCGAGAAAGTACATCATTATGTCTAAATGCGTTTTACTTATTCGAAGGTTGATGGCGGGAGCGCCGGATATAGCACTCAAATGTTGCAGGAATATACACTGGCTTCTCGTAAGCCTTAAGATTGACGACGTTTTTCGTCAAATCGAAACTTATTATCCAACGGAAACTTAAAGTTATCGAAAACCAAATTCGCCGAATAATTCCCTCCTGAAGCTCCTATGATACAATCAAGTAACTAAAAACTTCATTCAAAGTGTATACTCATTCACTTGGAATAAACACTAATTGAAGCCCTATTCGAAACCTATACGAAGTTAACCTTGGTTATATTTACACAGTTAACGCTGCGCTGTATTGATCCAATTTGGCACACCCTGTGGAAACTGTGCTATACCGCAAATGATGGTGTTGTGCTTGAAAGCATTTACTGTTGTTCTCATAGGTAAAGCCAAAGTAAATTTAATTGAAGGAGTGGTCTATCCTATCAAAATATCATAGGTAGATCTTTTGCAATTTCTCTATACTCTCTTGACTGAGCATGAAGCAGTATAATTTCACTCGAAAATGCAAGAAATGCCCAAAACACGTAAGGCAAATTCCCATGATATCAAGTGGCAAATTATGTTTGATCTAACTTGCGTGTTCACGAGACGATTCTTCGTTAGGTGTAATTTTTTTCTATTGCATACGCTTTTTTGTTGATTGGAGGAGATCTCTATGATTCCCTTCAATTTAGAAATCGATATTTTATTGTTAAAGTTCTACGGAAGCCGACCACGTATAAGCTCCAGTCTACCGGAAATTTTTGTCATGCGGATGTTTACAACTTGTCCATAATTCATTGTGATATCCAACTAGATCAAACGTAAGTTGGTGAAATAGTGGTGTGCCAGCTAGATGAAAAGTCGAACCTGTGATAGCGCTGATTTGAGTCCGTTACGTTGTTAACCTGACGAACTGGTCTACGAACTTTGTTCACGCTAACTTAACTTCCAATAATTCGGACATTGGAAACAATCAACTTATCAACGCGTCTCCTTACTATCAATTCGATGAACCACCTACGATTTACGAAAAGTTGTTAATTTTTCCGTAGGTCGTTTTTTTCACTCATCCCAATGGTACAATGAAAGCCATCCTACCTTTGTGTTGTGCATGATTCAGCTTGAAATGTACTCGTACGAGCATGTTGCGCTTCGTTATTCTGTCTTGGTCATTCTGAATGACTGTCAATTTATGGTCCTACTTTGCCTACATTTTATTTAGGGCGAAGTATCAGTATTTTTTTAAATACATGCTTTTTGTCATGTCTCTTATGTTGTGCTATTGCTATTATTAATGCTATTGTTTTGGTAATTGAAATGGTCCTCCTCTTCGTTATGATTGCAATCATCTTCTTGACTGTTGCCAGGCGTGGATAAGTCGTCAATGTTGTGGGAAATGACTCGTTCACTAGACACGTTCGAGCTGTCCTCATCGTCCCGTGATACTCCCAACGTGGACAACGCCTCAGCTGGAGCAGCTTCTATAGATACTCACGGTATGTGGGTCAATGATCGTCGTTGTTTTTTCATTCTATAATACAATTGTTGAGTTTACATAGCTTGGGTTTCATTGATAATTCTTTATTTGAAAATGTTTATTTCTTTCATGTCAAGCATCAACAACAGTGTATTGATCTGCTATGTACTGCGAAATTTTTTTCTTTCGTTGTATTCGATAAAAAAGCGGTCAAATAAACGAAGCCATCTTCGTTATTTCATTCCTTTTCTTTTATTCCTTTCGCGTTCATTTCATATCACGATTTCTCATCACAATTTATTAACCTTTCACGCTCAAGCCTGGACACCAGTAGGTCTATCAGGCCATGAATTCGGTTTCCGTGTTTCGTTGCTACGATGTTATCACAAACACTGCCCAATACTACCGTGCCTCTATTTTCAATTATTAGAATATCGACCTTGATCAGCAGACCGTCTCGCCTTTGTGTGACACATTGCACGTCAGCAAGAAATCTCTGAACACAGCATATAACACTGATGTAGTATGCCTTTGAGATATTCTGAATTGCTTCTTTGCGCTCTGGAAGCCTATTTCGAAATCACTATGACGAACACTATCTCTCCGTGTGTTTTTCAAACGACTTCTTTTGCTAGATAGCTTCGAGCTATAGGCTCAGATGAACATTAACAAATGGTTCCTATCGTCGCTTTTTGGAAAAAAAAAATTATTTTTGCTAATTTTTTAACTATTGTGGCAGAAGCTTAAACGTTACGTCATATCGATGGAAATGCTATTTCACAACGCGATTCGACGCAAGTTGTATAACCTATTGCAATCCGCCTTCTAAGCTAAGCTAGATTTTCAGCCATGCAGTGCTTCCTTCTTCTTCGCGCCCTTTTCGAAAACGGCTTTATCCACTGAACAGTAGCGAATTATATGGCGTAATTAGACGAAAAGATCATGTGTACTCTTTTTTATCTAAAACATGTACTTGTATTCAAGTGTGCTAGCTAACCGAACGTGTCAGAATAATAAAACTGTCGTCATTTCTTTTTGTCGATACAGCGAGTAAGGTGTCCGCTTGTCAAATGGAAGGTCCAAGTTCGATTTTTGCAGGCATTCAGTAGTCTTTTCACACGTTGATTTTAATTAAAGGAAAGGATTGCCGTACAATTCTGTGACCTATACGTTTACGCTTTCTACCCTCAGTAGATAACAAGTGAGGTCATCGTTCTTGGCGACGGGCAGCCGCGCAGACGAGCTATTGAAAAGAACGGTTAATACAAGCTCTGATGAAACAAAATCAGCCAGCTAATATTCGTCAGGCATCTCAGTTATACATATTTGATTAGCGCACATCTGCATGGATTCACATGAGGGAAACGATTATATAGTAACAATACTGATTAAATCAATATAGCACAATTAGAAAAAAACATTGTCCCTAGCTGCTTTTGGACTTCGGGCCGATTTCAACCTTGCGCGGGTATTTTTAGACTCTATCCAGGCATATAAGAGACTTGAAAAGATGCGTCCCTACCTTCTACGCATACAGAACGATGAGTTAAAATGAAGAATATGTATGTCTGTGCGTCCAGTATACTTTAGATGCTAAATACCTTCTATTCGTGCACAATCGGCATCCATCTATTACAGAGCAGACGGTAATTGTTGGTGAAACATGTTACTCTCCTGGTTAGCGACTATGACACCCGTTCAGTCAAGGCTGATCGAATTCCACGTACAATCAGATTTCTGTTTGTCGATTTTCTCGTTATGACCAAACTCGCTTAGCGGAAGCCGGAGTGCGCAATGGTCGTAGTAATAGCAGCATAATGTGTATAAAATTTGACTGTGTGTTCTCTATGCCCGACTGAATGCCAGTGGCTCCGGTTGTTCGTGACTTGCTGGGGCATTTATGAGAGATGTCGAATCACTAAATAAACAATCAGCATATTTAGCAATTGTATATCTACATAGGGTAACCGGCGACAGTATTGCTATCAATAAGAAACTGTTCTCGGTGCCACTATCATAGATTTGTTCTGTTACTGTATTTAACAAGTCGGCGTATCAGACGGATATCAGTTGATTAGTGGGTGCACGAGAACTGTAAGCCTATGGAATTCGGGTTTAAGATGGCGTTACCAAATAAACGTTGTCATTCGAATTACCAATCGTTACATCTGCTTCAAATGGAGTACACGGCTGAAATTAAGCTGAGTATGTGAGCCGGTAAAGCTGTTTTAATATTGATTACAGTGAACACCACAAGCTATATAGTAGTGAAACTTTACCTAGTGTTTTTGGCATATCCGTTGTTAATTCATTTGTACATGTGTGTCATAGGTGGCACCGCTACGCCTACCTCAAGTCTCGTGTCCGGGAGTGGAACATCGGAGCACGGCGGATCGAGTAACGCTGGTACAATGGACAACAACCAGATAAGGGTCTGTTGAAAGAGTAAACTCGATTTTTATTATAAATTGGAGTAGAAAAAATACGCCCAAAATAATGCGCCAAAACAGATGTTGATTCATTTACGCATATTTATTATTCATTTTAATTATGGAAGGCATTCCAATAAAACTTTACGTTGAATAAATATTTAGTTCATCACGTAGGTCTCGCGCAATTTATATAGTCTTTTTCTGACTTCAACCATGAAAGTGTCCGGCTGACCTCTTAGATCCAAGCAAGAAGAAGGTTGCGTAATCTGAATCTTATAGATAAAAAAAAATAGACTGTGATGTATATTGCGATTTCGAAGCCGATATGGGCAAACCAATCCCTGATGTATTTAGTGCTAGAAGATAACGCCAAATACCGCAAGGATTAATTCTCACAGATAGAATACCGGTTGCAGCCAACTTTGTCGTAATGGCCAAATTATTGCTGCTAAACCTTTCTATTTTCGCATTACCCATTCGAACGCCTCAGACCAAAAGCAGTGCCGTTTTATTGCATTAGTGTCGAGAAAGCATTGGCCATTTGTCTTGTATGATAGCTTTAAGTGGCCACACATCTCAGGGAGTCGTATCACTTGACAACTGAGGCTTGGCAGTGCACCGAAAGTGTTTGTTTCAGTGTCTTTGCTTAGACTCAGTATAGAGAGTTTTGAAGGTGAGTGCCATTTCTGGAAATATTCGCAATTATCTATTGTTTTATTACGATCAAGGCACAGATGCTTTCCAGAAGAAAACTGTGCCGTCTAGGGTCATGTTAGATGTGTGACCGAAAAAAAAACACCTTAAAAATACTTCTGTAGCTTTTGTTCGCAAAATTTCGAGTATTTCTCTTAGTAGCCGATTAATTACAAGAAAATTGATGAGGTTTGTTGCGTCGGAGAAAACGAGACCGACGCGTGACTGGCCATGACATCGCCAAGGAACTAAACATTTACCGCAAAATAGTTTGAAATTATTCAAAGAAAGCTGGCTACGAAAAAATGTTCGTTGTTCGAACGCCACACGGAATAACGCAAAGAAAAAAATATTTAGATCATAATTCCATCTGAGAAACGCAATGAAATCAATTCAGTTCTATAGCGGTCAATTACGGATGATGAGAAACAGATCACATACAGTAATTATATGCAAGTGGGAAAAAATATGCTTCACATCCTGTAGCAAAGGCCGAAGGTGATGTTATGTGTTATTGGTAGCATTGGGCAGGAATCGTGCGTTATGAGTTACTCTCGTCTGGAAAAACGATTGATGATGAAAAACTGACAAGATTACAACAGGAAAGAAGGAATCGACGTACATTTCTAGCTTCCCGACAAAAATGGACGAAAAATTTCAATGCATCCGCTCCTAGATCTTGTGTCAACAAACTATCACTGGTTTCGATCTTTGCAGAACTAGAGAAATGGCAACAGAGGTCATCGATTAGTAATGTTCTTTTCAAAAATAAACAATATTTGTTTGAGTTTTGGCTTTAAAACAGTCAATACTTGTTTCGACAACTGAATATATTGTATTTATCGAATAGATTAATATATTTACTTGATTTATTCACACGAAATTATTTCAGAAGTTGGTACCGTTTGACGAAGTTCCACTACTGCCAGGCGAAAAGCCCCCCTTAAAAAATGGTAAGTACTCAGCCCAACAGAATGTTGTATACTGCCTTTTATCCGCTGGTTGCACGCGATCAAAGATAACATTTATGTACTTTTCTTAAATGGAGAGCACTTCGTTTACTAACCAATCTTCGGCGAGGTCATATGCTTCACAGTTTTTTGGTGCATCAATTATCTCTATTTTTTCCATAGTGCAGAGCACGTGCTGTCTCAAGCTTACTCATTCTATGGCACACTAGAACAGTACCGCATTGATCGTTGTTTCTTTATTTATTTCTACAGCTCAAGACGTATCCTACCTCTGCCCATTCCACGATCCGATTCGCGGCACGATCTACGTGACCAACTACAAGCTCTACTTCAAAAGTGTGGACCCTGCCTTCGTTCTCGACGTGCCTCTAGGAGTGATCAGCCGAATAGAAAAGGTATTGTTAACTTGGCTCCTTATGTCGTATTATGAATGTATAGATTTTTTTCAATAAGGCTGTTAGGATAGATAAAAGAGCAGTCGAGAAGTATGATACCCGTGCAATCTTTAGGACAGCAAATTCACTTGGTCACTTGTTGTTCTTAGTCGTTAAGTGCTTTTAATGTAATGTGGGCATAATATGTTGGAAGGGCAACAAAATCTAACAAGAGACATAATGAAAATAACTCTTTTACAGATCGGCTATCACTCGTCGAAGCAGGAGAATTCGTATGGCATTGAAGTGGTCTGTAAAGATATGCGTTCGCTGAAGTTTGCGCACAAACAGGTGGGATGTTGGTGAAATACACATTACTTCATCGAACGTGTAAAAAATAAATGACACTGGTGGAAACAGCATTAATCCAGCCACGATATGGTGAAATCTTTTCTTTCACAGGACAACGTATACTTGACTTTGATGAAGGAGGAGTAAACATCCAATCCAGGATAGCTGTTATCATTTAATGAGAAAATCTATTTAGTTTTACGTGTATGAAAAACGATTTGAATCTATATTTCAGGAAGGTCACTCCAGACGCGACATTTTCACCAAAATGACGCAATACGCATTTCCTCTTTCAAACAACCTTGACTTTTTCGCCTTCGAGTACAAAGAGGACTTCCAGGAAAATGGCTGGGCAGTTTACGACGCCGAGGCAGAGCTAAAACGACAGGGATTACCAACTGAAACGTGGCGAATTTGCAATAAAAATGCCGGGTACGTATTTAAATAAGCGGGCCAATTTGAAGATAAAGGAGCGCTAAATAATATAGTCTCCCGTCCGATACCTACCAGTGAGGCGTTTAATATATGTAATTGTTGCAAATAATTGGAATTCGTATGTAGTTGTTGCGCTGATTGCTTCTTAATTTAATGGCAAATCAGGTACAGACTATGTGACACATACCCAGAGATTTTCGGGGTACCCGCGCTTGCTGATGACCCGATGCTCGAGGTGGTGGCAGGCTTTCGTTCCCGAGGCAGACTTCCCGTTTTATCATGGATTCATCCAGAAACACATGCCACGATCACGCGATGCGCACAGCCACTGGTTGGAGTACGTATAACAGTGTATATCTCAATCGTTCTTTTGATCATGGGCACAGGACTACAAGGTCATAACCTGAGCTAAAATCGGTTCCATATTGTCCACTCGTCCATGCTGGTGATTTGGCCAACTTTCGTTCGGACTTATGGCAAGAGAACTTACCGCGAAATTGTCGTGCATTCTGTCTAACGTACCCGAATCAATATCGTACAATATCCCGTTCTTGCAGGTGACTGGCAAGCGTTGTACGGAAGACGAGAAATACCTGTCATACATTATGGAAGCAAATACTCATTCGTCAAAATTGTACATCATGGATGCTCGGCCATTAGTGAATGCCGTTGCTAATAAGGCCATGGGCGGGGGCTACGAAAACGAGGAAGTTTATAAAAAGAATGCTGAAGTCATGTTTCTTGGTACGACAAAAAGGTGTTCGCTTTCATTTGTTATACAAAAATGTTATTATGTAAAGAAGGTGCTTTGTATATTATTAATCAATTTGTACTTATTGCTTCATTTTCTCAAGTATTATTTATTGTTAGAAAGCTTTTTCTACTTTAGAAGTCTAATTGTTGTGTCATTTCACTTTCACTCCGGCTTCTAAATGAGATCTAAGACTAATGGAAAAGTTAGTTTATTTATTTTCATTTAAGAAAATGCAAACATTTTGACTTTTTATAGTGCAACCAGGCGTAATTTGCTAATGATCTAATACTAGCAAGTTCAGGATAAAATTCGATTTCTTGTTTCGCAACCTAGTGTTTATTTGTAATTTTTTCTCATCCCTTTAAAATTTTCTTCTGTACAGATATACACAATATTCATGTGATGCGAGAATCGTTACGGAAGTTATCTGAAGTTTGTTTTCCAAACATTGAGGACAACCATTGGCTGTCGAACGTGGAAAATACCCATTGGCTCGACCATATCTGCTGTATTCTTTCGGGGGCGATCAAAATAGTGCACAAAGTAAGTTAAAGTAAGATAAGAGTGTACTGAATTTAAGAAGTTACTCCCTAAACGCTTTGAAGATTAATAAAAAAAAATAATAATAATATAATGTGGATATTACTATGCAATTATAGACTATATATCCATGTGAAGTCTTCGAATGAACAGATCGGAAGAACGTTAGCGTTTGGTCTCATTGGCTGAAACGAAATATGAAGTGTTCCACTTTCTGATGTGACTGCTTATTATAGGTCGAAGGCAGCCGGTCATCGGTTCTCGTCCATTGTAGTGATGGGTGGGACCGCACGTCACAGCTTACCTCACTTGCGATGCTTCTTCTAGACCCTTACTATCGAACTCTCAAAGGTACGTAAAAAATATTCATTTTTGCTTACTTTTTTTTGTAGAAAAGCAAATTCTTCTATGCGGCGATTTCTATCAGCATTCGATTCAGCCACTTGAATTCCAACGGATATTTGCCACTTGCCAAATAAAACACAAGTAAGGAGCAGTAACACAACAAAAGACACAATAAACATGTTCGAAACTATAATCTTACCTATTGAAAAAGAAAACGTGGTGAATGAGAGAGTTAACACCTTCTTGAAAATCGTAATCGTATTTTGAAATTATTGAATTGTTAGTTCTCACACAACTGCGTGTGGATATGGAAAACTTGGTAGCATTTGTTGGTATTTGTCCCTAAACTCAATTCAATCACAATTATAAAAAAAATAGTGATTTACTCAAAACAACTTCAAAGTACCCTCTTTATGCAAGCAGACCCAAAGGATTATTATCGGGCAGGGGAAATTCGAACCGTTGTCAAGTTTGACCACAAGAACTATATTGACCATGTCTGTTCTGTTTCGTGTGACGATAGGCTTCCAGGTGTTGATTGAAAAAGAATGGTGTTCGTTTGGTCACATGTTCGAGACTCGATACGGCCACGGGGTCGATAATTACTCCGATTCGTATCGTAGTCCCGTTTTTGTGCAGTTCATCGACTGTACTTGGCAGGTGCGGTATAATCTACGATATAATAGTTTCAGGAGAGCAGCTGTAAGTTTCATGAATGCCGATACCCGTATATGGTAACAACAGTCACAAGCTTGTCCATATAATGATCTGTTGCGAGTAATTGTTGTGTTTCTGGCAACGTGGCTAACGTTTTGCAACCGCCGCCACTTATTAGCAAAGACAACTAAAATAATATCATGCGAACCCGTGAATTCGGCAGGTGATGAACCAGTTTCACAATGCATTTGAGTTTAACGAGAATTTCCTCGTGACGATTTTGGATCATCTGTACAGTAACCTCTTCGGAACGTTCCTTTATAACAGCGAGAAGATCCGTCTTGAGAAGGTTAATATAAATAAGGGAATTCAGTGTGGCTGACGCGGTTAGTTCGAAATTTTATTATTGAAAAGTTGTAGCGTTTATACCAGACAATCTAACAGATTTGTGTGTCTTTCCGGTGTGATTGCAGAATGCGAAAGCTCGAACAGAATCCCTTTGGTCGATGGTAAATTCGAACGCCGATTTGTACCTCAATCCCTTGTATACCCGTTACCCTCAACAGAGCGTCTTATTCCCAGTGCCTTCCCAGCGCCGGATTCGACTTTGGAAGACGTATTATTGCCGGTAAGCTAAAGGACGATATTCGTTCTGAAGTCGTCTAGTGAAATTGTGGTTCATTAGAACTGAGTAAATGTACATAGAGGGGAATGGTGCCTTTGTATCGTTAGTAAGTTACAGTTAAAGCTACTTTTAGATGAGAAGTTGTATTTTTAATTCAAAAGGTACTTTTAACTTTTTTGCTACAGCAAGTAGGTCAGATTTCAACGTCCATATCTAAAATGTCTAGTACGCAGTAGCTCTTCATAACTAGTGAAGTTGCAGGGACATACCGAAAGAATTTTATAAACACCCAAAGTGAAATTTTATAAATATTAAAAATAACAATCGCAATTACGATAATAATAATAATAACACTAATAAAAACAAAGCGGAATTGTTTAATCGAATTAAGGTGTTCAATATGGTGGATAGAAAAGACAATAAAGGTTGTATCTAGGAATTTGTTCTTTTATGGGTGTACCACTCAATCGACGTTTGGATCCATTTACAGGTGGAACCCTCGGATGCGATCACAGCAGCTTCTGGTAACACGCGGAATCGAACTTCTTGGGCTAAGGCGGACACTGCAGAAAACTGTAGATGAAGCCAGACGTGAGGTATGTAATGAACCTGCGACCTGCTCTATCCCTGGAGTTTCGTAAAGAAACCAAAGTGTAAACTGGAATTTGCTAATTAAAAAAACATTTTTCTTGTGCTTTGATCACTATCCACTATATTGATAGAATATTTTTTATGTATCCTTGCCGCATGAAAGTATAGCTCATTCTACCAAGATACGCATTTTTCTAGGGAACTATGTTTAAATATTGGTTCATGATTATCCCTCGTTTGTCTTTGCTCTACTGTCTTATTATTAGGTGGCAATCAACCAGGCTCGGAAGAAAGATAAAGAGTCAACTTCTACGTGCGGAGTGACCCGAAGTGGAGGTGGCGGGGCTGATGGTGCAAGCAGCTCAGGAGGAAGCAGCCCCGGAGGTCAGAGCAGCACCACTCATCAACCAGTTATGGTTTAGGGCACCTGATAAAACTGATTCCCTTACATGTGGAAACTCAGAATAATAACAACAATAATAGAAAAATTGCTGAAACCATTTAGCACAATATCTAGAAGATATAGCATGACCCGAGTAATCGTCATTAACCCGAGCAAACAGCCTTTTACGTTGCAGCCCACCGTGGAAAGATGGAAGCAATAGACCATTTGTTAATTTCTAGATTCAAGGTTTTCTATGGCGAAACCTCTATTTAAATTTTCAGTTAGAGCAGCGAACTTTAATTTAGTATAGCAGCCGCACTTCATTTGATATATCTTCTTCTAGGGCTCTTTAAGCTGTCTAGTAATGGCTCACCGCAGCTATATAATTTTATGTAAATAATTCTTTTGGGAATTTTTCCCGACACATTCCCTTGAAAGCATCTTCCACCACAGAAGATGAATCACAAGTAAAGATTGGTTATATAAACATATTCAAATCTATATTTACAAAAGTGACTTACATGCATTTTCATTGTGAAGGAAAATTAATATTTGAACTGTTTAAAAGTAAAAATATTGTTCTTTTACAACTCAAGCCACGTTTTGATCAGCACTACAGAGCTCCCGTTGGCCACTGCGGTACAAGCTGGAAATATACAGCGGGGTTCTTACACCGGTCCCATTTCCCTAAAATAGACCAACAGCACGATCCAGCTGCAGGCGCATTTCATATCGACACACAGGATGAGGTAACGCTAAAAAAAAGCTAGAAAGGTTCCTGCTTGAAGCGATGCCCTCTTTTCCTAAATATACATATACAGAAAAAATGAAGTTGGTTTACCCCACTAGTATAAAATAGATTCCGTAGACTTAGAAGGTTGGAAGCTTTATATATTAGCAGTGGTATTATTATTAGTTGTTGTGTAGTACTGATGGAACACGAGTCTCGGCAGTTCATTTGCCGAATCACTTATAACCAGGGTGTTTGAAAAGTCATGCAACATGAGACGACGGTAATAATATAAAGTATACGAACAGTAACACGGTGGGTTTAAACAGTCGCTTAACATAACTAAATTGCGTTGCTTTTTGAGTACACCATCGTAAGATCTGTGGGCAGTGCACTACTGTTGCACTAAGTTCCCTCACTTTTTCAACACTCTGTAAATACTTGTCGTGTGTATCTACTACAATGTTTTAATCCGCTAAAGCTGTACAGAGTAATTACATCACACAATTTTCCATAAATGACATACAAACAATTAGAATTCCTGTGTGGTATTTGTCTACAAAGACGTGTAACAGTGCGCTACCGAAACACTAAAGATTACAACGGACTCAACAGTGAATTATAGAAGGAGGCAACAGTGTAAATGGGGTACATATATATATTATATATATACACATATATATATACATATATATATATATATATATATATAATGAAATAAAAACAACTGTTAAAACTGACCTGTGATTTTTGCTCTTTGGTTAATTATTCGATAGCACTAGTCCTATTATTATATCTGCACCATTTATACCAATACACCAACGTACTGAAAATCGTTGTATGGGGTTGCCATCGGATTTAGAGTGGTTCTTAAGGAAAAAAAGACACACGTTACGGTCAGAGTGAAAGGTAACGAAGTTTTGGATTGTAATGATGGATCCCTCTACCATGTTATTTTCTTGAAACTAAGTAAACTAATAAGCTTGAAGTAATGACTTCTGTTGAGTGTGCCGGCATCATCGGCTGAAAATCTAATAGTAATTATATGAGTGTACCCTATTTAGCTGATAATTGAACTATAGTCTGGTGGTGGTTTCGTATCTATTTCTATATATAGATAGCTATTTTTTAACACCATACACAAACAGTACCTTATTCGATCTCTCTAGACACATATTCGGTTTGCTAGTTTTAACATCTGAATATTCAAACTTTATCAGCGATTTTGTTTTGAATGTTTTCTATTCGGAACCTTCCATTGCTTCCATTACGAAGACGTTATAAGCCAAACGAACGAACGCAGATATTAGGGTAGGATGCCAGTTAGAAAATTGAAATTTTTATTATTTATTTATTTATTTATAGAAAATCAAAGGTATGATGTGTGTATGTGTGTCTATTTTCGATGGTTTTTTGGAGCAAAAATAAACCTCAATATCTTCAGAAATAACTTAACGCTTGCAAAAGAAGCTCTCATTATAGGTTGCTTTCTCGCCTATAACACACAACTTGTCGATACTTAATTTTATCTTCAATTTAATGAAATGAAGATTCGTTACTAGTTTGTCTTCTTTTCCGCAGAATCAGTAAAAGAAGCCATATATGGTTACTTTTTTGCTTGAAGAATTAAGTTAAACAACGCGACCTAATAAAGTTGGGATTTGGCATGGGTAGGGAACAATTAACTGATTCAGAATTATTGGTTCGGCGGCAAATTCAAGTGTCACCATGTTTTGAATGAAATAGTACTTGTAAGGATTTTTGAGACTCTACTAGCTGCCCGATTTTGTGCTTGTATTGGGTGAAACGGACACGCTTCACATTGTGAATATAAATCATATTCAATTCGGTTCAAGTCAGACCTATGTAGGAGCAATTATTTTCTTAGAACCTTGCATTTCTGTTTAGCCTTTCTTGATCGTTCTTAATATGGCGCTCCCAGCGCCTGGTCGAATTCCAATTTAGACACCTTAGAACACGTTTTATTTGATCACACGTCAACCACTTAGCGTCGCTTAATTTAGTAGAACTGGGACAAGGTGAATCAATAGTACCGATTCATGTGTCTTACAATGTGTATTTTGCGTCATCGTTTGTAGCTTCGCAAAAGGCTCACCCCCTGAAAGCCACATAGGGATTCTTCTCCGATTTTCGAGAAATAAGCTACGCATGTTTCAAGTGTTGACCGCATGCTTTGAGAGTTTGTAAGAACAGTTCTTAAAAAAAAAAAAAAAGGATCAAGTAAAAGGGATCATCTTAACTGATTTTAAGGCTATTGCCGGTACGGCTCTTATGAAAAATATGAAAATTAAAAAAGCGTCATAACAAAGCCTCACAACGGGCTGTTAAAGACGCTTAATTGCAGCTCCACAAAAGACATAGCTGTAGCTCTATCATGATATAACAGGTCAGTCTGTAATAGGAATCTCCTCGTAAAACACGGTCATAGCACTGCCCTTATTGGAAGTAATGATATGTTGTAACGCCAGTGCTCCGGAAGGCGCTGTCTGGCTTACAGTTAAGTAGGAATTGATATCCAACTCAAAAGAATCAAGCGGTGAAATAGTACCCGAAGCGCCATCGGATGCCAACCCGCAAACACTTGGTCTGTGCCGAACAGGCCAAATGGTCCATTCATGACCTTGTGTGCCGCGCTGCTGCTTCTAGTTTTATCACTAAGCGACTGATCACGTCTCAAAATGGCTACTGCTTGTTGTTATTAAAATTCAACCGTCGAAAGAAGGTGGTCAACCCAAGGATGCTTTTCTACGACGACGTCGATTGACAAGTGTTTGCGTAGCCTAAACAACCACATGGAGCTGGCGCAGCACCACCATCAATACTAAAGCCAGTCCTATGCTCAACCAGCAATCGCACGCATCCATTGTACTCTGCTGTATACTTGCAATGATCACGGCATTTCATAGGTGAAGACGATTACGACAGCCGGGATTTACCGCGAATAGGTTCGCCTACGTTAGCCTTTCGGTACGAAATGAGATAATAAACTTAATTTTTTTACTTTCTTCACTAGCATAGTTCTTTTCTTCTCAATGTAAATGTTTCGACATTATTATGTATGACCTTATACCATTTGAATGATGCCTTATATATTCAGCCATCGTGGAAATCTGGGTAAGGGAGTCTCTAGTCTCAAAAGGCGATTTCCACATCAGGTTAGACAATTTTTCATCTAATAACTTGTCGAAATATCAGAAAACAATGACAATATAGGCGCAATGTCTGATGAGTGTGGCAAGCAACACCCTCCAACTGTAACTCCTGCATTTTTGCGATCGTGATTCTTACGACGTAAGGTCAATCGTTTTCGTGCAGTAGGAGGAGTTTGCTCTTGTTCACTAATCTTCGATTTGTTTTGTTTGCCACGTTTGCCAGTAGACTCCATACGCTTTTGCAGATGTTTCACTCATTCAGTTGCATTCACCTCCTGATTTGATCGTCTGTGATTAATGTACAATATTCATTTTCTTTTATCAACCGTTACGATTCAGTGCAAAAAGCTCATGTACTAGCAGTAGTGCACTTTGAGATTGGTCGGCTACCACCACGCCTCTGAGCACCTCCATATCTGCCTTGATATCTACATAAGATCCACTATCGAATCTAAAAGCTTCTTCTGAAAAATTCTGAAGTCGACGGCTCACAATGCTTTTAGTAGTACATTCTTCATAGAATGCAAATTTATATGTCGAAACGCCTTCGCCACTGTGATTCTGAACAGGACTAGTAGCCGCAAACTACTCGGATTTCTTGGGCCCGCGTCGCTTACGTTCACACGTCCGCTAAAAAACTATGTGACGACTTCTCGGTATCGACACCCAGGTTTCTAATTCCGATGGCTAGCTGCACTCTGTTCACAGACTTTCTTCTCATAGAACTAGATCTCCATACAGGGCTTACGCGAATTTCATGGAGCAGTTATAAGATCACAAGGAAAATTATTGTTTCGCTGTGCCTAGCTAGCGATCGAGATATAACTTTGAAATAAACTGGTTAAGCATTTTTACGAAAATAACCTAATTTTATAGTGAAACGAATAAATAGACGCTGATTCGATTTTTTATTGATGTAGATTAATATACCAACTGCTGTATAAAAAGTCATCAACATGTAATGTAGTGTATTTGCACTAGTAAATAAAACAAAAAACGTTGCAATGTTTTTTGAGGCTTAAGGTTGCCTAATCCAACTTACCGCAGGCAAAGTCAAATCCACAAAAATGAAATTTGATACAAGTTAGGCTCTCATTTAATATGAAGTCTATTATCCTGCAGAAGTTAACGAAATGTGTGCGATAGAATATAACTTTATTTATTTATTCTGAGTTTTTTCTGAGAGAACTCCGTAGTGTGTCTTTTCATTGCAGATCCGTAAAACACAGCTAAGGAAAAACTAGATGCTGAACTCTTATAAAAGATGTATTTTCTTTTCAATTTTGATTTTCAGATTTGATTTTAATTTTGAAAGTGCATATATTCGGTCGATTCTTATTTACAAGGCAGCGACGTAGCATAACTTGAGTGTATAAATGTAAATAAAACATTGGTGTGGTGACATAGACGGCTAAGCTTTTTGTTGAAAAAGCCAAAGGTAGTCGCGCCATCAACATACACACGACATGTATGTCTTTAAATAAAGAAAATCTTAAGTATGAGAGATCTAGTCTGTGTGTCTTTGCTTATTTACGTAGAGTTCAACATACGTATATACATATAAAGTACGGCATTTAAATCGAAACATATTTTGGAAGGTTGTTTGTCGTAATAGTAATGCATTCATTCGCCATTTTTTGTATTAGAAGAAAGCCTGTGCCTTCTAAAACAAAACAAATTCGTCATAGTGGAAATCAAAATCATGGGAAAGCTTTAAGGAAAATCTAATGCTTTTTCTGGAGAAGATCGACCTGCCGGAATGGTTCTTAGCCACTATTCGTAGAACGCAGAAACGTTCAAATGGCTTGACTTTGTTAACAAGCATGGCTGGATGAGTTGGCACTGAAGCTGGAACCCAGCGTGTTCTTGGTTAATATCCAAACAACCGTGAAATTAGCTACTCTTACAAACTTTACCACAGCGGTTTGAGCTAATCGGTTTGGGAAACCCGACGTTCAAGTGGTCCAAGGCTATACGTCAGAAAAACCTGATACCTTCTCCCGTATATGCAGTAAAGAGGGAATGCTAGACGCCATCGCTGCTTAGAGGGAGAGCGTAACGCCCAATGTCCGCAAATGGAAATTATGATGTTCAAAACGATATAAACCAGAGTGGTAGGCTCCAGTTATACTGGCACTGTGAAGCTCAAAGGCCATGGTGCGCATTTGTAAACTCATACGCCTGTCATTAAAAATACCACTTTCAGTAAATTAATCATAGCACGTCAACTAACCAGTCGTTGGTGAACGGCGATAATACGAGCATTTCGAGAAGAGTGGGTCCATCTTTAAGGAAGATATTTTACGTCGAACAAGTCCGAAAAGATCACGACTAGTTTAGCCAAAATTAACCGAGATTTTGGTGTTTCCAACCTACCATAGGGACCATCCAGACGTCAATAAAACTGTATGCCCGCTGATTGTGCGTTGTTTTCTAGACCGGATATAGACTAGAGCAGTAAGCACATACACGGCTGCGACGTATGCCGACCTGCGGAGAAAAGCTGAGGAAAATCTTTTTCCTTCATCGTTAACCAAGGTACTATGAATGCGCTATTTAAAAAGTCGATTTCAACATTATTGAGCAGAATGCACAACCATGTTCACAACGAGTACTGCGACGACAGAAGGATATGCTTCGACACAGCTGGGGCCTGGTTGCGCGGGTCTGATGTCTCATGCAAACTCGTTATAAAGGACGCCTCCGATGGTGGCGGACGAAACAGTTAAGCATGCCAATCGGTTTTGAAAATAATGGAATCCCACTTGATGTGACGAGGTCTACGCAGTGCAACATGAAATCGGCGTACAAGGTACTAGAGGATACTGTAAACATTGTAATATTCATATAATAATTACATGTCTGCGGCTAGATCAGAGTAGGCAGCTGCGAAGCGCTCGTTCCCGCCGACCAACGACAAAGCTGAGCCTGTCTGCTTCAATATAATTGCGAGTAGTACGAATACGTCAACAAAACGAATAATCTCGTCAAAGACGAGTTTTACAAACGCATATTTAGTGAATACAGTAAGTGTCTGCCGGGGTTTGTTAAAAAAAATTTTTCATGATTACATATCGAATTCAGAAGAGCCCAAAGCCTTGGCGTAAAGAATGACTCGATTACTTATACTCTCCGCCACTACGTTTTCTATCTGCTGCACAAACTAAGTCTGGATCGACGTACAGCTTCATTATCATTGGCCGTACATCCGCTTCAAGAATACAAACCATAAATGGCTTCCCACGTGCTAAACGGCATGACATTAGATATTGCCTTTATTTAATCCCAACTAGCGTATGTTTTGTCATAGCTCATATATTTTGCTCGTGCTATTATAAAACATGTTTAATGTTACCGGAAATGCAACCTCTAGGTTTGCTGCTTTTGTCGACGAAGTTAAAAGCGACGCCGCTACTAAGATTTCCATCTTTTTATCAAATTCATTCGTCATAAGTGCTAATGGCGCCCGGGATAATCTCGCTGGTTGTCATTTATACGTTTAGAAGTATAGGGACTGATTAGATTTATTATAAATTATATCTAGTATATTATACAGACTTATGATGGATAGCTATAGATTGGACTTCTCTAGTATCAGTTTAAAACTACCATGCGCTGTGCTAATTAAGCTAAACAATCTGTTGATTTTGCATAGCTTTACCTCTGTGCGAAATCTGATTGCAGCACACCGTTGTGCATTCACCGAAAGCCACTACCGCTTCCCCATCTGCATTCAGTCTTAACCAAAATTAACGCGTTTCTTGTGGAATGCCACGAATGGTTGTCGTCAACCTATCATTCTCTGCCACTGTAGTCCCTGTTTGCTCTAAGTCAGACGCATCCCGCCACAATGTTGCGATTGCTCGCCGTAGTGACGCTGCATGTCTTGAATTTTTACAACAAGAAGTTAGGTATAGAACCTCTATCATATGGTAGACGCTAATTGAAAGCCCCTATTTTTAGCACAATTCTGACAATTTCTTTCTTTTCGAACCGTACACTCAAGGCGGTACCTACTGTACCTGTTTATATTTTGTACGATATCAAGGTACGCTGATTTTGAGGAACTATAGACTCCGGTACAAAAGCAACAGCTTCATTGATTATTTCGGCTTATTTTTTGGAGTCGTTAACACGATTCCAAAACTATTCACCTTTTATTAAAATTCATTCACACGAGGCCAAATATTTTGCATATAAGTCTTAAAAAAGGCGATATTTGTGTGTGCTGTTCATCCCGAAACTATAAATTAATAATGACATCCTTCAAGCTTTTTGAGGCTGGTGAATATGGCGGTCCTGTCTGAATGACTTGAATCTGTTCTCCCATGCTTATTTGCTCGACACATTTATGTAGCAGGGTTAGAAATGAAACGCTAACAGGAGGATAAACGATTCTGTTCTATCAGAATAAGAAGAGGAATGGGAAAAGAAAATCCTATGACCTAAAATACAAAGATGCTTGCTGGCTGAAGTTCTTGGAAAATTAGGTAAGACACTAATATTAACCGTAATATTTTCTATATACGTCTAAATAGGGAGCAATCGCATTCGAACTCATAAGCAGCTTCAGTGATAACTGACTCAGTAGTCAGAGCGGTATCATGAACTAGTTTTGGATGAGTTGCGTAATTGGGACATTTGCGAAGGATCATTTTATTGAGCATTCTCCCATAAAAAAAAGTTCCGAAGTAAAAAGAACATTAGACTAGACCGACGGGACGCTCACTTGGGCACCCGCACCGCACTACTTCAGTTATTCCAAGTTATTCAAAGTGATTTTAAAGCGCTGATGTGCGAGTGGTTCTGAGGCATTTCTTCATGAAAAAAACAAATACTTAAGTAGCTTCAAGGAAATTAACGATGCAAATCGTTAAACGTTTAGAATTGAACTATTATCATATAAATGACGCATTCAGTGCTATCTGCGCGTTTAGAAAATGTCAGTTATAATCATTATTCCGTTCCTAAGTTCGATCATAACACTTGTTCCCTCCCTTCCCAATTGAGCGTTCAAAATACGGCATCTTTTTAGGCGAGCTGCTACTCTGCGACATCTTTTTGCGATGAAGAAATCGCCTTCATCAGGTTTCGCCTACTGTGGTGGTCTCTAGATACGGAAGTCACTGTAACACCGAAGGCTGTCGAAGAGTTTATTTTCCCACACTCATTACAACAAAACTGGATTTAATATTAATTTTTATGAGATAACTACTAGGTACCGCAAAACTGGATTTGACTAAGTACCTGCTATGTAAGCCAATTTATAATCCTTGTAAGCGAAATATTCTTGATCGGAGCTGTTCCAGCTGATTTTGAAGCGCTCACTGGTTCCTGTGCTTTAACTGCCAACTAAAGGTAAAGTCATAAAGGATTACTACTTAAAGTGTCGCCTTTTCGTAAATTGCATGAATAGGAGTACCGGTAACCTATTCGTATTTGGGGTTAAACTTAAGAGAAAGCAATTGCAGTATTTTAAGATGGACCTAAACGTAACTTTTTCGCGGTCAGTGCATTAGCTGCGCTCGCCGCCCATCGCAAGGCTAAGGTGAACATGTACGATGCATATCTGGTCGACAGCTGTTGTGGTAGTTAACGTTGCGGCAAACGACATGCCAGAAAGCCTCGCATTGCCACACACCTGTGATGAACTAGACCGCTGATTGAAGCCTGACAACATCAGTAAGCGGCTAAAGGTTTTCTACCCTCTTTTTTTTTACATCCGACATCGCTGTTAGGCATTCCATTAGACTGCCCGTACCTGAATCATAACGTATCCCTAAACTCTTCTATTTTTTTTTTATCCTATCTACTTACTGAATAACCAATATTCATAGCTAAAAATACAGAGTGAAGCTTTTTTTTTAAAGCTTCATTCTGTATTTTAACTTCATAACCGCTTAATAGATCAGATAACGATAAGTAAGCCAAGAATGCCTGTAAAAATAATGGAGGCCCTGAAGGAGCTTTAGTTAATACTACTAAAGTTGGGCGCGGTAAGCATATAATGAATAAAAACACTAATTACCTCATAAATACTTAGCGTGACATAGTCTTTATTGAGTCGGTAGCATATACATGAAAAGATTGTTTCCATTTGTCGCTGCAAATTGTTGAACATATTGGACATAATTGCTAATTTTGTGAAATTCTGCCGAAGAATACACAAAGCTGCCATAGTCATAATTATATTTTTCCGTTATAGCGAAATTTCAAAATTCGGGGATTGTATCCATTTTGCTGATGCAGGTAGCAAGTGGCGAACCCCGTGATAGTATTCGTTGAAAATTAAGTGTAACGGGATTACAGATCAACTGTCAAGGGAAGAAAAGCATTTCGCAAATAGTCCCTGTGGAAATAGTTTAACGGTTAACCTGCTCCTTTTGATCACCAGAAAAGAAATTGTATTTCATATCATCTTATTCCAGACGATGTATTTACACCGTTGCCTGACATCACCAACACTCAAATCTAGTTCTCGCTACGACAATCAAAGTGCTACATGATGGCCTGCGCCCTCGAACTCTCACCATCTGATTTTTTTGGGGATGGTTTCCCCGTAGCCGTTATGCTTGAGTACTTTTACGACAGGACACACACATGTTTCAATTATTATATTATATAGGGACACCAATTTTACGTATTGGTTTCGTGTTGATGATGAAATCGACGAAGTGGTATAGCGATCCTCTAAGAATAGTACTCTATGATTGATATCACGGAGAGCGATAGGAACTACTGTTATCGCCTTCAGTAGAACAGTCCCGCTTTATTTAAATAATACGTGTATTGGATAAAGTGAATTTTATTCTCACCTCAACTCACAGATAGAGAAAGGAGACGACACGATCCCGCGCTTATGCTATTGCCGTGAGGAAGTCTGTCTGTATTTGACCATTTATTTTTGGTAGTAATATATCTCTGGAAAATGTGCGCTCTGTGCCTGAAGCAGATTATCAATCCTGAGAGAAGTTATCACGCAGTGCTGTCAATCAACAACAATTTTCTACGTTGAAGTGAAATTAAACGCCTAACGCCGTATCCTATGTACAGGGATGTACAGATGGGCGGGGCACGCCTTGGCTAATTTTTTAAGTAAAATCGCGAATGCCTGTTGCGTGCAATCAAATAGTGATACACAGCTTATGTGTCGTCTTTATGAATAAAGTGTGTGCTCTGCGCTGTTTGGATTTATTCATTAAGGATGCAAAAGGAGGTTAGTGTGATGAATAAATGGTAGCACACAAAAAACGGTTTAACTTATAGTTTTAGTAAAATGATGACCTATGCCGTTTTAAAAAAAACTAATATTGACAAATAAATAAACAGGTATATAAGTAACAATAAGCTCACTGGTGCGGTGAGAAGCGATTATTTCGACAACGTTGTCAGAGTGTATGCATTTGCTATGCAAAATCATTTCCTTGATATAGTCTCATTTGTTTCGGGTCATTTAGACGACCAAATGTTATACCAAACACTTAGACGACCAAATCTTATACCAAACACTGCGCAATCGATCCCAAAAAATGGGTATACACCCACATAAAAAAACCAAAGCTTAAATTTGAACCTAGTAACTTAACAAACATAATTCCTTTGTGAATATTCCAATCAGATCAATGTAGTACACTACAACTCTATTAATACCTCTGGCAACCTCGTTGTCCCATATCATCGGATTTAAGGAACTGGCAACTGCCAGGCGGCTACGAAAAAAAGTATACTTGACTGGTGAGGACTCACCAATTTGATAAATCGCAAAATTAGCAGAGCAAAAAAATTCCGCCAAAACTAAAGAAAGTCGTATATCGACACAAAGTATCCCAACCATCATGGAAAGAAAGCTCATACGGGCTAAGATCTAAGGTCCTTCAGATGTGAAACGGAAATAAGGTACCACAGGAACCGTATTCGTCGGCAGGACGCGCGATTTTTACGGAACGAATAGACACCAGGTGCGTCTTTGTTACCCAGATGAACTGATTTCGACTAATACAGCCGCCCAACAACGCTGTCACCTTATTTACTCGGTGCTATACTTACCACTCATTGTATGAATACCGAAACGCACCAGAAGCTCGGCCTTGATTCCAACCGCACGGGCCCAAACCTCCGCAGGAGGTAATCGTTAAGTGTGGATTTCCTAATCACACTAGTAGTTGTTCCTTCGAATCTATGCACTCATTGATTCAATTCACCACCTCGACCTGAATCTGCCTCCTCCACGGGGCGCCTGGTATAGTTGGCGACCAGGCCTATTGCCGCCCCCGTTGCTACTACTGCCATTTCGGTGGGCTTTCTTAGCCGGTGTGGGTCCTTCCTTGTCGAAAACAATTGCTTTACGTTTGTTTTCCTGATTCCCGCTGCCGGTCCCGTTAGGCGTTGCCTTGATACCGTCCTTTGCTTGCTTTTTGCCATCAGATCCCTTAGTTGACCCAGTCTGTAGCCATGAAAGGGTGACGTTGGTCTGCAAAAAATTAAATTGATTAACATAAGACGTAAATTTTTACTGATAGCCAAAACATGATCAAGATGAGTGAACTACGACATATTTGAAGTACTGGCACTTTGCCTCAAACACCTAGAAGCGGCTTTTAGTATCATTTATGTAATCATACAGAAAGTCTTATAAGTATTGCATGTTAATTTAATGGAATTGTACAAACCACAACGTTTTTTATACTTGTCCTGAGAAATTGATATGGAACATTGTAACACTTTGTTTACGCCAATACACAGAGTGTAGTGTTATTTTATATCTTCTTCTTAACTTCTTTCTCTTTTTCATTTTCTTAATCTACTGCTATGCCGATGAAAAAGAATATTTGTGGAATTATTCTATACCGAAATGAACTAACCTTAAATGTAGGTGGATTATGAAACCAATCCTTAATAAAGGCTGTCAGGTTCGAGGTGGTTTTAAGAGCAAGAAAGAGCGCGCGCTTCTTTTCCGTCTCAAGCTTTATGCCCTGTGCAATCAGTCCTTTGAACTTCTTGGCTTCTGCCTGTAGACCTCGGTTCAGATACTGCAATCGCTGCCGGACATCCTACCACAGGTAGATTAATGCATTCGTGAATCAGCTACAGTATTCGGCTTCAAGAAAACACTAATTGCGTGAACCAAGAACCCGACCTTTGTTGTTATTTACACCTCTCGCAAGTTACAAAATGAAATTATCGATATAAAAACAAATCCTAAGGTGAAAATGCTGCAATTTAGAACGCAGCAGGATAGAATGGACGTCAGTTTTATACCAACCACAATGCGTACACACCGCGTGCATTCAAAAACTTCTTTTCACTCCGAAATGCACTGGCTGCAATGGCTCATAAACGGCCAAGAAACTCAATATTAACTACATCCGAATCTTACCCATCAGCTGGATTGCGACAATCCTAATAAATTCAGGCCTTAGTTGAGTTAAACGCAACCAAGTTTTTTTTTAACTAGAATTTATTAGGGAATTTCGATGTCATTGCACTGAATAACATAATCATCTGAGGACTAATTAATGCATTACATCACTCAGTTATAATCAAGTCATACTTGATATTGTTTAGCGCAAAAAACTGCGATATAAATATCTAACTGCGATTTTAAATCTATAAACTTGAAGCTCATAAAAGCTTAAGATTGCACAAAGGTATTGCAGCTAAATTTAATTTCTCACTTTTTTAGCCAAACACTGAATTCCTAAGCTGAACCTAAGCTTACCTTAAGAACAACTTCGTCATCAAGTGCAGTAGGTTTAATCTTTCTGGCGATGCTATGAAACGTGAACAGGAGGCACTCGAGATGGCTGAGCTGTAGCGATGGCAGCTCCGGATCCTTCTCAAGATCGTCGTCTGCCGGCACCGTAGGCAGGAGTTCGCAGACCTTTGCGAACAGTCCCTGGACAAGTCCATCTAGCTGACGTCGTCGTGCTTGGTCTTCTTCGCTCACTTCAGCGGCTGGTTCTCCGGCAACAGCTGACGAATTGTCCAAGCCGTCAGTTGGCTTAAGAGCATGTGGCGCCATTTGCGCCAGAACTTTTAGAATATCCAGACTTTCAGGGGCCTGTAGATATATTGACGAAATTATTAAATCATCCATATCATACCGACAGGCAAATATTTTCGGATTTTTTTTTACGGTAGGTCAATTTAAACCGACTGATCGTATTCAGCCGTCTTTATAGTACATATGAGCCTAAATCTATTCTGAGTTGCTTCTTGTTATGACGTTTTTAGCGGGAGCACTTCAAATAACCATCGATGAGGAATATCGTTGTAAATTTATTATGTGTAAGTATACACAAAGAACACTAATAAATAATATTTGTTGGCGTTGTTCAAGTGCACTCACACATCGTAAAAGATTATAGACTATCATCGAGAATTTACACTGTACCTCGAGTGTTGTGGTGGGTAGAAATGTGTTGACGAGATAGGCAACATACGGCAAGGATGTAGCATATGGCGAGAACAACGGCAATGCCAACGGTAGACAGACGGTTAGCTTAACCAGCTGGTTAGCATCGGGGGCGGCAGGCACTGGAACCGTCAGTTGCAATTGATCCGAGATCATTTTCAGTATGGATTTCTGTTGTGATACTTGACGGGAGATCTGCAAACGAAACCGTGGTTAGTCGTACTACTTTCTTACATTGTGAAGCGACGGGGCTATTTATCACACAGCGTATTTAACACTGAATACGTTTCGAGATAATAAGCAAGAATTTTTTTGATAACCCAAATCATACAAGTGATCGTTTTTATCTTGTTTTTCCAGAGTATACTTGAAGATAAGTTACCGACGAACAATTCCACGTAATCAAATTCATGCGTATTGGAAGCTGATACATTGGCACTTTGCTAAATAGATTCTAACTTGTTCGAGAAGACGCCAAAATGTACAATCTACCTTTAATGAATTGAGGAGCTTAACCAGCAGCACAAACTCCTCTCCACCGACGAGGGCTGCCACTTTGCCGGCCTCTTCAATGAGCATAAGCTCTGTCTCACTGTCAAGCGCTTTGAGATTGACTTTCGAGGCAAGAAAACGAATACAAGCATCCCGCATACTATCCTCACAGGTAGCAGAAACCATTTGGCCAACGACACCCTTCACAGTTGCATGAACCGATTGGCGGAGAAGTGTGTTTAAGGACTTCTCGACGATAGCCAATTCTCCGCGATCCTCAACTGTTAGTAGTTGACAAAGAACAATCGCGATCCTGCATTAATTGACACAAGTACGTTTGTTCATGTTAGTAAGCAATGTAAGTTGCGATTTCTATTAAGGGGTTTAAGCTTTCATAAAATGGATACACCACCCTGCGTGAGGTTTGTGAAATGTATAGTGATTATTAACAATAACGGATTCCATCGTATGTATTCAACGCTATTACTTAGCTTACTTTTAAAATTATTCCTATTGTTTGAGCTTTTTCACATAGTTACTTAACCAAGAATAATATATGTAATTTATACGAATTATAATATTTTCTCATTTACCTTGATATGTAAGGATCGTCTGCTCCCTTCGCACAAAACGAGGGAAGATCGTGAATTGCTTGCTTTCTAACGTTAATATCGGCGTCATCACATAATTCGATCTGAGCTTCTACCGCGCGGATTTCTAAAGTCGGAAAATGCTTGAAAAATTTGGCAATAAACTGCGACACTAATCGCTTTTCCTAAAATTCAAAGATAATAGTAATGTGTTTTGCAATGAGTCCATAAATATACTCAGACTAAAGCATATAGTAAGCCTTCTTCTATTCAGACAAAGTACTTGAGTTATTTATGAAATTTAAAAGAAATTGTAGCATGGTCTAATAACAATAAAGGTTGTTAATAGAAATAATGAGCTTAGAAAATACTAAACCGTTTCATTAAACAAAAAAACTGCAAAATCTTAAAAATAAGAACTTGAAACCGTAGGCACTCGATTTTTATTGGACTGATAGTATAAACTGATCTAACTCGTGAATTGTAAAAATCGTACAAATAAAACGAAATGTCTAAACAAAAATTATTATTATCATGTAAGCGTTCAGGTGATCCAGTCAATCACATTAAATTGAATCTTTCTAATAAACAATTCTAAGCTTAGACCGAATTCAACCCAAAACTTTGGATCGAACTTTACAAACGAAATTTACATTCTAACGATAAGTTATTTCCGTTAAAATTTGCCGGTCGAACTGCAGTTGGACACGAGTGTTGACTGGTGATGCGTATTATTTAACGTATTATTTCCCATGGAAAGTAAGCATGCTTTACTATTACTAACGCAAAAAGCAGGACTAATCCCAAATCATACCTCTGCGGATCAGACCTACACAACATTGATGCATGCATTATACTTACGGATTATAACTCTGTGCTCTTTATATTTTGAATTCAGATGAGCTCAAGTTGGTCACGTTAAAAACCCTGCTGTCACTATGTGCGTACCTGTGAGTCACCAGTAGCGGCTCTGGAGATAATGGTCTCGTAGATGGCTGAGTTTTCGGTAAGTTTTCCCTCCTTTTCTGCCTTGGCAAGATCGTCGTACAGTTTATAGAGCCGATCTAATTTATCAGCCATGGTGACAAATTGGCACAGCTAGCTGCTAATGAACGAAGAAAAAAACTCCCTTCTACAAAAACAATGCTTAGAGCGATGACGAATGAAGGAGTTCACACAAAAGCCATGCAAAATAGAACAACTGCAACATTCAACGCTTTTTTCACTAACACCGATACGCTCGTTATATAGATAAATGCTAAACCCTGCAGTGAGGGAGAGTACTCCCTCATCAAAACAAGATGGTGCTTCACACCTAGTGGCGGCAATTTTCAAACTGAAGTAGTATATACGCTGTTCACACGACTTTACTAGAGATTAAAGATTTAGATATACATTTATAGGAATACCCGTCAAAAGCTGTACAACGGCACCTAAAATAAATTCTGTATAAGAAGTTGGAACTTTAGCCTGCCCTTGAATCCTGTTAAAGTAAACAGTCCAGCCCGCACAACTTATTTCCGGTACGACTGTCTGCTTGTGAGCTCTGGAAATCACATTACCTGCTAGCGCGGCTGATGAATTCAAATCAGACTTCGCGTATGTTCATTTTCTTTGTGTGACAAGTAATCCTTTGTTACCTGTTTCGTGAAATTAACTCAAGATACGTGCGTATACAGGCACCCTTATTTAACCCTATCTGCTTGTTCGAAGGGACTGCCATTAGTCGATGCTGTCGTAACGACATGAGACCTCATTCGTCGCTCAGCTTGAGCATGAATAACAGTGCATAGCCGAGTGGTACCATGTCAAACAAACCGAAAACCGATATGCAATAATAGATTTTACGATTAACAAGTAGAATACGTTGGACCCAATGAAAAAGGCGGCAAAGGCAATCTGGTGCTTATGTGTGCCGTGTGGTGCTGCTTATACGCTGATTGAAACTCAGGAGCTATGAGTTTCCAAAGACGCTCCTTTCCGAATGTCTTGGCTGGAGTTCGACCGGGCACAGTGCCTACAACTTCCACTGGCATTCCTCAACTTGATCCTCTATTAGGAGGCGGTATTCCTTTAGGATCAACTCTACTTCTCGCCGAGGATACTCACAATGTATACGGGCGCCATTTAATGAAAGCTTTTGTAGCTGAAGGCATTGCCCACGGACAGAGAATATTTGTTATTAATGGGGAATCAACCCTGAGGTTTGAAGAGTTACCGCGCAAAGTCGCCTACGAGCGATCCAATGCTAAGCCACAAGGCATTACGGACAAGATGAAGATTGCCTTTCGTTACGAGCGTTTACTTGAAGTCGAAAGCCTTCCAGAAGCTGAGACAAACCATGTATTTGATTATGGCCTACCTATCCGGCCCGAGGAATTAGAGGGAGCCGATGTTCATTCCTGTAACGCGGTCACGAAAACACCAGCAGAAATTTTATGTTTAGTGGCTTCAAACATATCAAAAGGCAAAGTTCTCCGGGTAGCCGTAACCGTTGGGTTGCTCGTAGACCATAAGTTCCTGCGTAGCCTTAGGGTCTTGGCGCGTAATGAGAACGTCGTGTGTTGGGTGTCGGTGCCAGCTTGTCTAGACGACGATTCTTTTCGTCGGCTTTTTGCAATGGCAGACTGCGCTATCTCGCTGGTGGCTTTTTCAAGCGCTGAACGACAAACCAATCCGTTATATAAAAACTATCACGGACTACTTTCCTTAGATAAGTTCGCGGAAATCAATTCAGTAACTAGCCACCGGCCTGAGTCGACAGAGTACATTTTCCACCAGACTGGGCGACGTTTCGCCATTGAACGACTTCATATGCCTCCCGATTTGGGGAGCCCTGGTGGTCCAGCTCCGGCTCTAACGATGAGTTGCCAGACATCTGGTGGCAGCAAAGCACTTGATTTCTAAATAAATAAGAAAAATCATTGTATCTTTTGAGTATTATGATTTATTTTTTATTTATTCTAGCAGCTTTCAAGATAGGTATTTTATATTCATAGTTAAATTATTTTAAGTTTTCGATAAATTCTAAGCTGCCGGCTTACCTGGTTATTTATTGCCATTATTTTGCTGCAGGTGTTTAATATATTTTGGAGGTATTAGCAACCTTAATAGAGGAGGCTTGATTTCATCTGTAAAACACAAATGACAGAGAAGTCGAGGAAGTCCTGTCGTTATGTTTAGTCTTTCATGAATCCCTGACATGAACATCTTATGTTCATGTCAGGGATTTTACGAACCTGAAATGCTTTTAAGAAGAAAAACTAGATTTTTCTTCGAATTAATTTGTATACATATCAATAACCATTATTAGTTATTGCATTCTTTGTGTACCTTCATGGCCTTCAGTGGTGCCTCTGGTCTGACAGCTTGAGATTTTAATTGGCGCCTAAGTCTTAAAATTTGTTTAAATTAGGAGGATTAATTTAATAGAGTTACAGAACAAGGTCCCTAACTGCCGAGTGTAATGGTCCGTTTCAAGTCTTTTATCATGCACAAGTTTCTTTTTTTTTGTACAGATACATTGTCAGATGACATGTTTGTGAATTTGTGTTAAAAAGAAAAAATGAATTATTTTGAAATCGAATTTACTAAGCATTTTTGCAACCGGTAATTTTGCTGATTGTGAAGAAATCGTATTAAAAGTGAAAGCTTGCATGTGATTGCAAAAAAAAAAAGGTAATAAATCGTCTGTACATGCGTACACACAAGGCGTATAACTCATGCACCGAGCCCCTTATACATCTCACTTTCTGCACAAAATGGTGTAAAAAATTAGTTCATTTCATATATAATTATGATATTGGTCTGATCAATGTGGATGCTGTAAAATTTGCGGACTTTAATATGGAATTACAGTCACCCAACCCAGTTTTAAAACGGGCTCAAAGTTAAAAGAGAATTACTAATTATATTTTCGATAAGAACTAAATCCGATGACTAGAAGTCGTTTCAATGATTGGATTTGAGCATGTCCTGTTAAACTGGGTGATTTCGGACCCAAAAGTTTATCTACCAGTCTATCGACTCTTCGAAGTGCAAGTGTTATACCTGTAGAGACATATATTCATTCTTGTGATTGAATCTATGTAAGTGAAGAATGTTATCACTTAGATCTATTGATTCTACTCGAGATTGTTGACAAGAGAGAGTCATTCGTTCGACCCAAATTTTGCTAGATCTCTGGATCTGTCCGTACCACCACAGACGACTACAGTCACTCTTTTTGCTTTTATCAGTTGTGCAATTGATTCATCATTTGATTGGGGTTGTTTAGATATCGCCCCTTGAGTGAATATAAGTGGGCCGCATTGTAGAATCTTTTTACGTTTCTTGTATCAAAATTCTAATAACAATAATTTTTTTTCGCTTCTATTTATATATAAAACTTTTTATTGAACTTATATAATAGAAAGGAGTATATCATATTCCGCATCCATCAATCTTGTATGCATCTCGTTAGTGGTAATTCTTTCCAGATCCTAGTAAATAAATAAAGATAACAAGGCTATGTTAACTCAAAACTAAAATAAGTGGTTGTAATAAATACCTCTGTACGCCAACCAGAGAAACCAAATATACGCCACACGTACAGACGTTATCGAAACAGCTATTTCTACTAGCTAGACTGGTTATGGAATCCCAAAGCAAACCAATTTAAGAAAATTGTCTTTTGTAGCCCTAAAAATAAATACATCATGTTTTGCTAGCAAATAGCAAATTTTACCTCGAACGGAACTGACACATAACCGCCGAGTACGAAAGAGATTCACAGTGGCGAGAGTGAAGCTAGCAGTTGGTATCGCAAACTGGATGGCGCCATCTTGGAAAAGATAACTGATAAAAAAATAGTACCTTGTTAGAACGAGCTGTTTTTCTCAAATTCAAAGACACTATTTAATCCGATAAGCTGACTGTAACATCAAGCAAGTGAAGTTGCAGTCTTGAAGTATTACCGACTATCACTGTTTTGTCGTTGTTGATTGCACAGAACGCTTAGCCCGCGATTGGTTAGCACAACTAATCGATAGTGATCTCTGATGAAAACATTAAAGGCCGCCACCGAAGAGTCAATATGTAAGTCCGCCTTTGTATTCGCTTCAATTTCTAGTTAACAAGTAATAAATAGTAGTTCGCTTCATAGTGTGTCGTTCGTGGGGGTTTAAAAGAAATAACTGCCGTGGGTGAGTCCCCAGACAACTGAAAGTGATACGGTAGTTTGGGATGAAATAGGACGATTTGTACTGAGACGAAACTTAAGAACGTTTTTGTGTCACGTAGTTATCGTTAGCAATAGAAATTTGTGCACATTCGATTTATTTGCCAATACTTAGAGACATTTTTCGGCAGAGTATGTTCCATAAGGCTTAAATCTGGTTTGATACAGTTTCTTGATTGACCTTGATACAAGTATTTTCTAATATTAGTAATTGACTCTTGAAATATTATGTTCAAATTTCACAATTAACAACATTAGTATAAATCATGAGATTTCCTGCATGTAATATGAGGTTCCTTCTAGTGCACTGAGCTGCGTATGTCCAAATTGTCTAAGAGTATAATCGTTATTTTACTTTTTTCACGTACTCGTTTAGTGAAGTTTACAATAGCTGCTTTTTATGAAGGAAAAAAAACCAAAATTAAGCATAAATTAAAGGGGCTCACCTATGAACGACCACCGTTAACGGTGAAATTTATCAAAAAGAGATACTTAGTCATCGTGTTGTCATTGTTCCTTTAAAACAACTACAAAAAGGTAGCCGAGAAGATGAATGATTCGAAACCACTGGCAATGTTTGCTTTAGCATTTTGATAGAAAAAATAAGTTATTTTGTTTTTTTAGACCTATTGAACTAAGATCTGCTAAACTACGCACATTTTTGCGAAAAAATCATATCTTCCACATATTTACATACATTCATGTGTTTGTCAATTTTTCTTTTTGGGCCTCAGTTTAACGGCATCGAATGGCGGACCGGGCAAAGGCTACTCGGGGTAGAAAACGGACCTTCGGGAAAAACCACCCGCCCCCCAGCGCCGCGGATCTGTTTGACTCGCTGATTCAGGGCCAGGACAAGACGGCTAACGAGGAACCCAAAACTAAAAAGGTACGTAATAGAACTTGCAATAATTTTATTATTCAGTAAAAATCAAAATTCGCTAAACTTTACGAAGTTGAGTGTATTCATGCATGTTGGATATGTAGGTAAAATGATTCGCTCTAGTGGTTTTCTGCTGTCAATCATGATGACTGTATGTCATTCTTGTAATCATATGAGTCATATGTATGTACATCCGCTTTGCAAAATGGGAAATTGTATGTGACTTCACTTGCCTTCACCAGCTGCAAGCTTGCAACGACAGAATTTCATAGTGACTGCTCATTATGTTTATTGCTCGGCTAATTTTTCCTTTTGATGCATCGAACAATGCTAATAAGTCAACGTATTCTGTATGGCTGAAGATAAAACGTATTTTGCAGAGTAAGTCCTTGCCAATTAAAGAAAGCGAGCTAGGCGTTTCTTCGGGGCCGAAGGGCGGGGACGTGGACTCAGCTTTGGGGCAGAATCAACAAGAAAATTCCCCTGGCGATGATTCCAACAAAAGCCCTTTTCCAAGATCTGATGATTCGGATGGATCCGAAGACGATGGGCCCTGCGTATTAATGTCGTTCGGAAATACGCTAGACAAGGACAACACAGACAGTCCAGAGCAGAGCCCACGCAAACTTCAACGGGGCAGGTTGGTATTTATGACAAGGATTCGTTTGGAGATGATTTAGGATAACCATCTTTCATTGATACCAAGAAAAAACTATTATTCTGTCAGACTACGCCCAAATTTTTGCAATGGTGTTGGGCATGTACCGTACTTAATTTTGTGAAGTCTTAGTGCTGTTGCACATAACATTTATAAATAATCACTAGTTATATTTCTAATTTTTTGTCTACTATGGTAACGCAAAAAGGTCAAAGTACATCAAATAAAACTAAACGTTTCAAGTTCAATGACGGTATGCGTGATTAAACTATGAAGAACTTTTTTTGCAATACATATTTTACAACTAAAGATCTGCATAATGTAATCGTTATTTATAATATTGCTGATCGTGTTAAATATTAATACTAAAATATATGTTTCTGTAGGCGGCCCAAAGCGGACTTTCTTATTGAATCTACCGGGCAGGTTCCGGATACACCTAAAAAAGAGGTATATATCTGAAGTGCTTTTACATAGTGTGCAGCTCTCCCTTGATGTATTTCTGACGCAACTTCGTTCAAATATTCCCTTATACTATTTTTTCTTTGTGAGGGCTTCACAAGCCCAGCAATAGTTTCGAACATTAGCCGCCAGTAACAAGTGTTCATATAACTCAAATAGATGACGCTTATACATATCAATGACATGAGTGTGCGCGTGAAATGCAAACATTACAGCCCAAAGACTCTCTTCGAAGACAAGTCCTAATACCATTTGAGCCACGGACATCGTTTAAATGTTGATGATCTAATGTTCCTTTGAGAGTAACATATGTAAAAAAGAATCGCTTCTTTTTACATCTGCCCTCCATCTATTTGCATCTAATCTCCACAGGGTATCAGCAAGCCTGTAAACCTGCACAGTGAGGAGGATAATGAAAGTGATGCCAAGGAACGGGAAGATGAAAACATTGTCACGAGTAACGTTATTCTGCCTTCCACTGATGGTGTTGAGAACGACGACGCAACTGCAGCCAAGGCTAGCACAAATGCGCGCCGTAACAGTGACGCTGGAGGTGTGGGGTCCCTTGGGGTATCCAAGGATGTCGAAGATTCAATTCGGAAAGAGATAGAGAATATGCTTGCTAACAACCGCTTCCGAGGCGGTGCCCGTCGAGGTGAAGGTGGCGATCGTGACACTGGAGACGTTAACGGCGATATGTCCGTATCCCTTGAGGAAGACGTAATCCTCGTTGAGGCTGGACGAAAAAAGCACTGTCGTTTTTTGATACGTCGACAGGAGGACCAGACCCCACCTTCGTCAAGAAATTATCGGTGTTTCAAGTGCTCATACAATACGACTCGCATGAACAATATGATCCGCCATTATCGGCAATGCTAGCCTGATGACGATGCGTGGCCCGGAAACATATGATGGATCTTTGGCTCAGTGAAGCTAGAGTGTTATGAATTTTATTTTATCACATGTCACCAAGTGTTTGCATAGAAGAGGCGTCTATTGTGGGACTGGGGACGTGGCGTATCGGGGTAATGTTCTCGTTCAGTAGGTAACCTTCACAAAAGTTTAGGGGTAAAAGTATGCGCGTTGTCCACGACAATCAATATCTATTCCATAAACATTATGTACAGTAATAGTACCATAGTTGTTAAGTTACTTCTTTGGAAGCGAAAAGAAAAACAAGGTAAAATAGGATGACATAATTAGGTAATAATAACATAAGGGTAATGAAAAACAGTGGTAATTTAACATATAATTGGGCCGAACGAACATAGTGACTGAAGTTTTGGAGGTTTCTGTTTTGTATCAGATTTGTTTTTCTTGCTTATAGTGGTACCGCCTGGGATTATACAATTTCTATTATTCTAACAACTGGTAACTTGATCTTGCGTATTGGCTGTCTCTTGATAGAGAACAGTTGCTACTTAATGCATAAATTCTGCTTACTAGTAGAAATAGCTAATGGGGTAAATAATAGATGATTAATGATGTCGCAATTACTTGGATTTACACCACGATTTGTGAAATTGTAAAAAAAATTCATAATCAGTTTCGATTTTAGCTAAGAAAGAAAATATGTAATTCAGTTCTTTTGTATAACAAAGTTTAAACTTGGGCTGGGATTCTATGCCTTCGCCACACCTTCTCTACCTCTATTGTGTAGATCATTGTATATAGCTTCATCGACAAATGTCTCAATCAAATCCTGAAATTCATCCGGCGACATTTAGTTTATTATTGTGCGAATGAGGTAAAAATAGAACCTGTAAAAACGACAGCGGTGCATTCACACAAACAATTCACTAGTGCCACGGAATTTCTTCATGAAAGACAAAGAAAATAACATGAGTCGAATACACAAGTCGTCGTAAGAACTATGTGTGAATAGTCATCAGCGAATCGAATAAAAATCACCAAAAATGATCGTAAAAGAAATTCGTAAGGCGCTTTATTTGTCTGTTCTCATTTCTTCAGTAACCGTTCTTCAATCGTGCCGCTCACAAGTGTCATGACACTTTCAATAAGCCCTCTTTCCGAAACAGATGACCTTATTCTGAGAGTTGGATAAATTTCGTAATTTCTGCAGCACGACATTATCAAAAAATTGCATTTAATGTTTAGCAATGTGCAGCATATTTTTCTGGTGACAAATATTACCGCATATGACGACAGTTTAGTTCAAACTGGCCAAGCTTTTTTCTCGTTTTGTTGTACTGCGTCGCTTTTTTAATACCTTAATCCTGCACTAATTTTTAACGTCTTTCATGCCTTCTCTCGGTAAGTCGTGAATTAAACCTATTTATCATAAAAGCTTATTCTAGTAAACACAATAAAAAAATGCATGATATCCGTATATTTATATCTATAAACAAGAATGACAGAAACCCCTAAAAAGTGCAGGGGAATAAAATGTGCAGAGAATATACACACGATGCTGTGAAGAAACCACACGAGCAGTACAGAACCATTTAATCATACATGCTTTTGCGGATTTTCTTCTTTGCAATTTTCTTTCAACGAAATATTACATTATTTGTATAGATTCTCAAGGCATTGCCGATGAGTTTATCCAGAGTAACGCACCCTTTGCTCATCTCGTAATAACAATAGTTTCCCTTATCCAGCTATTATCTACTCTTTTTTGATTCTTCTACATTTTTTTTCGGCGAACATTTTGCCGACGTCTCGTCTATAGCGTAGGACATGCCAAATTCATTAACTCGAGTCTTGTCTACTGGGTACAGCCTAAAGGAGAAACAGGATCGGTTCAAGGAACAATTACAAAAATGTTGGTTAACAAAAAGTCACGCTATGTATCGAGTTTTTTTTTGTTTTCACCCATGCTTTTCGTTATTTGTGGTCTAAAGCAAGTTCTATATATTAGATATAAAGTTAAATACTCCCTAATAAAAAAGCCGGCCTGTTTTTCGAGGCATTATACATTTGTTGCCTTACTAACCGTTTGAATTATGTTCGGATTTGAAAATCTAAACTACTCTATATAAGAGATAATCATTAAATGGACGCTTTTCACCTAACGGGACATACCATCGTTGATAAAGGAATATGAGGAAAACAGCGTCATCACGGAAACAGGCGACGCGATGGGCTGTCGGCATGTGTATAATAAAAGCGAACAGATCGTCGATGAAGGTGTTGAACGCCTTATACATAAATACCTGAAAACACGTGAGCAGAGCTTACGAATAAATTAATTTTACAATAACAACAACTTTCAATTACTAGTTTAAAATCGTCCTAGAGTAAAATATATTAGATCACTCGAGACTCTAGAGGTGTTAGAAGCAACTCGCAGAAAACAGATAAATCATTATTATGTGTTATATTTCATTGTGAGTATCCTCTCTGGCAAGTGGATGTGTCAAGGGATCGAAGAGACGAACTAAGGAACATATCAGATAAAGTCCGTTTCACTTACCCTCCATGGGAGGTGGGCAACCGATTTGAGTCGGTAGTTGAGAAACAGCTGTGGTAGCATCAACAAAAAGCCAAACGCATAGACGCCATTAGCCAATGATGCTATACTCCATGAATACCAGCTGAAACCCCCATAATAATAGTGGAAGCATCTTTTAGTAAAATAATAGGCAACAAGCATATCTTAGCATCAATAGTAAATATTACAATTAAAAATTACATATTTTGGGCATACCTGCTAAGCTCATGCCTCTTCGCGTTCTTTTTCAACATATTATTAATTTTCTTTATTTGTTTTGAAGGCTTTACTAAAAATTAGGAGCCTAACGGGCTTCTAGCATGGAAAGGTAATGTATAAAAAAATGCAGATCTAAATCGAACGCATTTACACTAACCTCTTATGTGGCTGGTAATACAAGCTGTATATCGCTCCACCGATGGAAAGTGGCAATAATATATACGAAAGAAGCTTCATTCCTTGAGAATCGATTTCATCAGTTTTCTGCTCTGCCTCACTGGAACTACCGAACTGAAACAAACAGATAGAACTAGTAAGCGACGCTAAATGTTTTTGTTTTTTTTTTCAATTGACTTAAAATCTCTAATCTACCTAAATGGTACAGTGATTAGACAATTGCCTTCATATCATATTGACACCTTACCTTAAAGCCGACTGGCAGAATTTTCTTCCAACAGATCGAAACCTTCATTGCTTTAGCCAATTTCCATAACTCGATAGCAGTCGAAACAAGGTTTGACAGAAGAACCAGCCTCGACGTGTCATTGTCGTACAGATACAGAAGAATGACAATCTATAATGCGGACATAGAAATATGTAGAAAACAGCGCACGATACATTAGCATTTTTGCAGCATAATTTTAGTGTCATTAAAAAACGATTTAGTTCACGTATCAACCGTAGTAAAAGCTTTAGACAAACGACGAAACATTTAACTAACAGTGCCGTGACGTACGCCTGGAAAATCAATAGTGAATCTATTTGTTACACCAGAATATATCATACCTGCGATAGCGCTCGCCATCCGATAGCTCGCACTGAGATGCCCTCAAAGTTATCAATATTTCGCCAAAAAGACACGTCGTTTTTAAATGCCATTACATCAAAGATCATCTAAAATATTTACAAAAGAAACGTGCAAATATTAATAGGTTTTGCTAGGCAGAACGCGGCGTATCGGCTACAAGCTAATTCTGTTGGCACACTATATTCAAATGAAGATCTATTCCTAACATAAACTCCGCACATTACTATTGGAGTTCTCTCTCTCTCTCTCTCTCTTTTAAGCATGTTTTTTAAACCATTTACAATACAAACAAAAAATTAAACATTTACAGAAGGAGAATACGGTTTTTTTGCTTTGTTACCGAATCAAGCAAAGTTGTATTTAGAACCGCATAAGTCTACATCCAGTCGATGGCACAACTGCTCAGTTATAGAACACATCCATAACTGCTCTTAGTTTGCGTTTGAATAGATTTAATAGGAGTATGCTCTACCTCACACTTACGTGTAGTGCGGAGACAAGAACTGTTGTAAGCAGAAGTACTAGGGAGGTGTCAAAGAAGATGGTTTTCACGCCATCCGTATCCTGTAATAGTTGACAAGCACCAATTTTGACGACAACAAAGTCATTAGTATGTACTATGCGTACAGCAAAATGCTAATGTAAAATTAAAGCTATAATTGAAAAAGCATTATTATATAGTAATCTGTTGTATTCAATACATTAATACAATGCTGTACTTTATAAACATGTTGTATTTCAATATCGATAACGTTAGCCTACCTATAATTACGGTGGATGTCGCATTCTTGCATCAAAGAACATTATAAAGCATTTTTCCTAATGTCTGTCTGCTTCGGTTGTTAAAGCATCATATAAGTAGCAATTATAGGAGCATCCTGAGTCCCCGCAGTCGCTCCCCGCGGCTTCCATTCGCAACAGAATGACCCCAGTTAAGATTCGAAATAGTTCAGCTTACCTGTTCAGAGATACCAAACTGTTCCATGTTGTTGAGTGCCTCTTTAACAACGGAGATGAACTTAAGTTTTCCAACCGTTATCTGATTGAAGGAAACCTTCATTCCAAAAGTCGATGTTGACGGTGTTATATGCTGAAAGTCACAATTACAAGGTAGACAGGACGATTGGATGATTCAATTTGCTTCTTATTCCCTCTTTTAAATCTTTAACTAGGTTGATTCGTGCATCATGTGCTACTCCATGTATGAAGAACGTATTACAGTTGATTGCTGGACTGTGCCAATTGTCATCAGAGCCTACCATGTTTTGCACCGTAGAAAATACCGTTTTATTGCTAAAACCAACAGCAGGGTTTTTAAAGAAGAATCTAGCATCAAACGAAAAAGAAAAATCATTCCTGCCTATTTCGGTAACCGCTTCTATTATATTAATTTGACTATTGGCCAAGACGGGCAACTCTATATTTGAAGGGCTAGTCTCTACAAAAAATCGATTCTTTTGACTAAGCCATTAAATAGCTTTAGTATCTTATGATAAAATCATTTAAAATATTTTTGGAATAAAACAAATTTGCTTGGAGCAATGATTATCAACGTTTGATCCGAAAGAGATTTAAAAGGCATGTGAGAAAACTAATGGCTAATAACTATATTATCACATTTTTTAAATCTTTTCCAGTAAAGCATTATAAATGAACATGCCCTCATTAACCCTATATATATTAAGTACTAAACTGGGTCCATGTTTTCGATCTCTTCATCCGCCCTCCCATCCCTATGACCTTTCTTTTACATCGATAACTTATATTATTATTTCTATATAGCGATGCTGTTATAGCTAGTTATAGGGAGGTAAGCCTAAATACGTTATGGCGGAACTTTTTGGAAGAGCTACTGGGTGCTCGAAAGGGAAAAAACGGTTCTATGCATATGTTTGATCCAGCAAAGGGTTTTTTGGTAGACATGGAATAGAAGGGGCTAAAATTACAATAGGAACAGGACCATCGTTTGCTGCTAAATATAATAAAACCGACAATGTTTGTGTGACTATATGTGGTGATGGCGCGATTAATCAAGGGCAACTTTATGAATCTTTTAATATGATAAAACAGTAGGATGTATCTGTTAAAAGAAATAAACAATTTGGTACACCTGGCAAACCAGTTATTGGTATGAACTTTGTGGTATATGACGCTATGAGAGAGAAGAGGCGTCTGAGACTATAAGAAAAAAGCTATCCTTTGCTGCTTGAAATAAAAACCTACAGATATAGAAGGCACTTCATATCGGATCCGAGTAGATATCGTTCTAAAGATGCAGTGACTAATTACAAAGAAAATAAAAATCGGATCGAGGAAAGGAAAAGTTATCATCTAAAGTTTAATTTAGTCAATGAGTACAAATTAAATAATATAGAAAGAAAACGAAGGAAGCTGTGGAAGAAACAGTAAAGTTCGCGCAAGAAAGCCCAGAAGTTGAAGCTTCAGAGCCTTGTACAAACATCTATAATAATATTTAAAACAAAATTTAAGGCACCTAACTCAAATTAAAGTCGATCAATTGACTCGACGAAGTAACAATGTATTTTTATGGATATATTTGAAACCTCATAGATTTTTACTTGCCACGAGATCTCTGTTCATAACAGCGGCCGTGTTGACGTACGCGATCGGTACGTATTTGTTTTGATGGGTCAACTTTAGAAGTGGAATTATTTCAGAAAACAGTGAATTGATCGGCATCGAGTGCGGAGTTGCCATAAGGCATACAGTTAGTGTTGATGGCAGATGCGTATATGGTCGTTCTAACTCCTCCTAAAAGTCACAAAGCAGCGGTTGAAATGTAAGCATAAATTGGTTGTATGATATATATAAGTACATAAAACTTATATTATGGATAAATGGGCGCGTATAACTTGGAAACATATTCCTTCGACTCATTAACTGACATTCGAACGTAATTATCAGAATAAGTCTTACTAATAACAAAAACGTGAGATAATTTCGCTGCTTTATGTAGTAGTTGATCAAAAACACGTTGTCTAAACAACACAAATTTGCAAGGACACCTCTTGCACTATACTTTTCGTGGATAGTGCGTGGATGATAACACTATCCAAGGCGTCTACCTGTGAACCCATTGACGCCTTTCTTCGTTTCCTTACGGCCTTCGACCTTTCTTCATCACTGAGTGGTTCTTTGCCATTTCCTCCAATAAGGGATACAGCTTCAGGCTTTGGCACTGCATACCGTGAGAGTCGAACAGAATGCGCGGTAGCTGTCGATGAAGAGATTAGATCTAGAGGCTCCTTGGCAGCAGCAGAAGGTGTCCGCGAGTCAAGAAATACGTGAAGGTAGAGGCTGCCATTCCGTCTCACCGAAAGCGGTACATCAAAACTCTTTAAAATCCTAGAATACGGAAAACATCTCCAGTAAATCACCTCTTCGCAAGTGCGACCCATCTGAATGCAAAATAGACTCGCGTTCTAATCGATACTATGCGAGATTTTAGAAGATAAAACTTATAAAACTTAGATGTAAAAACGGTTTGTTGGAGACTTAAGAGGCTATAAGATGATTATTAAAAAAAACTTTTCTGTCCGAAGCGTGCTTAACAGCAGTACTCGAAGTAAAACGCAAAATATAGGACTATGGAGGTTATAAACTAACCGTTAAAACGGAAGTTCCATGCATGCAAAAAAAAATTGTTAAATTCTTCAAGTAGGATAGGTTTTACATGTAAACCTAATTTTTGCTCAACTATGGGCCTATTTCATGTCTCTAATATATCTCACTCTATACGATTTAAATTAAACAGTTATCGATAATTGCATTAACTAAAACGTGGATTGCTCTTTATTTCCAGGTTTGGATTGATTTTCGGCGACGTTCCGTGACGTTCGCAGTTAGAGTCGGCCAGGCCGACTTACCGTAGCATTAGTTCCAAAACAGAGCCAAACAGAGTCAAACAGAGTTCACTGTCGGACCAATTGAACGGAAATCACAAGCAATGATACTACTTCGTAAACAAAAAGGCATCGAAAATATGGCTCTGTACGCACTGCTCAGTTCTAATCCCAGTTGTTGCCGTCGAAGTAACGTCTACCAGGTTTATGACACGTGTGTGCTGTTTTCTTTCAATCGTTGAAGCTGCTCTCAAACCCCATCGCGTGAATAGACTTCAGCTATATCCTCGTTTTTTCTCGGGTTTATTAATCGTTTCCAAACTTTTCCTTCCAGTTATCTCTTGAGCTTTGAAAAGATGAGACCACCACTTGAGATTAGGTCTATGGAATATGGTAGCTAGTTAATACAGATAGCGAGTTCTCTTGGAGAAAACTTTAAAGTAGTCACGTGTGGGCCGGAACTTTGTAGCAATGAAGACGGCACAACCTTAGATCTGTAGTTAACATCTATTTCGGCGGATAGCATTACACATTCTTCTAAAAACATCTTGGCAGTACTTCCTAATGACAGTGGAAGTACTGCTAAAATTATAATGTAAAATTCGAAAAGTATACGGTGAAAAGAAAGTGTTTGGTACAGTTCATACTTTTTCGCTTTCAAATTTTTTCGCGAATAACTCGTGTGAAACGTCTAACTCTTCTACGAACCGCTTGATGATTATTCGATTATCCTATGGCTTACGCTGCTTTGCTTTTTCTGTCCATTTTCGACGTAGCGGGTAGCTCAGGACAAGAGTTCTTTTCAAAATCCTCTTTCCGTCACGAAACCACTTATGCATTCAGTATTGATTCGTACGTATACATCAGCTCCAGTGACTACGGCAGTATCAGCCGCTCCTTACTCGCTGTTGGGCCAGTACTAGATCTGGAATTTCTCGCGCTTAACCTATTACAATTTTCGTACGGTACGGGCGAACAGACGAAGCAATGAAAGCGGAGTCGTTTTCATATAATGTTTTTCTATTTATCGAAATCTAACTGAAGAATGGTACGAACTTATACTCTATACAATGTTGGTTTCTTGGATTATTACGTCACTTCTCCTTCATTCACCCTTATTACCACGCTACAGTAAGCCTTTGCTAATAACTTCGTTGATTTCCCCTTCTGTATTACCCCCCCCCCCGCTCCCTCACGTGCTATATAGAAATTATTATAGATTTAGCGTGGAAATTTAACATGCAGCACTAGCTTAGTAGCGAGCACTGCCACAATCACGGTATTCCTACTTATGCCCATAGCCTCATCTTTATAAGCCTTTTACGGCATTGATACCATGTGTGAGCGCTAAACTCAAATTTTAATACACAACATGATACACGCGTTGATATTTTCGTTCCTCAAACAACGCATTCCGGCCGAAAGTCAACGTGGTTGTACACGGCCTTTCGCCGACAAAATGCGGACGACTCATCGATACTTTTTTGACCCACCTATGCATGTATATTAGACTAACAGTCCAGCTTGGAACCAACACATTTTTCTCAATTTTAGATAACTAAAAAGTGTCCCGTGGTAATGCTTTTACGAAAAAGTTAATATTTAAAATAGGTTTTTTTCGCATATCCTTTAAATATGCTTACAAATCTGAAGTAGTCTGCGTAACGTCAAAATCGGCCTCATTCAAGATTATTTGGTGCTTTCCAATTTTAATGCGTGATGCCGTCTCTTCAGTGGTGACAACCATTACTAACTGAAAAAAAAAAACAAAATCGACCTTTAGGTTAACGGTCTTAGTGAAACTTGCTTTTCTTGCGTAAATCGGACGCCAAAATCTATTATGTAGTCTTCGTATCCAGCGATACAGTCTATATTTTAGATGTATGGCAGAGAAATACATCTAAAAAGAATTATGACTTCATAGTTGAAAATGACAATTTCTATACATTTATGGTAAATCTTTAAAGATCTCTTCAAAAAATAATATCATATTCGATGTTCACTTTATGTATTACCGGTGGCAAAAAATTATAAAGGATGACGTATATTATATGTAATCTAAGACTGAAGATATTACTTAAAAAGGCATGCTAATTTAAAAAATGGCATCTCGGATTTAAAAAACCTATTTACTTTAATGTTTCGAATTCATCTGTGACTGCCTTGAGCCACCTTTGAATAAGGACACCTAACATATAAGCCTACACCTCATAAGGTCTCCATCACAGAAGAAATAATATCGTAAACTGTATCGCTATTTTTTAACCTCCGCAAACGCGAGAAATAAAGTAGATGCCAGAAAAGCTATTCTTCTTCCACATAATGTACCCTTATCTGTGGCTCGAGGTAAAATAGTGTAATCGGCACGAAACAGTGACGATACAACTGAAGAGCAAAGACATAAATGATATTTAGTATGGGCAAGCGGAAAATTAAAGAGGAAAATCAATAAGCAGAAACTGCTAATAATCTCCCAGAAGCCTAATATATCATGTGATACATGAGATCAATGTACTCTAATTCTCTGAACAAAATCATACCTAGATCTTGCACATAATTCACCTTACAGGCCTTCATCGTTAACTAGGTGGGCTACTTCCCATATGGCCCATACAGTGGACAACTTGCAGTTTTGCGTGATAAAAACGTTTGTAGTGCTAAAAAAACTGTAATCATAAGGCAGGTCATCAGACTCTTAGGTAAGCCGTCCAGCTTCCTGTACTACAAAGATTCACCATTGCTAGTATTTTTAAAGTAATTATTTTATTTTGAACAATATTGCTTTGCCTTAGATTTTGGATTTGCGCAGAAACTCTTATTGCGTTATCGGCCGTGTTTAAAACGACTATATAAGCCTTTAGTGAAATATATTCGATAATAACAAAGTAGTGATCCGTTGTGTATATTTTCGTTTAAATGAACTCAGTGTTACACAATTCCTTAGGTTATAGCTGAGCAAATTCAAGGCGTTATCAGAAAATCAGTCCTAGTGTCAGATCAACGCTCCCACGCGATGTGAACAGACACATACGTATGGAGTACAAGTTAAATGAATAACAAAACTTCATAAATAGCAGTCCATCATTACAAACAATAACTCATTCTTATACACGTACTTGAAATATTCTCCTCAAAAATAATCTCTACTTATTGTACTAATCCTGGGAACTATTATTACTAGTGCTTATTTACATTACAAGAACTGTTTGAAACGTACCCGAGCTGATTTGGTCTGTTTCGATACTAACGGTGCTAATTACTTTTGCTGAATGTATACATAGGTATATATATGCTGATATAGAATTTGTTAACGTTCCGGTATACAACTAACATCCTAAATAGGAACGCAGCAGCAAAAATAGGAACGAAAGCTTGCATTCGCGTAGCACTATTACCAATTTTGTCTGCACTCTAATGATTATTTGTGCAATTTGCTTCATGCATAATTATTTAGTAATTAATGATAAAATCATCCATCGTATATTTTCTGATATTGATTATACTACACCCTTACACTACGTGCAGAGCCCAATCCATTCCCATAGGTAAACAAATTAAGCCCATATTTATGAACCTGGTAATTTCAAATTATTAAATACAGTTTTAGATAATTTAATCAAATTAGGCATAAAATATTTGTGGGGTTCACTGAACAATTATAAGATTTGCCGAACATTTTGCGATAAGTTCGTCAGATCATAACGGATTGCACTTGATCACTACCGTACCTGATGTTTTAGATCTCCTTTATTTCGCCAGGCGGGCTGCAGACAGGTTTTCGAATCAACATCAGTACATTCAGCAGGGTTATAAATTTTGTACATTGTGTACATTGAACTACCGATGTAGCCGAGGAATATAATGGCTACAACGCCTCCGAGTGACAGACTTCCAGGTAGAAGACCCATTGCAACGAAGTAATTGTTCGTCGTTGTTCGTCAACCGGTGGACTTAGACGAAGCTTGAAGATCAGACCTATCGAACAGAGCCTGCTCATTAGCACTGAATACCCAGCAATCGTATTCTGATTAGTTGAAGTTTCTGATTGACATGTCGTACTATATGAAAACCAGTCTGATAATGTCATCTCTAGTTTGTTTTGGCTTGCATTTTACTGTATAGTAATGCAGCAGTGCCCAAGTCTTTCAAGATTTTCTGACGAAAAAGGTAGCGAATGACGGAACTTATTCGTACACTCGATGGTAAAACAGTAGTTTCAGATGAATATTTACTATTTAGTTTTATCTCATTAAGGTGTCTAGTGGCGGAAATAGTATCCAAGGTGAAAATCGAGTTAAATATATCTTCAAATCTTGTATTACAATTCTACTGATGGATAAAAGACAAAATGATAATCTGCCTGCAAAAAAATGTGAAGCGAAGGAATAAGAATCAAGAATAATTGTCATGGTTCTAGTTTTGCCCTAAAAAGATCTCATTATTTTCAATATAGTGATTTTAAAATGTAATGTTCTGTAGAATTTAAAATCTAAGATTCGAGTTCTGAGAAGAAAAGGCAGAAACTGTTAGTTGCGAAGCAACTTAGAACCAGAGTAAACAGGGTTTTAAAACAACGTATCAACCTGTCGATTGCTTCCACTTTACGATGCTGTCACTCAAAATTTATCCCTTACGAACTATCGCTAACTTAGATAAATAGTTATATTATGAATTAATCATTCATGTATCAACCGAGGTTGTTTCAATATATGGGTATTATGATTCAATCTGGAAATTAACTTACTCCTTAGCAAAAGCTGCAGTAGGCTTTCGATCACACTGTGAAGCTTGCATACAATTTGAACACACGCTTAAATACATCGAGTCTATTAGCGGCTGAGATCTTCGTGTAGCGAACGACGAATCTTGTTACTCTTTTGTAAATACCGATTGAACCGAAGCTATGGACAGAAGCGGTCATCTGAATTGGATACACTTGTCCATACGCCCGCTGAAGTGAATCCCTTTCTATTGTGCTATTTCTACAAATTATCCAACGTGTTGTGGTCGCATTACTACCTGCTGATCGTTGGTACCATCTAAAACCGGTAGTTTCCCTTCGCAGGATAAATAAGTTATCCTCACAATTTTTCCTGTTCCCAAATTTATTGTTTCAGAATTTACATTCCCTGGTGGTACCCAAGTATTCTGTTGACAAGTTTCTAAGTTACACAAGTTTATGGAGTGTCGCAATTTAGATTTTGCGAGCAAACTTTAGTCCAGACAAAGGAGTTCGTTGGCGAGAACTGTTTGTTGGGCCCCGTCGTCTGACGTGTCGCTGGCTTTCAATGAGACACTCCTCTCATTTAGCGGCTCTCCCAAAAACAAACCCTTTGGATACCCTCTCCAACCAGCACAATCCCCTTTCTCAACCGCGCACCTAGACCCTGAAGAAATAGCACAGCGGATACTATCGAGCTGCGCGGAGTTCACCGCTGAAATAAATATAGTTCTTATGCGTACTCAAGGGATTTCGTATGAAGCAACTAGGAACTACTTAGTACGATAAATGTGCGCCGTGCAACGGTTGATCCAAATGAATAAATTAGAACGTCTAATTGTTGTAATCTTAGAGCGCAAATGGAATGAATACGAATTAAAACGAAGCCGTGTTATTGATAAAAAGCAATCTACCGATTGCACACGAGCAGAGGTAAAGACAACTAGTGTCGCCCTATTGGAAGACACCTATATCGTTGTATTTTTATAATTATAAAGGAATATTTCGAGACTAATGCATGCCATATGAAAAATTCTAACGTGCAGCTTCAAGAATAGAAGAGAAAACCCTTCTTATTGGAAGAGTAGAATGTGAGGCTCAGACAGACTGATACAGTACAATGCCATTTAATATTAAATGCTCTTGAAAAAATTGTCTTCAAGGATTGGTGCTGCTTGGTACAGAGTTACCATAGAACATATGCTGGTTTGACTTAAAGAACCTTTTGCATTCGATAAGTTGCATAGATCGTATTGTAGAAACCAAAAACGCGGACTGTGTGATCATACCGTGAAGCGATTATAAATGAAAATCCTATCGACTTAAACATATAGGCATTTACTGTAGCCTCAATCAACAATGAGTCCATATATGATTTTTCAAAACTTACGCATTTATTAACATTTTATTAAAGAAGTACTTTGTATTGGTAGAACATGCTTTAAACGCTAAAAAAGCTTCACTCAATGCAGATACATTAAAGCCAGCATGAATTCTGGTAGAACTGCACATTTATAAACAATACCTTAACTTAAAACATTCTATTGAACGAAAAAATGGTACCTGTCTAGCATTCATTATATATATATATATACGTGTGTGTGTGTGTCGAAATAACAACACCATGATATATAGCGGTAACAGACGACTTTGTGTTATCTTTTATTTAGTTTGTTTTTAGTTTTTCTTATTTTTTATTTCAAATGGCATCTTTCACACTTTATTCATCTCTTTTTCTCACTTTCTACCCCATGACTACCTCAACTTTGTACAGCATGATGGTTTTTCTCTCAAGCGTTTTTGCGGGACCTACGATTCCTACCCAGCAACCTTTTGAAGTCACCAACCAAGTGATTACAGATTGATACGCTATTACCGATCACTGATCTGGGTAAACAAGGAGTCATCCAAACGATTGACTACCGATGTAAAACTGGCTTAATCTCACATCTTTAGACGGTTGATACGGTTTTGCAAAATGAAATAAGTACTTTCTCCCTTCCTGCCATCTTTCATGAACTCACGTTACGGCTTCTTTTTTTACCACTTACACAGTGTGGAAAATTAAACTGCAACGATTATTATCATGGGCTCTTACTGTCCATAAGCTTGCTTATTATGCAGCTCACATTTTATTCGATTTATCCTGCTAAACCTGCACACGAAAAAATGCGGTTTTTCAACTTTATTGCTACTTTTCGTGAAGCTACTATTAAGCAAGTCACGTTACACAATGAGCCATAGGCAAAGTTGGCAGTTTCCTAATTTAATTAATAATGTTTATACAGTTTTAAGCTGCGCTCAGAGCAGCTACCGATGCCCAACTCCATCTTTATGTGTATTAATAATAATGACTATACGATCGCTTGTTAAATCCTTCCAACAATAGCCATATTAGCTGTCATATAATTACTGATACTGTTCACGCATCATGAGATATTACGCATTTTTTCACGTGATGTAACAGCATAGCAGTAAGCTTGGCTACCGATGGCCTCTTGTCAAGTGTTTTTTTTTTTGGAGTAAGATCCGTACACGGTCTTACCGATCCTAACACCATATAGTTCATCAAGATAATCGCATCGCAATTTCGCTTCCGTGCGGAAAATAATGGCAAAGGGCGTGGGCGTCAAAATTAGACAAATTAGTTGGACATCAACGCGGCTGAGGCATATAGGGCGCAAGGCAAAAGATACGGTTAATACATTGGCTCTCAGCCAAATATATTCAGTGCTAACTGGTAATGCCCGTTCGCCAGTTAGTCTTAATTATAATTGCCCGACACCTATTTTAGAATGTCCAGATAAAGTAACCTAGCTCGTCTGGCGTCGGCACTCTTTTTTTTTTCAGTTTTGTAATGTATTAACAGTATTAGCTGATCCTGATACTAGATGATTTGCGGTATGGTAGTAATCTTTCATCGTTGTTAAAGAAGTCTATTTAATTCAATACATTTGCTTAACTAGTCGCTGTTTCTCATAAGTTTCTGCTAAGCGTAGTGCATGATATATACCCACCAATGCAGTTCGGCGGGGGTCTCGCTCGACTGTCGACGAGTGCGAGACGGCAAATAAAATATTTGCCATCATATATACAAGACGATATATTCTGATTTCGTATTAAGCTTTTTAGCCTACGTTATTTTACATAAAAAGCTTCTATTACAACAGGACGTCATTGAATTATGTCAACAAAGGCCAACCTTGTTGCTACTTTCGGTAAGCAGCCCTATTAATTTTCAATTCGGTTCTTAGATAACATCTGACAATATTTCATATCAACCTTAAACACCTCGTGTTTAAGAACAGTTCTTTAATAAACAAAGGGGAAAACAGAGAGGAACAAATGTAGCATTGGGATAGAGTTTAACAAACACAGCAGGCTTAAAATGTGGGTGACAGATCCATAAGTATTCCGTTGGGGCGATCTCACCGAAACAATATTTTTACCTACCGTGCATTCGTGGCGTCTTTCATCTCACTCGCATCTCCTTCCCACTCTCCACTTGTTTTCAGCAACAAAACTAACTGCGCCGTTATCGTAACCGCTAAGATATTAGCTATTTTATTGCTACTTTAAGCAGGTTAACTCACTCTCAAATATCTATAGTCTTGACACAAGAGGCTTGCGCACTAGTTGTTCTTAGCATAAACTATGATATGTGTACATACTAATATACAACAAAACAATGGACATTTAGTGTAGCAAGTATTTGATACCTGAGCTCTTTCGCTGTTTTTTTCCTTCATATATATTTGTTAGTGTGTGTGTGTGCGTGTTATTGTGTCTGTGTGTGTGTGTGTGTATGTCTGTGTGTCCGTGTGTTTGGTATACTTTTTTTGGCATATATTTTCTCCCTTATTCTTAGCCCTGTCTATTGACACTTTTTTTATTGATTAGTAAATCTTTAAGTGGTCAAATGATATATATAAATCACTCTAGTGCAGCCACGTAGAATCTCCGCTATTGACGTCCCGTGAAACGCGGTCCTTCCTCGCAGGTTTATGATAACGTGTTATAGCAGCGATGGATGATGAACTGTCGGGGATTTGTATACGGTACATTTATCATCTCTACGTGTGTATCTGTACAACAAATCACGCAACCAAAGATATTCTTACCACTATAATATTCATAATTGAATAATTCGTCGTGAAAAAAGAACAGACAAATTATACGCATATAAGCTAGGAAGCAAAGAAGCGCGTAAGTAAAGTGATTGAAATAAAGTACCTAAAGGTACACTTCACTTTCAATGCCACACTGTTATCGTATAACAATAAATTGATGCAAATTTCTCAATATTTAGATTCAACTAGTTTGTTCTTCCTTTGTTTCTCCGTAACATTTTTGTTTTACTGTTTACTTTTCAGTTAACGTTTTGTTAGCGGCATGTTTGCACGCACTTTTCAGCATGTGCAAGTGGGGAAAAGCCAGCAGTATTGGGATGTGATTTAAAAGTAATCAACGTAAACGCACAGTGTTAGAACTATACGAACAGCGCGTCTTCCCATCCTAAGTGATAGGTCGTACATAGAATGATACGATTTTTGTTGCCGCTCAGTCTGTTATAGGATGATTCCCACTATTGGCGGGTCCGGTAGTTCGTACAATTCGCAAAGCGGTTCCTCTTTTAGTGATACTCCCATAACTTAATCTTGAAATAGTCTGATTAAGATGAGATGGTAAAGTGCTCACAGGATCGTGTAATCACATAGGACACAACAAGAAAGTTTATATAGAGGCACGATTTACTCCGACTTGAGATCTTGTTTTACTTTATACAGCATCAGTTCCATACAGGCCTTAGCATCCTCGGCACTGTCGTGACCGTCCACTGTAATCCGGTGAGAAATCACACAGAAAAAATGAGTACAATTATATCATGCTCGCTCGTCCGTGCGAGAAACCAATTAGAGTTTACGACTTGGCGTCAAAGGCAGTCATTTAAATTAATTTATAAGATCAATAGATAAGATATGCCTAAGCGTTCTATATCGTACCTCCATCCTGAATAATCTTTTGGCAGTAATCCTTTAGAAGATTTTTAAGTGCTCTTTTATAGGGTAGGCCCATCTTATGAGGGAAGACAAGTGACGTATCAACCACTGTCGAATGTATAAATTTGAGAGCTTTTAAATCAGATTCGAGGCTGTGTCCTATCAAGATCGTGTCTGCTGAGACCAGGGCTAGCATGGCAGCCTGAACCTGTACAAGAGGAAACAAAAGCGTAATGTGTTAGTTGCACAAACTAAAACTTCAAAGTGATTTATAAAGACGTTGAAACTGATGTGCTCAGGCTTGGCATATCGTTTTATATGTTTTATAATAAAACAAAGCGTCTATCTAATCTATTGATCAGTCCTTCTACATTACATCCGGGGAAGTAGGATTGTATACATGTTAAATATGTAGTGAATGCTTACCTCGTGTAATTCCGTCGTTACTGATTCCAGGTCCTCCATTTTAAGACCACTGAATCGAGTGTTGTAATCAAGAACAGGATTTCGAGGCTTCACTTTTGTTTCGTAGATAGTCCGAAGATTCATGTCGACCATCGAAACACGGGCAAGTTCCGTGCCTCGGGTAGTGTAAATCATTTCACAATCAAGTGCGTACACCTAAGCAGAACGCGACGCAATGGGAGACGATAATGATAATAATTGAGAAACTGTTTAGCGTTTTTTTTTGGGTTTGCGAAATACTTAAGTTTTCATGCGGAATCATCATGAGGAAATCATGCGTGACTTTTGTTATTGCTCAATGGACCGATTGCGATATTTATTCTACACTCCATCTAAGTATCTGCATTAAACATCACTCATGGATTACAGAAAAAATTGAGGTAACTGAATCTTCTATGAAAACACAATCCGATATATATGATAGGTATGAAACGTGCCTTCTTAAAATTGTTTGCAGCCGCGGGCTCCGGAGTCAGGGTTGTCATGTAGCCCCCGTCTTCTTTGAGTATTGGATTATCAAATACGTGACCCTTAGCCACACTGCACCCGTCAGAACCGCTCTCAGCATCACAACATGTGTACTGTTGCTCACGAACATTGCTTCTTTTCACTGTAACGTTATTTGCAACATGGAAAAGTTACTTAGATCGTTGTGCTTATAATATTCGGTTCCATTCTTATTGGATGTAACTCAAGAGTGTTACGTAGAATTCAGTCGAAAATACCCAAATTCTTGTTTTTCTTTCTGAAAGCACTTCCTAGCATGAAACAAACTTACCTCAGAACTTAAGGGCAATAAGTGGGCAATGAGGAACTGCACTATTTCTCATGTCATAATTTTGTATTCAGCATTTACCTTCCTAATTTCTATCTGAAAATTCGCTTCCTCTCCTATATAAGCAACGAATAATATGTGGTGATCGAATCCTATAGAAAAATGCCTGCAATTTAAAATGATGTAGAAACAAATTGGCAGTAACTTCTACGGCAAGCTATCTTTAAATAGAGCCATCTATGAATTAATAGTCGAATATACCTATACGAACTATATCTATACGACTGCTGTACTATTCTCGATATGTACTCGTCTTCTTCAAATCGAACGTAATACCTATATGGTATGCCTGTATTGTCCAACTGCTCTACCAATTGTAGAACAGTGTTTATTATACACCCACCATGACGCATCCAATTTTTGCCCCAGTGATAGACGCACTCTTCGTGTCGTAGGTACATTCCATCCCTATCAACAAAATAGACTTTTTTACATCGAACGCAGGTTCTTTCGTTGCCCGTACGTGGGTCAGGAGGAGCTGAAAGGGCAGCTTCATGCCGAAACTCTGCTTTACCTGGTTTCCCCTCGCATGGTCTAGGAAAACCCATTTGGTCGAGTTCCGTTGACTTCATAAGGTATTTCTCACGCATATGTTCGTAGAATTGCTCTTCTATGTAATTCCCAATTAAGGGCAACAGGCCCAGATAGCGGTCAAAACAAGAGCGAAATCGAAGAACAGCGGCAATGAAACAGCACAAAGATTATGACAGTTATTGTGATACGACACAGCTGATGCCTACAACAATGGTTCCTGACAGACTGATTTGAATTTCATACATATAAAATTTAAGAGAAGGAAAATTGAAGCTATTAAATTTGTCACCTTATTCTAGACCTTGAAAATCCCGTCGGATGGAATTTACTGCTGTGCCCTGGGGTATTGCGGTTTATAAGCTAAAGCAAAAGGCCCTAACCTATGAATTATTTTCATTATGACAGTAATCGTTTGTTAATGTTAGGGTCCAGATTCTATACAGAACGTTAATCCTATAACCTAAGCTTAGTAAGTCGACGGTATTACCTCTGTTACAATATGTACATACCTGTCATATTATCTACCGAGGTATTCCTGCGGAAGCGGTGTTTCTCGATTGAAAAGGACATTTTTTTTGCTTTTGCTCCACCAAGAACGTCAGCATGAGAAACTGCCTGTGGGGCCGTACTCGAAGGACCCAGCTCACCGCTTTCCTTCTTTAGACGCATGATAAGGTTGGCTACCAGGTTGGAATAAACTCTTCTGTCCTTTGCGCGGCCACACACGTCACGTTCTTCATTCAGTGATTTCTCGTAACTTTCTTCATATGTGGTGCAAATCATATTATTTAAATCGATCAGCTTATCCAGTGACCTGTTGATAAAAAAAAAAGATGTTTGTATAAGGCAGAATAAATTAAAAAGCAAGGCAAACAATTAGGTCAGGAATTGTGACACACTGCAACGACTTGAGTTTGTCAGTTCAGTTTGCAAGATATGATGCAACTGATAAAAATAACAATACTTACAGTTGGCGGAGATTAACGGGAACCTTCATATTCGAATCAAATTGTATTCTTGGGCGCGGGGGTGCCACCGGGTTGTCACTGGGGCCCAGTGCTTTCGCTACATGGGCCACTCGAGCAACTCCCTATACATCAACAGGAGCAGGCAATGAAATGTAAACACATGCAACAAATCGAAGCGTCATATCATATAAAGAAGAGGTATACAGAATTAGTCAATAGTTCTGAGGTTTCTAATTGTCAATTTTGTATAATACAGAGAAAACGCGCGATTCGGTGTTCTCTTTAAATTATTTGTGGGCGATACTCATACTTCATATTGTTAAATTCTAGTAAATCTACTATAGTTTCCTCAGTATGATTTGAACAAATCCACGGTTTCTACCTTGGTACGAACTAAATCGAATAAATTATAGGTAAAGATGTCAGGCATATTCACGCCGAAAAATAAAATATCGCGCAATATGCGCTGACACAATAACGATTGAATTTTAGCAATAATTAGAGAATTATTGTTGAACCGTTTGTTGATTCTAATTCTGAAATTAATAGTGAAACATTTTAATATTCAGTTATTATTAATCCAAAGACTCAGAGTTTTCCTGCTTTACGGTGCGAAATGAAATAAACGGGTTCAACATGACTGTAGCTTTCAATTAATAAAATGAATGATCTCCATAGAGTTGAGTCATTTTGCATAAAAGCACATACGAGCGCAGCCTATTGCACATTCCTTTCTCCTAATAATAATAAATAATCATCAATCCTATTTTGCTTTTTGTTGCAAACAGTAAATGTAATTGTGCACCCTGTGCAGTACGGTCTTGACTGGAACCAATAATGGATGCAGTAGCTTAACCTCTGTAGCAATTGTTAACTATCAATTGATCAACCTCATCTCATTTAATTGATTTAAACAAAATAATTGGCAGGTCAGGAATGGAATCCTAGTTAGAACTAGAGAGCGATATAAACATAGTAAACTGCTGCTTTTCTTTCGAATTAGCAGCAGACTTGCAACGGAACTAAAAACATGAAAGAACTGCATCTCTGGATGATTTCATGAAATCCATCAAGTCATAGTTTGCTTAATAGAGCCAGATAATGTAAATATTTCCAGTGAAAATGCCGAAGAATCGTTTAAAAATTAAATACTGGAAACACTGTATAGCTAGAAAACCAATGCAACGAGAGTTGTTTCGTTGCTTAGCAAAGAGCAAGCTATCTTGTCGAAGGAATCGAACAATGGGGTAAACCCCAACATAGCATCGTAATTTGCAGCACATTCATGTCAACTGGCAAACGTGAATACCTACTTACAAGATGCTTAATGGGTCACGCATGAGTTTTTCTTTGTGTCCATACACTGCACAGACAACGTGACTCACTGGCAATGCACATTGTCAATGTAGCGACATAGCAGGACTCTTGACAGATATTCTATTGAGGTTGCCATACTCAACCTTTTCTGAAGAGATTGCGGTAAAATTAAGGAGGTAAGTGCGAAATGAATTATTCTGCTGGGGATCCTAACATTGCAAAAAACGACTTGCAGTATCTCAACACGATAGCTTCTTAGACCACGTATAAAGCTCGCTTTAAAAATAAATTTTTAGTGAAAGTAAATTTTCTCGTAACATAATTCTTTACTAGCAAATTATAAACAAAAAAATAAACGTAGTGTATGTTTCTTAAACAACAAAGCTTTTTTCATGGAAGGTGTGATATAAGAAGCTTAAATTAAATGTATAGTCAACATCAACTGGCGCTCGGCGTTGACATACGGAGCGTCCTGAAGATATGCCCAAAAAGCACAGTGCCGCAAGTGTTCCGACTGGTTGGAAAAAAATCGCTATTTCGATCAAAATCCTCCCAAACCTATGAAAAACAGATCCTTGCTATAAGTGCAAATTACTGACGGCAGTTCATAAATTTTTAGGGCATTCTGTATATAAGATCGTCATACTGAATGCTTCACCATCTGGCCCGCTCTATACAAGGATCGATTTACAAGATGTTATGATATCGAATTTGTAACAGGATGCCAAAATATGTCATTTCGTAACATCTCTTTTTGGTTACCTAATCCACCTATGCATGTGTAAGTAATTAGTCGTGGCCTGCTCGCTACAAGGCAACGTGACGGCGCTTTCCACGTGCACGTTGTGCGTAAAAGGACGCTATAGTGGCGCCCTGGTGCGGTTGTGGGTCTTGTGCAATGTGGCAGGGTTTCCACGAGGACAAGCACTTGACTGTAACTGCAGGGTGAAGCAGCTAAGCCAAAGTATCCTAAAGACACTTGTCTCTGCCGTGGATAAACGTTTCGTTGGCTACATATAGCTGTACGTATAAAACAGACTCGACAAAGAAAGGTGATTGTGGAGGTCCGCTAATTGATAAATGTTTGTATTGCATATTCGATTAACTGGTGTAATGTGACGAATGTGGTAACAAAACCCTTCAGCAAGATTTCTTATGGAGTAAAGATGACTAATTCTCCACGGATTCATATCGACGGTGGCCGTTTAGGCTACACTCATCTGCGGTCATACGACTGCGGTTAGTTGCCCTATCTGGCTAAGCAGTTGATAGATGTAGCTGAGCTCCCACGCAACTAATCTGCGGTATAGCAGAAGTTATCGACATTGCTCAACACAAGCTTCGCTTTTTTGTGACGATAACGTTACGCAGCATTTCTTAAATAATATTCTGCATTTAGAAGTTCTGTCCAGCATTTTCTTTTTCACTGGTCCTTAATTTTCCCGTACTCTTACGTCATTCAAAAGTTGGTTTCGTTCGCGACTACCAATCATTCTTTTGCACTTCAAGTTGTTTTTACGAAAACTGGAACCTGGGTCAAACTCGAACTCTTTGGCACTCATTTGTATGTGCATAGTGCATAATGAATGAACGGGTACACTTTGTAAAAATGGCTACCGAATGTGTTTGTGAATGTCAAAACGAAAAATTTACTGACTATTTTCACTGAATTTAAACTAAGCTGCTGCCGCACTGAAACGCAAAATGTGACCACGCGGTATTTTAAAGTACTCACAAAATATGAACATTTTATTGTCCTTTTATATTTCTTTCTTATCCTTGAATGTGTCATATAAAGCATTCACTCGAAGACCTGTGAGCGCGCTATCTACTTACTAAGCCAATTAAGATGTCAAACCAGCCCGACGACGAGTTGGCACGGCTTAATTATGCTGAACTGAACAGGGATAATGATGCCCGCATTGCGGAACTTCAGAACACCATTATGGCAATAACCGGGTACGCGAAGAAGATCGAAGAACAAAATATAGAGATGTCTGAACAGCTAAGGAAAACCGAGGAATGCAACGAACAGCTTCAATGGAAGCTCAGCGAACACGTAAGAATGAAGACTATGTTCAAACTATATACTCATTTTTTCATGCTTTCCTTTGTTCGTGAATATTTTGCATAGCAAATGAATAAGTGTAGTATCAGGTGCAATAATAATATAATCTGTCAATAATATTAATAATAACAATAAATCCTAGATAGGTAGTTCTGCTTGCAAGATGACTTTGCCCGGACTTTGAGATGTATAAGTAAATTGCTTATAAACGATAAGTTTACATCCAGTGACACAACTGTTGTATTGATAGTATTTAGACGACGTTACTACCTGGTAGGAAGCAATTTGTTCAAGCAATTGTAATTTTCATACATAATTTGGATTGTAAATACAAGAACGTCAAACCCACACTGACTTGCTTGTGAAATTTTAGATTGATTTTTACAATATCGCTATAAATTTCGACGCATATATGAGAAATGGCAATACTCTTCATCGTTATTCGATGGCTAAACCTGAGTTAGTTATTGATGTCTCCCGATTACTTCGCTGCTACTTACGTATAGAACAGAACATAGTCATGTTTATTAAAATCTAGAGTTACTTATTCTGTGATATGCAATTTCGCTCCGAATGCAGGAGCTGTTCTTTCAAACACAGATGAACTTGCAAGGACAGCTCTACCATGCACGCGTAAATCGTGAGAAAGCCGAAACCCTTACAAGATGCCTACGGTCGGAACTGGAAGCTAAGGAAGGTTTAATCAAAACACTAGGCATGCTACTTTCAAGCAAAGAGGATGAGTTACGAGCTCTCGAAGAGACTAGCGTACGTCGAGTTCAAGATGTGATAAACAGCGGACGCGAGCTTGCCGAGAAATCGCTTCAACAGATTCGCACTCATATGGCTGAACTCAACGAGAAAAGTCAGGCCGATGCTGAACGAAGCCACGAGAGTACAAGCTGGATGCTTCGCAACTACTTGGAACAGGTGGAAAAACACGCGGAACAAACTATCGCACAGAGCGCTGAACTACAGAAATATGCGGAGCTTTTTGAAAATTTCGAGAAGACAAAAGTGCAACTGCATGAAGCTATGACTCAATTGGCGCACTTAAATCCACAGGAGCGCAAATACCAACAGAGTCAGCAGCAGTGGCCATCGCCAGGTGAACGTGGAGTCGACGAATGCTGGCATTTGTCTACCAAACCGATTTGGTCTGAAACATCGGTCTCGCAGACCAGGTCTGGAGATGGCACAATCAATGGCAACGATTATAGCGACAATAATAACTTCGCAAATACCATGTGCGTTAGTGGAACTACTTGCGATGGCAAAATTACACCTACGCTTGATGGACGCATGCATACCGACGAAACCTTCCGCTTCGATACAGTTGAATCTTCAGCAGTGCCACGGTCGGGACTGTCGCAGCACAATCTAACAAATCAATTAGGAAGTGTAAATAATGTTGGAGTTCAAACATTGTCGGGTGGACATCAATCCCAAACCTTATCCCACGCCAATATCACTACCAGTGTAGGTATGCAGACGTCAATGCATGGTGTTTCGCAATCTACAAATACCTGCCCGACCTTCGCACCCAGCCGGGTTTGTTCCGACTTGAATCGTGACGCCATGGGTCAAACAGTTAACAGTATAAATCATGCAATAACCGACAGGATGCAAACGACACCGACTTATCCGTACGGTTTAAACAATCATTTTTTGGCGCTTGGACGATTTCCAGAGCCCTACAGAGGACCCACTCAAACATCGCCTGCCCCAGCCCGGGATACGTCTTCGTTTCCGAGTCAAGGCACGTTGTCGACTTCGAGTCGCACGGAGGGACATCGTTGGCCATCAATGGACTCCACAAACAGCCAAACCTCGATTCCATCTCTGTTCTATAATTCGCGAGTGCCAGAGGGAACTACCTTTGAAGAAGAACAGCTGCTTCAGCAACGCCGAAGACGACAGCAACACCAGTTGTCACTTCATGATTCCGAGACCTCTTCGTTTGAACTAGCTTCTCATTCCCATCAGGAGAGCTAGTGAACATGAGTGGACTTGTGATCTTAATTAACACTTTTATAGCCGATGTATTTCAAATCTTACCTCTCGTAGATCTTACTACCACTATTATAGCTTCAGAACAAATACGACGCATCCTCTTTATAAACATAGTACTTGCGTGAAGTAGATGGGAGCATTCGGTGATATGACAAGTGGTCGGTGTTCATAGATATAGATAGACTCATGAATAAATATATTTCACTTGGAGCTTAGTGGTTTTACATTAAGCCATGTAAATACATGTACATACAGTTATATATATATATATATATATATATATAAAACCACCTATATATATATATATATATATATATATATATATATATATATATAGGTGGGGGGGGAGAAAGAACAAAACAGAAATAGGACTGATTAAGTTGGAATTAGATAGTTTGCAATTCTGTTTCTTTACACCAGATCAGCCTAGAGCGTCTATTAGGTCCATTAACTGAGAAGTAAAATGGATACTGATTTTTTGTTTGATATTGCAATTTTCCTGAGATACATGCCGACACGTTTAGAAACATCTACTCCATTTCACCTGGTTTATTATTGACTGAGATTTTTGAATCGCAGGTTATGAAATATAGAACCTAAATTTTTCGCGGCACATAGCTTTTTTTCTGGGATAGTGCTAGGTTTCATTTAGTAGAAGAGGGTAGAGCAATCTAAAATGTGAGAACACTGCCTTGTCAAGCATAGTTTTAAATTGCAACTCTTTAGACAGAGATCCTACATTTGACCGGAAGCAATTATAGCAACGATTTACGTCGATAACATCTTAATATTCTGGCATTAGGAAAGTTAAGTGGAAAGAAAAGATACAAGCCCGCAGTAAATCGAGGGCCAGTAATAGGACAATCATGTAACTAGCACCTGTAATCTATTGAAATTATTCTGACTGAGTCGTCCTTAAGCGGTATATTTAAAGAACATCTGAGCTAAAAACTTCCGACAAAGAGAGCAGAAGTGGTTATCAGCACGTTTTGACGCTATGTTAATAGTCAAATAGCGTTGCGGAAGCAATGTCTCTCTGTTAGTCTCAGTCGTTTATTCTTGAATAAAATTCTTAGCTTACCTTTGTTTGCACGTGGTTCGTAGCATGCGGTAATGGCACGGTGTTTGCGATCCTTTTAATAACTTGCGCTCCAGTGGATGATCGTCCGGCAGCTGCATCAGCACCAATCCCAACCTGTCTCGCCTTTGCCGATGCCAATGCGAGATTTTTGCGCTGGGCAACCGCCGCTACGAGGTCGGTTGAAACGGTACCTAATCAGAGAAAGAGAGCGACAACGCAAAATATACCAATACAAATAAGCCTTACTCATATATCGATGCCGTTCTTTGCGTCATGTACAGATTACGTTTTTAGAGTAAACGAAATCCGTTGATTTAGCGAGTAGAACAGATAAGTGTCAAATAGAATTAATCGATTCTTTGTTATCCAACATATATCTATCTTGTAGCAACATCGCAAACCAATAGAATTTTTCGTTTGCCACACATGTGTCTTGCACGTGAAAGGAGCACGACATGAGAAACGAACAAGGTGCGGTGACAAGGAAAAATCTATGAGAAATTAGAAAACTTCTACTCTAAAAAAAGATCCACGCGGAATCTGAATTGAGCTTAATTATACGTGGGATTTATATTCATTTTGTGCTTCATGAACTACCTGAAAGTCACCGACACATAAATTCTCAACATTCAAGTAACTGAATGCTTACAAATTCGCTGTCTTCGCTGCTCAGTTGGGGTCGTAGGATGAAAGATAGGTGTTGCTTGCGTTTCATTGGACGAATTTTGCTGTTTTAGGCGCGCCCTTTGCATTGCCTCTTGGCGCATGACCAACTGTTGCGCTGGAGATGGTCTGAAGGGTTTTTTCGGTACCGGAGGGACTGTCGCCACAAGGCGGGCTCCAGGATCGTGAGCAATGCGTTTTCGAGTTACCCCAACCATCTAACAGAAACAAACGTTGAAGCGCGTATTTCAGTAACAGCTAGGAGATACTGAGTTAATGACAGTTCATTACCTTCGCATGTCATCAATCATTGTATTGAACAGCCCTCAAGTAACATCGGGCAGATCTGAACATTTTGGTAAATGACGAAGCAATTATGCTTTGTGCAATCGTGTATAGTCGATGGTAGTTATAAAACTAATATAGAATGATATGAGCAAATTACGATAGGGGCTTTGAACTGTTGTTAATGGTTACACTCACGTCAATAACCTTCGACGGCTCGCTAACAGAAACCGGTAGGCTAGAATCTTGAGTCGTTTTTGCTGGACCATTGTTATCCTTATTAAGGCTCATTTGACTCTCACATTCTTGAAATAGACGAAGACACTCCTGCTCGGGGTCTTCATCGCTCAGATCCACATCTGTTAAAGAGGAGGCATTGCCAAAATAAATTAGATAACTTCTTAATTATAATAAAGGTATATAAATAAGTTTATCTATGTTACAAATATTCAGACGGCCAAGATTAATTTTGGATAAAAATTGACAAAGCAATATCATGTGACAGTTTTCACCTACCATTGATGTCTATATCACCGACAGCAATCACTCCAGGTTCGATTTTCACTCGTTTACTTCTGTCATCTGAAATGGTAACGAGATAGTGGAGATTGATTGCCAAATAAAATAACACCTGAGTTCTATGTAATAATGTGTTTAGAAAGGAAACAATTTATCTTAATTCTTAGTTTTTTAGCTTAGCTTTTTAGGGCAAAAGTTCTGGAGGGAACGCCGCATATACCCAGTATAGGTAAACCCAGTGAACGGTCTAAGGTAAATTACTGGGCCGAAAACCCCGAACGATCGTCCGGAAGTTCAGGCTAACCGAGAAGGCGAGACAGCCGAAGCTTCGACAGGGTATTGCAATGGAAATCTGTCATTTATGAGCATATCAAGGTGAAGTACAAAAACAAGACATCCAAGTCTTTAAGGAATAAGCATAGGCACCTGCTGATGTAGATGTTCTTCTGTGACTGCCGCGACCCTCGGAACTGCTCGAACCGCCACCATCACCGTGATCTCTGGCGCTATCATCTGATCTGGCACCACTATCTGAATATCCACCTTGATGTTCGCCCCAACTCTTACGCTTCGAAATAGAGACACCCGATGTTTTCGAATGATTTTTTTCTTCCCGATGAGATGAACCACTGAAAAATATACATTACGTACGAATTCTTAGTAAAAATTACATAAAAATAAGTGAATTATACTTATTGTAATTATTATTAATGAAATTTATTTATACATACAAAGCGCTGACTCTCATGAACTTCAGTAAGTGGTGAATAGCCAATGCATTTCTCGCGTATTTGTTGTAAATAGAAAAGCACATTTGTAAGTAATCGCTAAATTAGTTTTCTCATAGAAACAAGAAAAGCGAATAGAATAGATTTTCCAGTGCTATACGTGTCTTTTTCAGAAGTGTTAACTTAAACATTTTAACGTTCAAGTCAATTTGACAACTTTCGATAACCATCATTATCATTGCAATTAACGAACCATAATTGTTTTGGATGTACCTTTTTTTATTACCGCTATCTTCCTTTTTGTCCGAGTGAAATCCATTACTAGTTTTGTGTTTTGTCGAGCGTTTCTGTTCGGTATCTTTTGAATGAGACGACGAATTCGAAGAAGATGATTTTTCCTTTGACGACGACGACGATAAGCGCGTGTCTTTACTACTGCTGCTACTGCTACTACTACTTTTACGTTTGTCTTTCGATTTGTCGCGGTCCCTGTCTTTAATTTGATCCTTTTCCTTATCTCTGTCTCGATCTTTGCTACTGGACGAATGCCTCGATTTATTTCGACGCCGATCTTTGCTACGTGAGGAGCTTTTTTCATGATCTTTACTACTGCTGCTACGGTTGTCTACTTCATTCGAATCTTCGGCTGCTGACTCATTGCTTTTTCTGTGCTGCTTTTCTTTAGCTCCGTTAAGCCGGTCTTTCTCCGTCAGTAGGGATACTGACGAAAATGGGCTTTCCTTTGAACTTTGATCTCTGTCATGTCCATTGCTGCTGCCAGTACTGCGAGACTTATAATCGTGTTCTGTCGCGTCTGAACTATGTCGTTTCCTTGACGCTGTGCTCGTTGAAGAGGACGAACTGTGCCCCTCATCCTTCGATCGCGACGAACCTATTAGACTCAAGCTGTCCTCTCTTTTTGGGCTAGAGGAAGAAAGTCTCCGTTTTAAATATTTTGCCTCATCTCTGTAGCCATCCTTGTAACTTTGCTTCTTTTTCGACATCTCTTCGTTGTCATATTTCTTCTGAAAATAAAGGATATGGATGATGTATTGAAATGAGTCAGCGAGCCCAGTGACACCAATTTTTTTCCGATAGAGAGCCGCATCCGTCTAACACTGCCAGCTCTAGATGACGCACTTTCAACAAAAATATTAACCTGATGTATAGTCGATTTGTACGGCAGCCAAAAATACATTTCATCAACGTTGTCACATAAAATATGTCAAAGTAATCTCAGATTTCTTTTGCACTAAACACCTTTTAAATAACATTGATCTTCTCAATTAGAAAAGCTCTTCAGAGCAACTTCTAAAATTGTTAGCATGAGTCTCACGGCAACTGTCAGGTTTCAAAATATTATACAATATGAATTAAGCAATATAGCAATCTAGCAAACATCTTACGGTTGTCGAAGCATCGTAGTCGTCTCCCTCCGTCAAATCAATCACGAAGTCGTTTGGTGTTTCCTCTTCTTTATGACGCCGTTTCTCAAACCTTTGAGGTTCCTTAAGCCGATCGTCGTCTAATTGACCCATTGGGTGTGCGTTTGACTGTTGCTCCGCAGACTCACCCATGACACCTAACGGGAATGAAAGCGCACATATACATTGAAATAGTTTCATTCTTTGCCCAAGAAAAACCAAGCACTTCTTTTTGTAACGATGGCCAATATTTAAGTGTTATTTTTTGCAGGAAATTTCCCGCTAAATGTTTCGATTCATCGAATATACGTTCTAGCAATCTTCATATCTTAATCAACGATATAGGGAGCAGATGTTGTTGTCTCAATCTTCAGTTATTTTTCACGAACGTAAATATACAGTAAAACACATTTATCCCTCAAATGTTATCGTGTTAATTCTGTAAGCACGAATTAACTTTATGATGGATCTTACCTTTTTGAAAGATTTCCATAAGTATCGCCTCTTCTTCGTCGTCTTCATCTTCTGAGAATGCAGGCTCAATCACCCTGGTCTCATCTGCCTTAGCGAATTGATGCGTCGAATAGGTATCGACCCCAACCGCCGGCACCTTACCCGCTTCCGTTGACAATACGCGAGCAGCATTTGTAGCGGCATTCTGATGACGCCGTTGGAGAACTGCTATTGGCGTGGGACGATACTGTATACAAAGATATCGATAACATCGCACGGGAAACAAACCGTTGTAACAGAACGAGTAACAAAGCCATGCTCTTTACCACTTGCATAACAAATGAAAATTGACTAACATCAACAGCGGAAATTTATCGCAATCTATACCCTAGCGCAATAAATAAATGCGTTCTGAACAAAAACCTAGTAGGTAGTTTTCGATGAATTAAGGTTAAATACCTGCGGTACGCGAATAGCGGGTATGTGACTACGCGCAGGTTTAGCTGGCTCTAAAGGTCGTTTTGGAGGCTGTTGCAGATTAGTAGGTATACTACCCGATGCGACAATGTCTGAAGTTTTGGGGCTGGATTCTGCGCCAGCGGGTTCGCTCCCTGCGCCAAGGAAAAGCCAAACAAGCTTAGTTCTGTTATTGATGGAATATATTTTATTACGTTTCAATATATATCGTATCTGTACGAATGTTTCGTACTTCTTTGAGCAATCGCATTTAAAGAAATAGTACGTTAGTTTACAATTTCTATTGCCCGTTATCTATTGCAAATTCAACGATGTTCTCAGAATGAATGTTTTTGCTCCTTCGCAAAACATACTTATTCGATTCCATGACAAGTTTGAGTTGACGTATGTACGGAAAATAAAAATGAACAAAAATTGACTCTCGTACTAAGAGCTCGCTATGTCATAGGCCAGCGCCATTATAGGTCATTATGTGTAAAATAAATAAAGCTAAATTGGAAGACATCGTAAGGCTACGGCAAGCTGTTCCTATCTCGCTGTAAGCAAGAATTAAATTTATATTTCATAGCTAGAATCTAATTCAAGTTACGACGGTAAATACAATCGTTAGGGTGTATAGTAACAAAAAAACTTTGAGTACTGTCTTCCGACTCCGGAGAGAAACCCATAATCGTCTGGGCAAGCGCTACTACGTGGCCGTTGCAAAACACGTCTGTTGATGCGGAAATCCCTAAAGTAACGCATTTTAGCCCTAATTACGAGTTCTTTTCGAGAACGAGACGTCAATCGAAACCGGCACGTCATTAAGCTGAATCGCCGGTAGCGAAATTGTACTGGGCAATAAATGACGATAAAAAAGGTCTTAAGAAAAAACAATTTAATTCTCATGTTATACATTCACAATAAGGCACTGAAAATTCTGATTTTCATGAGGCCAAAAGGTTCGAATACGGAGGAATCCCTTTAAAGTTATATAGATGTAGAACCCAATGCCAATATGTGAATTCTAGTATCGTTTTGGACTCGTCGAGACACATTTGTTTGCTATGGTACGCATCTGCCCTCATATTCAGACAATTTAGTGGTATTAACATGGCTTGATTCTTTTAAAATCTCCATTATATATATGTCAAGCTTTCAATATTTCCATTGACATTCATCTGAAATTACCATAAATAAGATACGGCTTGTCGCTTCATGATTAAAAAATGGCGCCAGCGCCATAAGAATTTGAACTGCCGGTTTATAACCTGATAAGTTTTAAAGGTTTAATCTTTTAAGACATCTCAGTTATAAGGCACTTTTGTTCGAACGTCATAGCATTAGCTGTTATGTTCACAATGTTAATACACATTATACGTAGGTCGTACGTCATTTGAACTTACCTCCCAGCGGAGCCTGTTGTTGTGGAACGCTCGGAGAATGTTTAAAGTGACAATAGGGCCGGTTGCATTGTCCAACAACGTGAAGTGGGCATACCACCCCCGAAAGACGACCCTGAGAACGAAACATTTCTCATTCGAGGATAGCAACAAGATAAACTTCGTGTCTGTAAAATCCAGCCGTGACGATGATGTTGATGTTGGTGTTGAGAGTGAGGTCACAGCAGCTACAATCGCGCAGTATAGAACAAGCTTAGTTGAATCGTAACGTCACCCAATAATCTTCTGTCTGACCGATCTGTTTGACATGCATACACACACAAACACCACGCATCACCAAATATTTCGCTCATACTCGCGCTAAAGTTCACACTTGATACAATTCACGTTCGATGGAGTCTCACAGTTGTATATCTATTAAGGAGCAACCCAGTTTCATTTCTGGAATATCAAGAGCGTTCTATCGGCCATCACGCTGTCAACTGCGTGCTAATGGCACGCGTCGACTAGCTTATTCATTCTAGCTAATGTTATCTAACTTTCTTATGATCACTATGTTTATGCTGCTGAAACTTTGAGCTCTAATACTAAGATAGCTATGACTGTCACACACACTCACTATCCTGTGCTTGACTCAGGATTCTCTCTTCATTACATGATACGTACACACTTGTTCTTCAGTTATCCCTCACACTTAGATAGTTCTCGTATTCGAACATCATATTTGCACACTCCAACAAAGTCACTCGGAAGAGGTCCACAGGTTATAATCATATGATAATGTCGTCTGAAATCTAAACAAGAATTATTTACAAGGAGAGACTATTTCTTTTCCAGGACCATATCTGGCTCGAAGAGTTTCTCCATATCAGACAATTGACACCCCGTAACGCACAAATTGCCACAAATAAAGCGGGAAGTAATTAGCGAAGAGTGAACGAGCAAGGTCAATGGACACTGTAAGAGTAGGTGAGTTTGCTGTTATAGTTGAGGGTCGATATTGACCTACGTTAGCCTATTTTTTTTTTAGTCTCTCGGTGAGTGGACAAAAAGAATCCGCCTCCGGCGATCCAGTGCCGGAGTACCGATTTAACAATACAGTCGATTTTTCACCGAGCTCTCACCCACCCGTTCCGACAATTACGCGTAATCCCCGCCCAATAGAGCAGATTCAAATCGTTTGTAACGATTAATTCCCCGGGGGTTTTGTCGTGTAAGGGAGTGAGGGGACATCAACACATTCATGGTTGTCTGATGTCCATCCAGTGTTTATTTTGCCTACGGCCGCGGACTGCCGATGGTGCGCCGCCGAAGAGAATTCGCTGACGGCACCCTAAAGAGCCCCAGCTGGCGATACAAATCATTTCAAATCAGCTGGCGGGCATTTGAGCGCGGGGCGCACTCACTCTGCTGAAAAGAGTTGTCATCATATAACAGAAGCACAAGAGAGACTATTCCGAGTGAAAGTTATACGTCTAGTAAACTATAACATTTATACGGTGTTGTAGTAGTAATAGAGATGTTACGACATACATATTATAACAATCTAATATACATTAGCGCGCGCTCAACGTGCATAGTGTCGGCGGGTCCCAGTAGACCAGCGGGAACCAAAAAAAGCTTCGAGGCAATAGCAGTGCACCGTTGCCTATCCCACATCTGCGTAACGCCGTGTAAGCAGTTGTTATGATTTGAGAATAGCTCTATTAAAGGTACGACTCTTTCCCGAAACGTAACAATGACTAATTTTGCAAAAGGCTTTCAGGCTACAATAGTGACAAACGCAGTATTGATATTCCTATAGAGTTGATATTTGACTGAGTCTGAGCGTTAGATTACTTATTTCGTGACTGATAACTTATTTAGTTTACTTTAGCACGCCGTTGTCTATTTAGTATACAGGAGAATGGCGCCATTTCTTTTGTTCGCAATTTGGTAAATTTGGTTACGGGTAAGAAATAATGGGCGCCCCGGGGGTGCAGCCTTTTTTAACATGTTCAGATAAGAAAATTATAGTATGTTATTCAATTTAAATTAATTCAGTACATACATAGACACAGATGAAATGACAAACCACGTTGTTAGCCTAATCACTATCAGTCATAAAGCCATTGGATAGCTCTAAAATATATAACGCCTGCGAATCTTTTCCTAAATATGCTGGAATGCCATCAAGTTATAACTGCGAACTTCTAACAAATATACGGTAAAAGTCAACGCCGACTTAATAGACGGAATAGAATAAAGCTCACAGTACGCATAAATACTGCTATTGTATAGACGGTCATTTGCTGTCGAGCTGGGTAGCTTTTCCGTAGTACGTTAGTACGGTCCATTAATTATATCCTTGTATATAAATGTACAAATGTACTGTGGATAAGCTAGATCGCATACCATAGATATGGCCATGGAAACTTGCTATATTAAATACGATGCATGCGAATTTGTCTTGCAATAGCCATTACGAAATGCCTATTCATTCATTATCCATGTAGTTTTTATGCTATAATCACTAGAGTATTATTACTGGGTACTGGATTCGTTTTACTTCCCTTTACTTACGAGAGCGGGCTGATGGTTGGTTGGCGCGCACTTGAATCCGTATCTTTCCTAATATAAGGCCCTTTCTCAATCGGGCTTTCCGTCACTGTTTTTAGCCGTCAGCTGCTAAAAATGGTTCTTTACATAGCCGTTGTATGAGGAGGGTAAGACAGCGAGTGAGTCTCCGAAAGAATGTGTGTCTGTGTGTAAAAGCTATCTGGTGAACGACAGGCAACTGCCTGTTGATACCAAAAGGAGTTGAAACTGAAAATGAACATATGGTTGAAATGAATGAATCTACATAAGAGATATTTGAGCCTGAATGTAAGCCTTTGTAGCTGGCTCTATGAGGAGGAGGTGATTTGCTCAGGGACTAGGATTTGACAATTGTAACTACTGGAAATTATGTCCGGTGCTGCTGTCAAGGTTGGTGGACAGACAGTTTCTGTCGTACTGTGCAAAATGTATCCGCTTTTATTGCCATCAATAGAGTAATTCTTTTTGTATATGATATGCCTTATGGAGTGTGGCGAATTAATGAAATTAACGGTCTTTAGCATCATTTACTATATATTTTGACATTTAAATATATCTCGACAAGCTGTTACCTTACCACTTGTATACTAAGCGGCATAAAGCAACTCTCTGAATCGGTCTAATTTAAGTGATTACTCTTGTAAAATTATTACTTTCAAAGTTAGAATAGCTCAAAATTATTGTTAATTTGAAACTCATTATGCGGACGTCATATAAAGAGGTGTAGATGGCAAAAAAAATTACTAGAAAGGGAGTCATTTGGTCAGACTCGTTATTCTTTTTTATCGTATTTTTTTAACCATTAAATTCTATATAGTTAACTCAATTATACTGAATTACAATATAAAATAAATATATAAAATATCGATATAAGATAAAAGGGTTTGTTGTTGTTCGCTGCAAAGCGGAAGTCATAGTTCGTCTTAAATCTCCGAATTTAGATTTGAACGAGGCAGCATTTACAAGTAACGACTGAGGATAGAAGTGTAAAGCATATCCTTAGTTTACCCATGCTTGAATCTCGGACAGAATGAATTCGTTTCATAGTTAAAACGCATCAAGCTTCTTTGTTTATGTAGGGTAGTTAGATAGTTACGTAAAGGACACAAAAATTATATGATGTCCTCAGTCCGGTTCGAAACATAATTGTAAGTACTCAGGTTGCAACAATAATTAGTGAAAAAAGTACATAAATAGCCATGAATACAGCTTTGAATTGAACAGCGCCCTGGAAAGGATTTATTTATGATACTCAGTAGCTTCGGGCAGTTTATTTGCTTAACTAAAAATTTTATTAATGAAATAAAAGCGATACTATTTTTTTCCAATGTATAATTTCCTTATTCTATGTTGCTGATGGAAGGAAATTACCAAAGCGAGAATAATAAAGGCTTTGGGCAAGCGAAGTGACTATCTAAAATATTTGATTTCTATGGGGCCGCTTGGCTTCAACTGTGTAAACGGACTGTGCTAGTCGATACTTATGTAAGAGAACCATTTTGGATTTTAAGATAGCACTGTTAAAAAGTATCGCAGTAAAATATTAGGCGTGACATAAATGCTTGTATGCGTTTTTCTGCCTACATTTAAGTGCACAAAATCTTTTAGTTAAATTGTACCAACGTTACCCCCTATTGGCTATAATGTAGCTTCTAATCCGGGCAGTATTTTCGTATTTACAGTGAATTTTCATTATATAAACAATGGTGCAACCATAGGAGAAGGTCGTCGTCTGACACACACACAGCGTGCAAACTTTGTGTATATTTGTAATTTCTGTATAATGTTACCTCTTTTTTTTTTGCAGTGGTTCACATGCGCCGGAGTGACGGCAGCCCTTGTCTCGTACTGGGGTCAAACAAGTAATGTGCTTTGTGTTATTATTTATATTACTGCGGCCACATGTGGAGCAATAGTTGGAGTGTATTCTGCCCTTGACTCCGACGATAAGCACCGGGTTTGTATTACAGTTCTAAACGATTTGTCTAGAATTTTATGAATACTATCCGAAAATGGCATCTCAGTCGAGTTAGAGATAAGAGCATCCGGATCTAAGCGGTTGCTATTGTGATCATGCGCGCGCTTTCTCGGCTTTTTTTGCTATAAAACTTGCCCGAACATGATTCAAGACCTACCATCAGCCCATACTTGACTTCTGAATACGATTAATTTTTGTATGCCAGTTAATTCACTTTGGTAGTCCCATCTCATAATATTCTAGATTATAGCTTACATTATCTACATTATAGATTAGTTGCTGGAATTGAATGCCAAAATCTAAGTATTAACTTGTTTCCGTTGCAGACAACTCGTCGAGAGCTTATTAAGAATCGAAAAGTGGTTGAGTTATTTGAGGAAAAGTTGCGGGAGTCGCGCACGCCTCCAGAGAACGGTGGAGCGATCGCTGGTTCCGTCGGAGGCCCCGTTTTTCAGGGGATGCCTTCCGTAGGTGGAAGGCATCGTCAGATGGTTTTCTCAAGAAATGCCGATATTAAGTTGCAGGAGATCATTGATCTCGCTCTTCGAGACTTTGTTACGCCATGGTACTCGTATTTGGTTCCCGAATATCATCAGCATTTCACGATGCTTCTTCGAGACGAGCTTTGGCTTGTGATGGCAAAAATTAAAGGTATGAATGTAGTAATTAAGTATAAAATACTTTTTAACAATTCAATTTCGAACTGATCTATTTTTTAACTTAAATTCTTTAATATCGCATGTTTACATTATTCATCACAATAATAAATCGATAGCGCTTATTTTAGCAATATTTGGATCATCAAAATACTCCTTCTTTATTGGACGTTTCATAGAGCGATATTTGAAGATGGATGAAGTGCAGTTAATCTCCAGTGACCTGGTAGGGACAGTTAATAGACATCTACGAAGGCTGCGTTTGTCTATGACAGCGCGCCAGCCGTTATCGCTTCATCATTTTCTCGCGTCGCCAGAAGAGGAACTCGAACATCTGCGCACTGTTTGCGATTTCCTGCTCACCGTCCTGCTACCCTCCAGCTACGCTTTGTGTGTACCATTGCGTTTACTTCTAAAGGAAATCTTTACTTGCCAAGGTATTTACCACGTTCGGGCTACCTGCGTTGTTTAACTGTTTCTCGAATAGTAAGTTGTTAGAATTTTGAATTTTTTCTCAGTTACAACATTAAGTAAATATTAAGTGTGTCAAGTAAAAGAAAAACCACTAAGTAATGTTAGCTTCTCCAACTATTTTTGGTCCCTAGCATCACTAGAATTACAAGATTCTCTCGTTTTTCTTTTGCAGTTCTCTACCCAGCTATCGACATGCTGTGCTCTCCCGACTATATCAATTTGAAGTTAGTGTCGTATCTCAAATGGCTGCAAGAAGAAAAGGAACGCCACAAGAGAACTTACGCAATGACGGAAACATTCGAAGATTTCGTTTTTGTTATTCAGACGTGTGCAGATGTTGAGGATTTAAAAGTGCTACGGTATAAAATTATGGCCGAAATTATGCATGCCACGACATTGAATAACATTAAAAAGCAAAAAGGGCTTAGCGCTGATAAAGAGATTGAACCGCCGACACTATCCAAGGGAGATCTTCTTCTCAGCCGGAATCTCCCCAAATACATTCGCCAGGTATGATGGTGTACACTTCCTATTCTACAAAAGCATTCAAAAGGATATGGATGCAAATAAAACGATTGTGTAAATCACTCCATTTAATTCTTGAAAAACGACAAAACATCATAACGATGAGATGCGCGTCGGCACATTTAGTTATCATGTATATAGATTTCTCTTTGTATTGAAATCAACTGCCTTTGAAACTTTGCGCCAAACATTTTTTATTTATTGAAATATCGTGCGGGGCGATGATCTAACTCCATCGCAGGACATCTTGTTGCCACCTGTTATACTTATTGCAAAGTATGGCCAAATGTTTTGCCACATATTACTTGATTATGACAATTTCAGCTCCAATTCGCGAAGGGACTCTGCGAAAAAAAACTCAAGTCACTAGGCGGTCCAGATTACCTCGGTGGGTCAGACCAGGACGCTACTGTTCCTGGAAGACAGGTTCTTGCGTTCCGCGTGATTATGAACTCTGAACTGGCTCGGGAACACTTAAGACATTTCTTCGAGAAAGAGATGAAGGAAGAAGGGCGAAATCTTCTGGGGTAAACCAATATCTTCGTCAAGGAGATTCATTAGCTAATGCATTAAACAGACCAGGCTGTACTGCTAATAAAGTATTTGCCTGGTACTGTGAAGTTCTTACCTACTAAATCTGGGACCTTCCATGGTTGGGTCTAGATTTGAAATTTCAGAAATTTAATATTACTTCAAACAAGCTAGTGAATGTGGTGTAGTTCAAAGGTTCAATAAGCAGCAGATTTTGAAGTTAAAAATCTAGTCTATCTGGCCGCTGCCGTTTGTCCTGATGTAACTTATTTCTTCTTGTTTGAAAATTTCGTACATTTCAATTCAGTGCATGCTGAATTTGTAATTCGGATTAGAAAACTCATTCTCATTTACCCACCAATGGAAAATCAGCTTTGGAAGCAATCCATCGTACCTAATATGACAGAAGCTTACTTTTTAAATTAATATTTAGAACAAGATCAAGCTAATGGGACAACTTTTCAATTATAGGTTTTGGTGCGACGTCGATCAGATGATGAAAACCAGTAAAGATGAGTGGCATCAGCTTGGCAACGAAATATATATAACCTATATTAAGAAACCTCACGCAGGTATTCGGCTCAGCAAACAGATACTTAAGGTTAGCCTATGCAGTGACACTAGATCGTTTTAATTTGCACACTGTCTTATTTTACGTTTTGCCATATTTAAGTTATCTAGTTTTAATTTAATCATTCTATTAAAATAAAATTACTTGTACAAACTATATAGTTTAAACTAAGCCAGTGTCGGTGTACATTTAGGATATTGAAGCATTTATCATGGCAAACAAGGGCCCTGAGGGATTTATAGAGGCCCAGCGAGAATGCTATCGTCTTCTCGAAGACAAGCACTATCACTCATTCCTATTATCGGAAAGTTATCATCAACTTATAGTCGAGTCGAAAAAAGTTGACATATCAACATTCGGTAAAGAGAGAAGTGGTACGTAGTTCCCTATTGTTGACCGTATATTTTTCATGAGATATTTATTCAAGCACTTTTTGAACAATTCGAAATGGAACACGCTTATAAGTTAATGACAAAGAGGCAGCATGAAATATTTTGTTCTTTAGCAAAATAATGACGGAGCCATAGGACATGATACATAAACCAAATATGTATTTGGATCAAATAGCCTTTAGCTATCTCTTTCTCTAAGCAATTTTCGACATTCCATTACTTGCCCAAATATTTACTAGACATCAGATGTATTTGTACGAGTTCAGCGACATGAAATGGGACTAACTACTTTGAGACCATTCAGATTTCGATTTTCGAGAGTGAACGATCTCAAAATATAAAGTGTTCACAATACTGTTTTACAGTGGGAAATGGCGATACGATTTCAGCCGAAAACGAGTCGTCGTTTAACCAAGCGATCTCGCTAGCAGACTCTTGTCAGCTAGCGCGTGCTAAACTTAGTCAACTTAAAAGTCGACTTAACGACAAGCTCAAGGCTCTATCTGCGCTTCGGGCGTCGTTTAACTCGGACCCCAAGGTGTGTACCTCGTCCCCTCACACAGCCTAGTGCTCTTGTCGATTCCTGTATCATGCGTTGCATATACATATATTTACTTGGTTTTACCGTGGCGTAGAGAATTAACTCGAGAGATAGCTGTGGCTTTCCTGCTTTCACTATTGAATCCACGGGTTCGCCATATAGGATAGAACGCTATTGCCGCATGTGTTTGCCAGATAGAAATACGCTTTCGACTCAGTGAGATTGCAATTGACCATATCATTAGATGCTAACTGTGTCACCTTTTTGACTTCTCGTTGTTGCAGATGATTGCCGCTCTAGAGAAGGAGACGAGCGAATTAAAAATTGAATGTAGTATTTTGTCCAAGTATATGGAGCGTACCGATCGGTGGAGTGATAATATCGGTAGATGGGTTGCCAGTGTGGAAGGTGCTCAAGTAGACAGAGATACCCCCAGGTAAGCAAAGAACGATGTAGGTTGTGAAATAGATCTTGGTTTGATTCAAACTCTGTTAAGAAAAAGAAGACTAATTTTTGAATAGGCACCGTCTATGCACAACTATGTTAAAATCACTATTTTTATGGTCAAGCGTTCGGATTGATAGAAGAAACTCTCGTACGCCGTGGAACAACTAGCCCATTTGACATGTGGAAGCTTAGTTCGTTTAAAAGCACTGAAAGAGTAGCAAGAGATATTTTCTCATTATTCGAAGTACCAACAATACACTATAGAGTGATATATAATAGAAAAAAAAAGTATGTTCGTAATAGTTTTAGGTGAAGTCCTATAGAAAAACATCATGCCTCATTTATAATAGTAATATTATTTTTATAACACAATAATATATCATTTTGGAGGGTTCAAAGAAGTAATACTCATTGTGTGATCTGGCTATAAATTTCAGATTTACAGTGATAGTTAGTGTAAGCCAACAGCCGGACTCGGGGTATGTTGTAAACAAAAGCATCTCAGACTTTCATCAACTCTTGCAGAACGTTTTGCCGGTTAGTTTCTATTCTTTCACAGCAGCGCTGTCGATGCGGAACATGAAGTTCTAGTGTAGCTGGCGAAGATAACGTACATGTAATCACAAACAGTCTTACAGGGCCAGACTGAGCTGTAACAATCGGAGTGACAAGACTTTAGTCCAGTGTACGCGCAGAAATAGCGTTATTTCTTGAGGCTTACATTGCAGGTATGGAAATGCATTCATTTTCGTAAGATATTTTAACAGTTCTATTGGAATTCTCCCTACGCAGATTTCGTCAACGCTGAAGCGACGCGTCAATCTTCCATCGATCCCGTCAAAGATGCGTCTGAAAGCGTTTGACCAAGCATATTTATCACGCGCGAAAGCGTCCCTGCAAACGTTTCTCGACGTGCTGCTTCGTGACGAACTGCTGCAGAACTGTGAAGCGGTCTGTTCGTTTTTCAACGAAATTCCATCATCGCTGCTGCAGCCAATAAAGGCTCAGGGTGATGAGAGTGTGCTCAAGAAAACGCTTAATTTTTTGCCCTCGCTTTTTAAAGGTTAGCACCATTTGGATATTACCTAATAACGAAAATAAGCATCGGAGTCATGACCGATGTCGTAGAAAACCCAGCGACTTATAGGCTCTCTGCTAATGGCGATAAACAACCAAGAATTCATCCCTTCGTTGGGCTATATATACGCACTGAATTCTATCGAACACTTATTACTAAATATTTTCCAATTGAATCTACAGCAAGGTCGAACCTGCTTCTTATGAACGTAGCAATTGCGCTATTCCCGTAGCATATCTCAGTAAACCTCGATCCAACCACCGGAACACCAAAATTATGCTTATAGCGGCGATACTCGTGCTGGAAGGTTCGCGTCGTATGTAAAAACAACTTGCCCACATATTCCTATTGTGCTGTTTTATATGCTCTATAGCATTGTTCCAATCGTCCCATTTCTTTAGCTAAGCGATACGATTACATGATACAGTTTTATTGATTCCATTATTTCTTTGGCCGTTTAGTGACCCTATGCTAGATGAACCAACATCGTCTGTTAGTCAATAGTATTCTCCTCTGCTAACTACAATGGCCTCCCATTGCTGTTAGCGCTTTTCTTGCTAATCTTAATAATAGTGTACTAAATGGCCATATGACCCTGATGGATAGTTTGGTTTTTTCAACGTGGCCTTAGTGTTACAAATCCATTTAAGTTTGTAGAGTTCATCTTTTGCCTTCTTTAGCGTACAACTTTTTTCAGACCCATCGGCTTTAGTACAGTATTTTCTCAATAGACCATGTATACACGTGAATACAAAAGTCATTAAAACTGGTTTAAAGATGATCTGGACAATATGTATAACATAATTTTCTGTTGATTACGATATATAACTGGTCAGTTCTATGTAGCACCACAATACAATGTGATAACACGGTCCCCATTCTGCTGGTTGTCGTCACCATATTGCTAAATGGTTGCTTTCGACCGGTGGTACGAACACTCGCCCTCTATGTAGACTTCAATATTAGGGAAAAAGGAACACTAAGAATAAATCCACAAAAATCTAACTTATCTCGGCCCCCCCCCACAACTTCAATCTTGTTTATAGCTTCCACTGTTGTGTCTTGTCTCCCCTGCAGAAGCAACGATGGCCATAGTAGTCAAATAGGCTACTTACTTTAAATAACGTGTGTACACTAGGACGACGAAGATCTAATAAACTGCAGGCCACATTGTCGCGGGTACGACAATACTTTTGGCTGTTTTGCATAATGGTGTTTAACGACGGCGCTAACGCTATGTCCCAAAACAACATCGGCATTACTGACGAGGGAGTGTTGCTGCGGCCGCTGCTGGTGCTTTTGTCGTTTTTTACCGTGGAAACGTATGTTTAGGTATAGAAACAAAGGGGTTATTTAGACCCGTGCTCAAACCGACTCCCCTACATCGGTCCCTTGTAAAAAAAATTGCTGTTAGGCTAGGACAATAAACTCCTGGTTAAAAGTTCGCACCTAAATTCGCCCGCGTATTAACAGTTTTTACATATATAAACCTAACAAATCCCCCCAGTAAAACGGGCGATCTCAAAAATGGATTCCACGACGAATAGATAATACCAGTGCTAATAAATATAGATCTTATCTTCAGTTGTTATATCAGTCTGGCAACCTAACGTTTGCAGGCGATAAAGCAGGAAACGAAACCAGTTCTTCATTAGATGATGAGGATGATCTCTTCCTTGAGCTGTGCGACTCTGATCTAAATGCAGACAAGATGCGGGTCGATTCAATAGCTGAGCCTCTTTATCATTTACTTGCGGAGATGTTTGAACTCCAGGGCGGGAATCCAGTCAATTGGCTTCGTCGAACGCTAATTATGTTTGTCCAGATCTCATTTGGCAAAACAATTAATAGGTGAGTGATCTTTCGCGAAAAAGAAAACATTCACTGAAGTTGAATTTTAGTTGTATGATGTTGAGTAGCATCTAAATTCGTCTGCAAGTCTACGAGGCTATATTATTAAGCTAACTAGCTGATAAGCATGAGTTTTTCGATTTGTGAATTAACTATTGCGCGATACTCAGTCTAATTTTTGCTGGGCTTATTTGCCACCCAGATCTCTTATATAGCCGGAAGTCTTGAGCATAGTACTGTCATGTACTTGATCTACGGAAAAAGCTTCAATGCAGACATCCGTCAAATCTATAAAATAACAATTATTGAGGTTGCGTCTTTTGGACCGGCTAATGATATAAGTTCCCATGATAATGCAGTGGTAAAGTGTTTGCCTATTAAACTTGCGGACAAGTGGTGTTGTAGATTCGAGTCAAAACACAGACGAACCTTGTTTCGCGCTGGAAGCCGACCGTCTGAAGCGATGCTTAACAGTCATATGTATCGTAACTAGCGAAATAAGTAACGTCGTGCCATGTTATATTGTATGGACATTGTACGGGCGTTTTTCTGCACAAAGGTTACGCGATTAATTGAAGCGATTGGACAATAAATAACCATCTTGCAAAGGCGACTCGACGGTTGCGAACCACGTAAATAATAAATGCCATTATATGTGAATGCAAAATGATAGCTTTAAACGGTTATTTATAAAAAAAACAACATCAACATCTATACTACATATTTTCTTCCGACATTTTTGAATTCAACATCTAAGATAATGATGCACAATGGAGTTTTATACGATGAAGTGCTCAACTAATTGAAGTCCGGAGAAAGAAGTTTACTCTAATTGGTCGTTTCAATAGGTTAAAATGTTTAGACCGCGATAATCTATCTGGTTAGCGGCGGTGGCAGTGCCTTAAAATAAGACGTCGACCCAGTTTAGACAGTAGAGGGTTGTCATCATGACCCCGTAGGCAAGCCTGCGGCCCAGATTGTCTTATATTGTAGATAGAAACGGTTACCTAGAAAGAGTTGGCGCATTTTCAAATCATTAGCTATGGGATTTGAAATGTTTTCAGCAAGCGCAAATAATTGCACGGTACTTATTTATGCACGAATAGTTAATTCAACGCTGATATCGAAGTTTTGATATTAGTTACTGCTAGTGATAAAAGGAACTGTTTATAATGTAGGTCAGAAATATAGCTGAATGAATATTAGATAAACAATATATTGATTTTTAATCAATGAGCTTATTAACACACTACATAACTTCGACCATTTGTCACGGAATATTCCTTAGGTCCTAATGATTACAGACCATTCGCATCCATCTGATATTGCCATCAGCTTATCAATACGATCTAGAATTGCTTTACTTAGGACCAAACTTGTCATTGATTTCGTTTTACTGTTATAAAAAATACAAAATGAAAGTAATTACTTTAGCTTTTATTGAGGATAGGTTGATTGTTTTTTTGCTGATTTTTGACAGGCGCAACGCAACATCGAATTTAAAATAATACTGTCTTACTTATTTTGCGAGATAATAACCTGAAAAAAAAGTAAGGCGAAATCTCTCTTACTTGAAAATGATTCCAATCACGGATTTTTTTTTTTAGACATAGCGAACGATTTCCGCTTCTTCAATTTCCAAGGCAGAAATCAATGTTATTTATTTATAATTAATATTTCGGCCAGGCAATATGTTTACTGCTAAAACAGAATTAACTGTTATAGTTGACAAAGGATAACAACTTCAGTCCCGTTGGAACTGTCACCAGCAAAAAGAAGTTTGTTATGCCGGCGTAGATAGTATTATATTTGTCTTTGGAGTTAAATAGGTATTATATGCCCGTATGTATAGCGGATCTGAATAAATGGAGCTTCTGTATCAAAACAGCCAATTTCTAGCTTAGCTTTTCGAGGGTTTGGCAAAAAATACTGTATCAAACAATAAAAAAAGGGTTTTTTTTTGTTGCTTTTTACATGCTAATAATATGGTATAACATCATTTATGTCTATTACATCTTTCTGTCTGCATGTTCTTTGTTACTCTGTGCATTGCGCGGCCAGAAACGCTATAATTACTATTATCATTACTATAATATTATTTCAGCTATTGCTGCTTTAGTTTGTCCTATACAGTATTATTATTATTATTATTATATGGTTATGGACTAGTATAAGAGTAATGTCCATTTCGGATATAGCGGAGAATCGCGTTTCATTTAGTGCCTAATATTTGCCTTTTCTCTTAGTTTACTTATCAATTTTTATTAACAGCATTTTTGGTATTGATTCGATGCATGTTTGCGCACAACGTAATAGACGTACATAGACCGCATAGGTGATTTTACCGAGTTTGTGAGGAGAAAGCTGTCTCACATAGATACTATAAGGAGCAAACAAGAAGTCAGAAAGCACATATTTCGATTTAGTCAACAACAATAACAACAACAACACGATTCGTTCGGTGAGTATCGAATGGCAAAACAATGAGTCCATTTAATATGTCCAGTCGCTGTGTCAGGCGATGATTGCATTGATTCTATCGCCGGCCAGTAACTTCCTACGCTACAGCAATGGATAGAGTTAAGGGCAAAGGCGATACTAGCTATCCTATTTTGCCTGAGTATTCCTCTGTCACAGGGATGCAGACATACAGAGGCATCTTGCACGTGACACATTGTTGGACCGTGTCTATGCAGGTGCAATAAACGTCAATTGTAACTGTACGATATCTATTTTTGATATTTCCGGTGGAGGCCATTTCAGAGAAACTTATTCCTGCCGAATTAATAGAAAAATGTGAAAAAATGCCATCCAAATCGGAAATGGTACGCAAATATACAGATAATGCTGAATTAAGGGATGGTCTTACATGTTTATTACATGACGGGTCAATAAAAAATGGAATCGGACGGATTTTGTAGACGGCGGACAAGTGGGACCGCTTACGAGACATTATGATGATCGTCACATAACAACTATATTTGCTTACTAGTTATTATTAGGTACATTCATTAATTTTGAGCATTAAAGCATCATCGAGATTAAATTAAAGCATCATCGAGAGGGTATCGATTTTGAATTGGCTTTATATCTTTTAAATTCCGTGAATGATGAAACTTACTTACACGTATAGGTCATAGGCTGAGGACGAAAAGCAATGCCCAGAAAATGCATATAGTCCATATGGTAAATTTTCGGTTTGTAACTAACGAGCGGTATTATTGTTCCATTAAGCATATAAACAGTTGTGAAAATAATCGCAATAAGTATTACGTAACGTTCCAATAGTTGCAGATCATGATTGAGTCGTATAATGGATGGTGAATAAACTTTATAAAGCCCAAACAAAAGTTGTGAAGGAGACTCCGATTTGTCGGCGTTATTGGTTTCATGGAATGTCTTTGAAGTACTTATCTATTGCTGAACGTATAGTCGAGCAGATCAATTGCGTTCGATTTAAGCTTGTCTCTTTGTCTTTAAGGTACATACACTTTTCCGATATTAAACCGATATTAAATTACACTATCGAATAGAAAGACAGTCAACTTTCTGTCCCAAGTTCTACGATCTTTTATAGCTTGGCTTAGCCTTCTCAGATAGACCGAGCTCATATAAAATAGCGTTTTTACGTTGTAGCTATTGTTCGGCAAAGCATGATCTTCAAGGAGAAACGACCTTATGCACTGGGGAATACAAGCTACGGCTTGCTTATGGCGGTAACCATTGTGTTATATTTCTTACGATAACTGCCCCTTCACAGTATGGAATAAATGTTCAAATATTCTAGTTTTCGCGAACGAAAACCGATCTTAAGCACTCGATTGTTAATTATTGCCCTTTCACGTAGACGTGTCTCATGTGAAAGATGTAAAGCACATTAACTACACAGGAGGAGAGAGCCGAGGCTAGAGTCCATATTTTGAATGTCTGCAGATGTAACCGTCCTAAAAAACGGGCACTAATCGTCATCGTGCAGCATGCATACAAGAGTAGATTTAAATAAAAAAAAATAATAAACAAGAGTCCATGCTTTCGATAGACGCCAAACAATTTTTTAACCTTAAGATGGTAACGCTAAAGATAACGGCGTCTTTGTGATTTTTCTTAAATCAGTTGTTGAAGAACACGGTCCATTTTTTAGGAACCTGGGAATGTGTAGATAACACTGTTGCTCATTCCTTTTCATATAATCAGCTAGCTGTTTGCTAAATTACTATTATAGCCTTGAAGTAACGTAGTTTGTATTTAAATTTCCTTCCCCCGATCGCTACAAACAGACAATTGCTGCAGGAGTGCTTTCAACAACAACAAAAGTACCTAAGTGTTTTTCTTCTGTTCGTTATAAAATATTTCCGTAGCAAGCTATTCAGGGCAAGCCGCAAAGATGTTAAATTTTGAGGAAGAACTATTAGTTCAATGTCTTCTAACTGCAAGTAGGGTCCGGTATAAGTCTTCTGTTGACACTAGAATTATGTTAACATATCTAACAGGTATAACTTAAAATTTTAGTTAGATGGCGGACTACCATTAAAATATAATAGAAACAATTAATTTTGATTAGATGTAATATCAACTTAAAGCGGCAGTAATTATTTGCAATGGACAACCAACTAACTGTTGTTACCTCGTATTAGCAGAAATTTGTCTCGAACTCGTTGTTTATCTTCTTCCAACAATAGTTTCATTATATACAGCGCTGTGATGACGCTTACTGATTAGGTAGGCAACTAATTAAATAATTTTTTTTCTCGGACACACTAATCTTCTGGACCGACAAATTAAATAATATTTTGTGTTTTCTTCCGTATCCGAGTATGATATATATATAGCATTTTTATTCTGTTTGATATAAATTCAATCAAAATATAATAAGGGCACGACTATATATTCTTCCAAAAAAAGCAATTTATTTCATTCGTGATATACAGTGGGTGGTAGATCCATTTCGGGCTTATCTGATCACAGCATATATCATTATCTCTAAGGCGTCTCGTTGCCAGATTTGAATCATAACGACAATTGTGATGTGCACCAGATAATTTACGTATTACGTATCGCTAATAACACAAGAGTAGCAATAAACTCTCTGTCACACGGTTTTCTGATATTTTGGTTGTCTGCTCTGCTTAAGGTTCTTAACATATTGCCTATAAGCCACTGACCGCTAATAGAATCCCTTCGGAATTATTTGATATGCTCTGAATGTCACTTATATCATATACTATACACATTAATATGATTGTTTAATTTTTTTTCAGATGAGTTGTTCATTGCTAGGCGATGAATGCTAAATGTGTGCGTATAAATACGATTACAAACGTTTTATTTGTTCTTATTTCGGAAATTACAATGCCATGTTTCTCGATCTCGTAGTTGGAGCCGTTCACGGGGAAGTGCTTTTAATAGATGGCACCAGAATGAGATAGTCGGCACACATCGATCTATTACAGATTTAGTGGGATACTGTTGCTCCGTGGCGTAGGCGGTAGCATGTTTGCTTGAAAAACTTCAGGTACACTAAATAGTTGGTTCGAATCCGAGCGTGAATAGGATTTGTTTCGTGGTGGGAGAGGCGCGCGTGTTTCAATGCGTAACGATGGTACTGGACGTAAAACTCTCGAAACTTTTGGCGGACGATGTACGCTTATAATCAACAATCATATAAGGGTGGCATTTGCTGTATTCGTAAGTGTTTCCGCCAATTACAAATATAGCTACGTCATATAGCAGCTCAATATGTACTGGAAATTTTATGATTCGTGGCCGACTCATATCTCTGATCGTGACGAGGAACAATTGGTCTCCTTTCACCCCTACCTCGTGAAGCGTGGTTGGTAGCAATTCACTAAACATTGCTAGATCAGGATAAAATTTACGTAGGTATGTCAAATTTGTATTAGCATGGATCAATAACGTGAGCTAGTAAAAAGGACAACGAATTCCCAGCTGACCCACAGACGAAGTCTCTGAGCGTTTGGGTACGCGGACATAAGTGTGGGTTTCTACTTGCAAAATAGAAATATTGATACGATACAACATGCTATCTATGTTTTGTATCAGTAACGTATCAATATGAAACACATTTAGATCTAAGATCTACTAGGACAGAAATCGTTCCTCGCCATGTAAAGACGCCTCAATAAAGCAATAAAAATCTTCTATAATTAATGTATCGTATACTTTTCAAGGTTAAGTCAAGTCGAAGATTAGTACGGCATCTTTCAGAGCTCAATGGAATTTACAGTAATTCACTTGTCGTCATTCGTTTCTAGGTCTCTAGGAAAAACGACACGAACGTTGATGAAAGACACTCAATTAGCGTAGTTTCACCGCTATTGCTATAAGTAGTACTTTTTTTTTTGAAACCTTTATCTGTGGCGCAGTTTACAGACAGCACCGTGATAATTGTAGGTCAATAATAATAATAATAATATAATTACCACCGAGATCCACTATTTCTTCGTCTATATCGCTGTCGATGTGCGCTTACGTTTCTGCGTTCAGCTGTTATAATGATGTTACGCGTCGCTGAACAAACCACTACGTGGGTATGTCTAATTGTCTATGCTGTTGTTTCGTAACTCTCATTCCTGTCCGCCCGCTTGTATCCCTAACGTCGAAATCGGGCATCTTCGGCCAGGCGACTCATTCCAATCATGGGATACCGTGATGTGATCGTCTACGGTCCAGCCGGAGCATTATTTCGAACGCTAAATTTTGACCGGCTGATGCCGATATGATCTGCCTATTTTCGTAGCAACAGCCAAAACTTGGCGATGCTACTACAGTGTAAAGGGAACGTGTCATTTTGAACTCGGTTGCCTCTGTAGAATTTCTCGATCAGTATAAGATTCATCTGTTTCGTTAGCCGGTTGCTGTGGAATAGTGTTGTAACCTGCTGATGCCCATTTAGCGATGATTTGTGCACTGATGTATATCTATAGAGAGATCAGAACACGTCGCCGCCGGTCGACCATCCATTATGACGTATTCGCTATCAAGGTCGCGTTTCATTAAAACGCTTAGTCAATAAGCGGCACGTCAAGGCGTTACGGAAAACGTAGACGATGTTTCATTATGGTTCGGTTCCTATAATATTATTTTTGCGGCTTTTTTCGTAGGTCATCATTATTATTATTGTAATTACTAGCATTTGTATGCAGTAAAAATGTTTGAATGTACGAGATGGCAAGCAGTCAGTTAAGAGATAATAAGATTATTAGGAAAATCTTCCGTCACGTTGCATAGTTAAGTAAGGGTACATCCTAAAAATCTTTAGTTCGTGAAAAGAGAGAGTAAATGTCATCTCGCTATGGGGACGGTTCTGTTATTGGCTGCTTACATACTTGGATATTTATCGGTCGGGTTTGCTTCTTTCCAATCATGCGTCTATCGGCATAATCCAATATCCTCGTTTCCAATGATGTCTGTATTATATGGTTTGTCCAATTAAAAAGACTGATCGCTTTACTCTTGGCTTTTGCTGGAGCGCAGAGCCGAAGTTGTTGTTGTTCGAGAAAGTTTACATTTTTAATGCTGTTCGGTTCCATATCACAGTTAATTTACGTCAAGTTACTTAAGAGAGTTCGGAATCTTTTCAGCATTCGATATTCAACATATTGTAACTATATTGAAATTTTTGCAGATAAATCTAGATTAATTTATTTATAATTGCTTTATTAATCACCACGTAATCTGACGAGCTGAATAGAGAAACGTAGATTTGCCATTAGGGAATTTATTTTCCCATCGTTAGAAAAGTGACGTATCTCAAGATTAGCTCAAGATGGCTGCTCTAATCTGAATGTGACCCAATGAAATATGCTGCGCGTGTTATACAGTGAATAAACACACATACGCTATCCATATAAAAAAAAGACGGTACTATCCAATGGAAAGTTTGTTTGCTGCATATTAGCTTCATTCTAACTGAAACCTGCCTTTCACCTCACCATCACCATCATTATGTTATCGAAAATAATAATCACCTTATCGTTTATGATCAACACCGTTTTGTTTACACACATGTACAACTTCATAATTTCGAATCGGCGTTCATTTACTTTGCAGCTTATTCGACTCCATTGCGACATTCGAATATAAATCGTAGGCTGTTAACACTTTGCTAGTTGCGATTAAAGGTAACCTGTCAGCGTTCTCTAGTTTTCAAAAATTTCGGATATCGGAAGCGCTTTCCGAACTTACTGAAAAACGGTAACTTGTAAATACTTGTCTGATTAATAGTTATCTACCGCAGAAATGATGATTCGCACTACGATAGTAATTGATATTTTTAGCTGTACCTACAAAAATTCCTTTTCCACTATCAACAACAGGGGCTTTTCAACGTCATATGGGTGTGTGTGTGTGTGTGAGGAATATTCATATGGTAATAATGCACGTGTGTGTATGTACGTATGTATGTGTCGATCTAATTACCGAACCATCGGTTCTAAGCACTACTAATTTTAACCGTTTTTCTGCATATGAGCCGGTCGAACTCGATCTAATAGGGCAAAGAAAGACATTACGTACTAGTACTTTCGTCGGAATAATACGCGTGCTGCAATTTTTGGTAGGACTAGTTTATCAAGCGTTCACGAGCCGCTGAGCGGTGCACTTCGCTGAGGCAACAGACACTGAATGTAGAACAATGTACACTAAAAAAATAAAGAATATATATTACAAAACAACATTGATTGAATGAGAAATCCCCAAACGGTCAATCATCGACGCACAATCCGTCACGATTAGGAGGCGTCTGCTTGCTGTCCTTGTCAAGTCGTAATCAACCTAAAGAGAAATAGAACTATAAAAATTACTTACATTTAAAGTAACTATTTTTTTTATTATAAATAGCTGTTGGTGCCTAGCGAACAGCTTAGCTTTATCTCACGGACAACATTATTCACGTAGTTTTGTCGTTATTTGTGTTCCTAGATTCGATATAATGATATAACTAAAATCCGTTTGCAGACAAGTTCTTGAAGGCATTTCATGGATGATGTCGGAATCGATGTTTGTCTATTATATGGAACTGTTCAAGGAAGCAGTGTGGCCCAACGGACAGCTCCATGTGAAAACACAAACAAGAACTTCAAAGGTATGGGAGTCTCGACTGCAGTTGTCATCATGGTGATCCGGAACTATTGCAAAGAGATAGGTGATCATCTGGTCTCCGCAATTGAGAAAGCATCACGCTAAGCGGGTGTATCGTAAAGATAAACGACGTTCATTTGAAACAGGGCGCCAGAGAAGCGTCACAAAAGTCTATAGGCAACTTGACGCTTCAGCAATATTTGACCCTATGTTCTCCGTTGCAGGACATGCACAATACGAAGCAGGATGCTCGAAACTTACTTCTGAACCACGTTCCTGAGATGATGAACTTTGTGGGCTCGCAGAACGCCTGCAAAGGGACTTTGAAAATGTTCGAAGCGTTGCAGGACAAGCAGCTAAATAAGCAGTTGTTCTATGACCTTCTTGAGAAGGTTCTTTATGAATTCGCTCCAGAACTGAGGACTAAATAAGAGTTCGTTCGCAGTGTTTTAGTGGCGCGTGCAAGAACGTAATAGCTACTCTTATCAATGCTTTTGTCAAAATAAATGAATATTCCAGCAAAGTTAAAATTGGCCTTAGTACAGGCTTAGTACAGGTTCAAGGCTTCGGATGCGTTTAACGCCCATTTACTGGTTTCTGAATTCAGTTTACTGTTACGGTGGATATATGGATGTACTTAGGTCAGCTATACAATGTTAATTATGTTATTATGACTGAAAAATAAGACACTTTTTGTTTTTGGTGTTTGTGCTGTTCTAGGTCGACAATGATGCGACAGCACAAATTGCAATCAAGTACGCATTAAGCGCTATTTTTAACAATTACAGTTCATGTTGAACGGAGACAAATTTTATTGAAGAAAACAAACGATTTATTTTTGTGATTGATTTTCACATGTATAATCCCCTTATTGACGAACAGTTTACCGCGTGTAATCAAAGTTTCGCATAGCAACATAGAATACGAAAACAATTTTATCTTTAGTACAAAATGCTAAACTTAATCTAGTTTTCAAAATGCTGACGAGAATAACGAAAAAAAAAAAAAACAACCATGGCTAAGTAAAGATAAAATAAAGTGCTACACGAGTAATATAGATGTTTTACAGGATTGTATGTTTTTAGTTGTGCTTTTCGAACGTCGAAATCAGCCGTCTGTTGATTTAACTAGAATTTAGGCATCTTAAGTGGTTTTGAACATTGCAGAATGACGAAAAGCGGTAATATTGTGAAGCGCAATTGTGCAAGTTGTCGTTGTACATATCGGACAATACGATTCCAAAGTAAGTTATCAGTAACATATTACATATAGACAAAATATTAGATAGAAGAAAATTAAAGAAAGATCTATCTATGGTATTCACTTCCTCGTGGATAGCGATACGATAATATATCATAATGTAAAATGAATACGTTTAAACTTAGTCTATCTGGTCATCGAGACAAAGTGAATTGTTGTCATTATTATTACGATCGTTGTAAGCGTTCCATTGTATTGTCCTAGTTACGACGCAGGAACTCTTAACTTAAAACTTAGGAAAACTTAAAATTATCTATTTATGATGCGGGAAAGAAGCGAGTGTGTACAAAGACGACACCATAAAACTACACGGCATACGTAAACATATAACTACATTAAAAAGAATGCTATACCGCTACCTATTGTGGGTCTGTCATTGATTGTGCTATAGCTCCCGTACGAAACCTACCCAGAAACCACTACTGTAATTACTATATATATATGCATAGAATTAGCAAACGTGCAATCGATATAGATGGTACGACTATATCAAGTAGAAATCATGATAAGAAAAATCGTTGATCATAAACGAAACAATGACATGAGCAACCGCGAGCCGAAATTGCTAGATCAGGATTTTGTTGTGTGACTAATAAAACAACAATTAAAAAGAACATTATTGTCACTAGCCGTATTTCATTAAGCTACTATAATAAATAAATTACCGAATATCAATTTGACTGATCTTTAGTTTTTACACGCAACAAAAGATGCTGCGCCAATTGGCTCGTTCTTTATTGGTCGAGCAGTATCAGTAATTATATGGAAAACATTTGAGCTTGTCACATATCGAGAGGATATTTTTGTAATAACAATCATTCACTTGAAGGCATAAAGTTTTAGTCAGCCGATTTACTTAGTATCCTCATCGGATCAGCCTGTTAATGGCATCAGAATGTATTAGTTACGCTTTATCATCATTAAATATACTGTTGAAGATAAACTATAGTATCGAACGAATCTAATTTTTGTCGGCAAATACTTGTGCAGTAGAAATAATCAACCCTTATCGTTAATGGCGATTCCTCTCACGATCTAGAATATGGCCTGCGCACTAAAGGTCAATCAGCCTAAATCTACCGGGATACGAAATCGTTGTTGCCTAACTATCACCGAAATGCTGCAGTTTCGTAACAACGTTTGCCCTGATTATTCGCTGCGGCTTTTCCTTATATCTGATGGGTTTTTGTACAGTGGCCAATACTAAGATAAACGTCAACTGAATTCGTTTGTAGACATATTCAATAGTCTTCTTCACCCATACTGATACGTTTACCGGTGAAAACTTAGTACAAGCATAAGCATCTCCTATCTATTCGCCATCACCGCCACCACTAAAAGTTACAGATATTTCCCGGTGAACTCTTAGCCTGTCTTTCCAATGTACTAGCTGATATTCCATCGTACTTCAACTTCCCTTATCTCAGACTAAGCTCAGATTAAGCTCTTCCGTTTGTTCCATCATCTCTATTGGCGTTCGCGTCCGTCTCCGAGTGATCGCACCGTAACGCTATACGCAACTCACACCGGTTCGTCGGCTGGCTGCGGGTGATAGCGTAATAATGCCAGGCTGATCTTCAGTTTGCCGTAGTCGCTCACCAGTTTACGGTTCGCGCCACGGCAACGTCGGCGACCGCCACAGCTGCCACGGTCTTCGCTCCCTTTACACTTCTGTAAGAGCGGGCCATGCTGTGATCCTTTCCCCTGTACGGCGTCGGGCGTCTTTCGCTCTTTACACGGGGCCTTCGTAGAGCCGTCAGAAGTGGCCCCACGATAGTGTAGCCCGCGTCGTGTCGATGAAGTGCTGCTGTTAAGACCAGTGTTTTTACAGTGGTTCTCGCATGTTTGTATGTGTATCGGCAGTGGTCCGGCCGTGAGTGCCCCTGTGTCCGCAGGCGCCAGGCACTGTCGCGGAATTTTTCGGCGGCGCGGTCAGCTAGCCGCTGCCAGCTGTGCTTCTCCAAGCTGGTGCCTTTAGTAAAAGCGTGGCTGTCGAGTGTGAGAGTTTTTTTGGGTACTAATTAGAAAGAAAAACAAAAGGGATTAACTTGTACTGCTTGTTCAATTACTTCTATTATTGATATTGCCGCTAGTAAAGAGGCCTGGCGTCGAATTTTCCGTTGGACACGCACACGTGTCTCGGCATTGCATGACCGTTTCGAGTGTGGCCCCGTTCACTATGGATTGGTTCGTGTATGTAAATACCGCGTGATTTTGTTTGTCTTGGCCGTATTTTTCTCATCTCTGTACAATAGCTGCTGTTATTATTAACGTTGAAGTGCAGGTGGATAAAAGTCATGGGTGCTGAATACCAATCTCCGGATTTAGTGCTGCTTCACGGTGCCTTACTGGTGACGAAGCGATTACCATTATGTACTTTTGCCGCTGTCGGACTCGTCGCGTTGACGTTCCTGGCCGACTTGAGCCAGGCTCACGTAGCGCTCACTTTTCCACAAGCCCGTCACTACAACCTCGACTTTCTTGACAACGGTCGTACGAAAGCACCATGCGGAATGCCTAAAGGTGAGTACGAAATCTAACTGACGAAAATAGAAAGCGCATTGTGCATTAATCAGAACTATAACAGGAAAAAACTACTCGAATTAAATCATTCAAATGGAACGAAATAATCTATATAAAGGGTTTGCATGCGTACGAAAAGGGCTCCGTCTGCGTGTCCTCAAAGAAGATCGACCTGATGACCGTTATGACAGGTCTGAGTGTTGCACACTTTGACCTCTATTTCTGGGATGTCAATCTAAAGCGAAGAGGAATCTAAATGATCTAATTTCTCTTTAATAATTATTATTAGAACTCAGGTGGAGCGACATAATGAGAAGTACGGAAAATACACTATCGATAGGAAGTCGTCGTCGTCGTCATCATCATCATTAGGCCAGTACCTTTCCCTCTGACATCAATCTCTCTGGCCCATCCAGTCGGGGCAACAACATTGCAGGCACATATTGATAATCGTTTAGTAATTTTCCGACAGGTGTCACATGTATCTGTGCTTATTATAATCGATGCAGTGTTTACCACACTACGTACTCGTAGTGATGCTCGTAGGGTTGTTTATTCATTCAGCCTCTTAGCCCTTCACGATATAATCCCTCACACAACTGCAGTCTTACTGCAACATGTTAATCTACCGTTACGTTCCTTGAATAGAAGCCAATATATAGTTCGAACGACGCGAACTGCTTTCTTACTCTAGCTGTTGTTGATGCTGCTGTAACCGCCGAGACCACGAGGCTGACACAAAAAGAAGCTGAATCTCGGCACACTACATGCGTGAGGGTTCCTGCCACGGCAGATATCAGTACGGCCAGAAAGGCAACGACGGCATAAGCCACCAGGAGTATCATCCGTAGAATGGCAACGGCCGTTCAGTACTGCGAAAAAAAACCTCATGCATGGGCCACGCTCTCACGCTACATAAGGACGTTTGCCTTCTGGTGCCTTTTACAGAAGAATAGGTTTACACCATGAGCTTCTGTGTGTCTTTGTTTGTTTGCGATAGTAATCGCTGCCGTCCGTTCAACATTTGCGGCACGCAACTCTCCACACCACCGCTTGCATGCACGGCCGCCGCGTTACAGGCCGATAGCACCAGCGCCGAGCATAAGAGCGTTTGCAGCTGCCGTAGAACTCTCGATGGTCTTAGTTGTTAGTAAGAGACCTTGTTTTTCTCCATTTATCGCCAACGCGATAAAAGTACCGCAAATACGAGCCAACCCCGGCAACGTCTATCAGGTTCATGTTGGCTGCTATCGCGCATAAAATAAACTCCCGCCGAAGCAGAAACGCCGTTGGCTTTGTGACGTTGTTGATGGCGGCTCGGAGGACGCTTAGCTATTGCCCGCCGCTGCCGTTGATCTGACCACCGAGTCAACAGTGGCTGGTCTAATGGTCAAACCGTTGCGCGATTTATCTGTGTCACATGCGACTGGATGTTTATTCTGCGCTGCTTCTATCGCTGCACTACAGCAGCCTACTAGGAGGTACCTGACCAATGCCGGTCCAGGCGGTAGACCAGAAGAAGACGGATTGTGCTGATCCTTCTGTTACCGACTCTCAATAGCGAAATTGGGGCATGTTATCGCCGCAAAGTCGAACAGACTGTACGACTTTGCGGCGATTGCTCGACGATAGGCGGCAACAACAATAGCTGTTACAAACAAGAAAGAAGCTGAGTAGGAAAGTATTTCAACAACTTCTACTGCTGATCGCTGATGACCGTTTGTTGGTAACGTTATGCTCCAAAAGCGCTCATTGATACCCTGTCCAAGGAAGGCAGAGTTGTTGCCATTTATCGCTGAGAAGGAGAGATATTGCAGTATTAGAGATGCGAGCAGAAATACACTTATACTCACCCTCATATGATTAAAAGGGGAGCAGACGACGAGAAAGTTGAAGGCAGATAGTGTAGACGAAAAGAGGCCTGCAACTAAGTAAAAGAAAACCCTGTTAGACATTGCATGGGGATATATTTGAGAAGAAATATTGATCTGTTATCATAGCAACTATTTGGTTTAGTGATAAAATTATCGCTTATTATTAAAGTGATAAAATTATTATTCTTATTAAAATCATAGCTATATACGGCAATGTAACTACGGGAAAATAAGAAGTTTATGCGCTTGATTGACAACAAGTGAAACCGTTAATGGCCAAATCAATCAGGAGAAGCGACTGCCAGCTGGCTTGCGCAAATGATAACATTGTGTTGACGCCGCCACAACGTTCGAACTAATGTTGGCAGCCAAAGGTTCACAAGCGATTCATTGAGTCCGTATGGTCTTTTATGCATAAGGATTTGTTTGGGCGGAAAATGGTAATTATAATGCACAATCATCTTTCATATATTTTATCAGACAATAGGTTGCCTATCGACTCTTGAGTTGGTAATCGAAAACTGGGAGAACAGAACACAGGTATCAATATTTAGTTATTTTAACTCTAAAGTGGGTCTAACTTTAAAGTGGGTTAACTAACTGTACACCTACTTTTTAACAATTGACCTTTAGCTTCGTTTCTCTTTTTCGTAGCACTGAAAGGTCTATTGCCGAAAACATATACACGATATTAACATATATCCCATGTTCCGAATATATATAACACGAATATTAACATATAACATGTGCCAATAATAAGTATGTTGTTCCATTATTTACCATTGCCCAGAAGTTCAGACTCATATACATTTATCGCTTATAATCACTGTTTCTAGTGGCGTGAAATCTGAACTCCAACGTCGGTACTTACTTCTCGGATACATACGTTCTACCACAGACGAATTGGACACACCCTACTTTTCGTCCATTAAGGTCGGCAAAATGTTCTACACGAGTACATTTTACTAACGGGACAATACTGTTGTATCTCACCGATTGGTCAACGCTGCTAAGTTTAAGAGGGGACAATTTCTTAATAGAATATAAAGTGAGGAGCTCGTGTATCCGACGATCAATTCGACGTTTGGCATGCTTGTTTGAGTGCAGATATCGCCATCCATTATCATCAAGTATTTAATAATATTATTTGCCGTTTGTTTTTTGGCGTCAGTAATTCTATATTAACAAATCTGGAAAAAAGAAACCTTTTGGTATTCAGCGTTCTGTTTAGTTGCAATAGCTGCGCCCCGAACCCAGAAAGGACGCAGCAAATAGATGACAGTCTTCGCCAAATTTCCACGAAGACTTTAATACAGAAGAACTACTGCAATCTTCATAAATGATCTCGTTCGTGAGTAAATTTCTCGAACGATTACAGATGCCATTTGCTCATTCAGTTCAACATTGAAGTAGGCACAAGTGGCTTCAATGTCACGACTTTTACCACCAATACTCTAAAATCATACCCACCGTGACCACTAGGATAGACTACTGGCCAATTGCATATCATTTGTCATTTATGTGTTAATCATAGATTTAAAACTCCCGCCAAGGTACCAGACGAAGTAAGGGCTAGCTTCAAATAATATCTGAACTAAATGGCACTCGATCATTATTATTTATATCCAGTCGGAATTAAAATAGGTAAGCTCTAAAAAAGGAGATAAAAAGCCAGCAAGCTTCCTTTAAGCTTATTTGGCTTCCTCATTCTTGGCCTTTGCTCTGCCATTATCGTTGGTGATATTACCTCTGAATAGATTTTTGTTTTTCAGCAACGTAACCACGTGATGATGGCCTGCCATCAGTGTGAGGTTTTAATCACTACAGTTATTACATCGTCATCATATAACAAGTACTGTAATTTTCCTATTTTTATTTCAACTGACATGGCTACCACAAAAAAAAACGATTTTTTTTTATCCAAATTCAAAAAGCGTCCCGCGGAATGCTCGCTCCTCTCGTACCTTGTTGCGTACGCTTATTTCCAGTTGCAGTGTCCCCTGCTGATAGACTAGCTCAAGGGTTGTGGACCAGTAGTTAATATTCTGACGAAATGTCCACCTGCAAAATGATGACGGGCAATGAAACAGGACATTGTTACGTACTACCAACTACTTGTTCGATCATTGATGGATTAACGCATTGGCTCAAGAATACCTTTTACTAATAGACGCAGATGCTGATTACGGAACAGACAAGAAGTTAGCTAGCTCATCATTACCATAATTCGTGACTCTCCTGCTCGGTGGATTGCGCAATTATGCATTATAGGGTGTCACTTTATTTGAGACGTACACACGAGATGGCGAATGATCTTATGAAAGAACTATATTTGGCCATGTCGTACGCGCTCCCAAGGTAGGATACCTCCAGCAAATGTTTGATCACTTACTTGACGACTGACTCAAGATATGAACGAGTTAACTGAAATCAAATACACCTGGTTATAACAAGCACAGCGTCTGCCCTCGAAGCGATGCCATTAAACGTTGAGGTTCGGGCCTAGTTACGAGTTGCACGTGCACGTGAAGCACTACGCATGATACAAATCAGCCATCTGGTTTTAGCCTGTGTCCATCTTCTATTTAAAGTGTACTAATCCCCCACCTGCGCATTTGAGCAGGTACACCGTAATACGCACAAAAGAGAGATATTTGTAAACCTCTAAATTGTGATATTATTGATGAAAGAGCTGATGTTATGTATTCAGTTATGTCATGAATTAATTACAAGATCTAATTCGCCCTGCTGGCTTCGATCATAGGCCTTTTTTCGATCGGGTTTATCGTGAGCAATGGCGGCGGTGATGTATTTGATTCGCTCTTTTATCCAATCGAGGATAAATCGATCCAATCCAGACGAACTATTCTATTCGTCTTATTGCTGTGATGATTTGTTCGGTAATGCCGTCTGTGGAATAACCACAATGCCAGGATAAGCACAGCTTTTGAGTGTGCTACGGATATGCCTCTCTACAGAGCATTGTGCGATCTATTGGCAGCATTAAGGCATTCAGTGACGCGATTGGAGGTAGCGTGTCTACGACGTCCAGTGGCAATACTTTTGTTTAGAAAAACTTTGTCCCGCTGGCCGAACCAGACAATAGCAAAAACAACGACAGCGAAA